ATTGCTGGAAGACAAAGTGCAACAGCTACTTCGTAAAGGAGCGATTCGATGGCTCTCTCATCCTGAGGGACTTCATGGATTCTATGAGATATTTTACAGTCCCTAAACAGGATGGTGGTCTCCATCCAATCCTGGACCTCTGAGATATTAACAGATTTATTAAACCTAAGAAATTTCGGATGACTACACTGCAAAATATCCTTCCGTTGCTGAGGAGAGAAGATTGGTTCACCTCACTGGACTTGAAAGATGCCTATTTCCACATTTCTATTCACCCCGCCATAGGCATCTCTTACGTTTTACCGTCGGGTCCGACATATATGAATTCAATGCCCTTCTGTTCGGATTAGCCACCGCTCCAAGGGTCTTCATGAAATGCATGGCTCCAATGTGTGCGCACCTTCGGCTTCAGGGCATCCAAGTATACCCTTACCTAGATGACTGGCTTATAGTCTCCCAAACCTGAGAAGGTCGTCTTTTGGCTGTCGACACAACTTGTTCTTTGCTGGACGATTTAGGACTGTGTATTAACCATGAAAAATCGTCCCTTGTTCCTGCGCAGGTGATCGACTTCATTGGAGCTTGTCTTGATTCCACCCTAGTGAGGGCCTTTCTCCCTCCAGCTCGTCAGGACAGTCTTTGGTCATAGATTCATCGGATTCGACGAAACAAGATTGTCCTGGTGTTCTCCATTCAAAAGCTCTTGGGTCATATGGCCGCCACTGTAGCCATTGTCCCCCACATCAGGCTCCGACTACATCCTCTTCAATTATTCTTCAACAAAAACTTTGAGCCGCAGCGAGACTCGCCCAACAAGCCAATTCAACTGCCACTATTCGTTCTACGGACATTGACATGGTGGACAGTACTGAACAATTTAAATATGGGTACACCTTTCCAGATGCCTCACCCATCACTGACTCTTTATACCAACGCTTCGCTAATCAGGTGGGGTGCTGTGTGCACAGGACTTTGATCCCAGGGCACTTGGAACCATCAAGAATCGTCGAGACACATCAACTACCTCAAACTCTTAGCGATTTTCAAAGCTCTTCGATCTTTCGAGGACACTGTTCATCAGCAAGTGATTCAGATCACATCCGAGAGCATAGTAGCTGTGTTTTACATCAACAAGCAGGGTGGGATGAAATCTGCAACCCTAGCTCGTTTGTCCATGAACATTTGGGAGTGGTGCATCCCAAGGGGTATAACTCTTCTGGCAGTCCACCTAGCCGGGACCGACAACAAGGAAGCCGACGTCTTGAGCAGGCACATGTCAATGACTCACGAATGGGAGCTGGATCGACAGATCTGCAATCAACTTTTTCAACTTTGGGGACATTCGGACATCGACTCGTTTGTTACCCACAGGAACAGGGTATGCAAAATGTTCTGCTCCAGAGCAGGCATGGGACCGGGGTCAATAGGAGACGTCCTCATGATCCCTTGGTCCAACATAAAATTGTATGCTTTTCCGTCAATTCCTCTATTAACGAAAGTTGTTTTGAAGATTATACACGACGGTGCCACAGGAATCTTGATTACACCCTGGTGGACCCACCAGGGTGGTTCTCCACCCTCCTTCAGATGTCAGACAACACGTTTCTCCGCCTTCCGTCGATACCACACCTGATAACGCAGCAAGACGGAGCTGTCTGTCACCTAGACTTAACCTCCTTGAGCCTCACGGCATGGCGAATTCGTTGACTGACGTTACTGACTTGGTACCGACGACTACTCGAACACTCGGTACCTCTACTCATGAACCGGAGGCACTGCTTACCCTCTCGGTTCCAATAGACTTTACCTCGGGACCGAGTACTCTAGACCTGGACATTCAGAGAATTCTCGAGTCTGCTCTACGACCGTCAACACAGAAGTGAAGTGGTGCCAATTCTCATCTTTCACTGAATCACATTCATTTGCTCCAGAGTCAGGCTCGATTGAAAATACACTACAGTTTCTTCTGCAACTACATTGTTCGGGACTTAAACCTTCATCTATTAAAGTCTATGCGGCAGTAATATCACATTACCGTGGTGCTATACAAGGCTTATCGGTGTTTTCACAGCCTCTTATTGGGAAGTTCCTTTAAGGACTGCAAAATCTTCACCCTTCAATCCAACCTGTCATGCCTACGTGGAGTCTTTCAGTTGTTCTTCAAGCACTTACAAAACCTCCATTTGAACCTTTGGCGACCGTTGATCTGCGTCTTGTATCCTGGAAAACAGCTTTTCTTGTAGCTGTCACATCAGCCTGCAGAGCTAGTGAACTTTGCGCTCTTCGAGTAGATCCACCTTATTTGAACTTTCATAAGGAAAAAGGTGGTTCTTCGAATGGACTCTACGTTTTTGCCCAAAGTAGCCACTCTGTTCCATTTGAATCAAGAAATTGTCTTACCTGCTTTCTTGCCATCACCATCGAACCCGTTTGAGAGATCCTTACATACTCTTGATGTGCGTCGTTGCTTGGCTTTCTATAGATCGCGCACAGAATCTCTTCGACTTTCCAACAGACTCTTCGTGAAATACTCTGAGCATGACAAAGGATCTCCTGTCTCATTGCAGAGACTGACGAAATGGATCATTTAAACCATTGTATTGGCGTATCAACTTGCAAAGTTAGACTTACCTGTTGTTCCGAGGGGTCATTCCACGAGAGCGGTAGCAGCTTCTTCTGCCTTTGCCGTGGGAATCCCAATCCAAGACATCTGTAAAGCTGCGACTTGGGCTGCTCTGTGCACTTTCGCCAGGTATTACCGCCTTGATGTGCGTGCCAGACAGGACTGTTCCTTCAGTAGGGCTGTCCTCTCCACCGTTCTTCAATGATGAAACCGCCCTCCTCCGAGTCTGGTAAGCTTGCTACTCACCCATATGTGTGATGTACAGAGGCCATGACGAAGAAAAGCAGGTTGCTTACCTGTAACTGATGTTCTTCGAGTGGCCATCTGTGCATTCACACAACCCACCCGCCAGCCCCACTTGGTGTCGGTGAGTGGATTCTGTGTCGGTACCATGCATTAATACTCATGGTATCCTACAAACTTATTATAATGTATTTCTCTCCCGAAAGGGGGCGAACTATTGGTCTTTCAAAGACTGGGGGAAATGGTGGACACTCCACTCTTATATAGTACTGGGGGAGGGAAGCAGAGTTTTCCCGCCAAAAACCGTTAGCTTTCTAATCATTCCGGCCTTAGGCACTGCGCAGGCACAGCGCCCATATGTGTGAATGCACAGATGGCCACTCGAAGAGCATCAGTTACAGGTAAGCAACCTGCTTTTCTCCCATCTGAGCAAGAATAGTGTACTTTTGCAGAATGTGTAGAAAAAGGCAATTAAAAGTATCAGAGGTTTGGACAGTTTCCCCATGAGGAAAGACAAACATATTTATTTTTTTTAATTTAAGAATACTAAAATATTGCATGATGTAGAGAATGTGGATAAAAATAAGTTTTTCTTTCTCTAATAATACTAGAATTTGAAATCACTTGTGAAAATGGTACAGATGGAAGCAAACATATCTTCATACAACACAATTTATGGAATTTCTTCACTTTTCTCACTTGGTCAGGTGGTGGTCAATGGCTTAGGTTGTTTCACAGAGGATAGTTGATAGCAGCAAATGGCTTGCATAGATTCTTCTTGTTTGGAGGCAAAATGTCTTTGAATACCAGTTGTGGGACAGTTGAGAGCCAGTGTGGTGTAGTGGTTAAGAGCATGGGACTGGGACTCAGATGATCTGGGTTCTAGTCCCCGCTCAGCCATGGAGCCAACTGGGTGACTTCGGGCCAGTCACAGACTCTCAGCCCAACCTACCTCACAGGGTTGTTGTTGTGGGGATAAGGTGGAGGAGGAGAATGATGTAAGCTGCCTTGAGCCCTTTGTAGGAAAAAGGCAGGATATAAATCGAAAAATAAATAAAATAAATAAATAGTGATGGTAGATCCTTGAGATCTTTTTGGAGTCATCTGGCTAACCATTGTGAGAAAAAAGATGCTCTAGGTGGATATTTCGTCTGATGCAGCAGGGCTCTTCTTATGTCTTTAACAATAGGTGGAGGGCAGTTGGGAAATCATGTGAATTTCAGTGATTGACAGAGTAAAACTGGGTGAAAGTTAAACATTTAGAGTAGGAAGACACCAAGCAACCCTGTTATACTCATCTTTAAATTCCTGTATTTTTTTGAAGCTCATGATAATCTAAATGCCACATTAGGTGTTGGTGACCATGTGGAAAATAGATATATAGATAATCCACTGCTAGAACTTTAAATAAAGCAGAATCTGTCGAGCAAGCCATAATATATAGCCATTGTATTATGCAGATGGAAGCTTTTTGATCTAGTAGTTTTTGGGTGGGTCATGTGGTGAAGCAACTTTTGTCATTTTCCCTGTCACACTAGAGTTGTGTTCATCCTCCAAAAATCTTTTCTGTAGTGTTGTCCAATTCACCCTTGTGAGCAGATTTTCAGAGGCACAAATGACTATTTGGAAGTGTAAGAAATCAGTCTTCTGTCATGACTCCATTCCATGGGTAGGAGTGGAACTCCAGTTGAGCTGTTTCTGCAGACAGGAGTAAAGTCTAGATCTGTTTGTTTGTTTTTCTTTAAAATGTGACTTTATGCCATCCTGAGTGCTTGTCAGAAGGACAGGATACAAATGTTTGTAATAAATAAATAATAAATAAATACTTGTTATACATTTTATAGCTGTGTTCCTTTTCTTTCTTTCCTATAATGTGTTCACTTACACATTTTGAAAACTTCACCTAATGACAAACTGCATTTGAACCATCTTTTAGTTATGAGGCTATTTTTAGAATTAGCTAGATGATAACAAAAAGATGATATACCATATTTAACTGTACATTTAAAAATCTAGAAACTGTAGAAGCAGAAGTAGTACATTTGGAGTAGAATTTACCATGAATACTTGTGAAAAGCAGAATAGTTTAATAAATGTTGTTTTCTCATTTTGCCTTTTATTTGCCTTTTTAAAGGAGCTCTTATTATTCTGGGCAAAGCTCACAAATTTAGATTCAACCACCCTGCTGAGGCTGCCATTTTAAGACAAAGACGATCAGTAAGTTTGGAGCATGTTACATTTTACTTCTTTTCCAATTGTTCTTTTGCTGATAATTTCAGTACTTTCTTGTAAAAATAAAAATGGGGAAAAGAACATTAATTCAGTGTTATTTTCTGTCAGGGAAATAAATGTATGTATCTTCTAAAAGAAGCCTTGCTTCTTCTCCTATTTATATGGTTGTATTTATATTATTTTTTAATTTTACAATGTTCTTTGGCTTGTTTGTTATAGTTATTTATTTTTATCTGTATTTTATATATATATGTATAGTGCACTGTGAGCCACCCAGAGAGCTTTCGGCTGTGGGGCAGTATACAAATTTAATAGGTAGGTAGGTAGGTAGGTAGGATAATGCTTTAGACTTGCTGCTCTATAGAGGGGCTTTTGTCATCAGCAACTATGGTCAACTTCTAGATGGTCTTATTATGTTGGTTCTGACACTTCCTGGAAGAACGATTTCAGTAGTGGCACTGTGAAATGTCTACATAATATCTTAGCAGTAGGCCTGGGGGTTCCTCTATGTTATGGTTAGGCTTCTATGCTGTTTTAGCATCCATATGACATTCTTAGGAAAGTTTATCTAGGCATTTAGAGCTTGAGACCATGGCGCAGAGTCACAATCCCCTAGCATCACCTTCTGGAATCTGAAGTACCTCCAGCTTGACAAGTCTATCCAAAAGGATACCATGGTCGATGGCATCAGAAGCTGCTGAGAGGAGAACCACCAGGGATACACTCCCCCTGATTTTCTTCCAGCAAAGGACACCCCATAGGAGAATGCCTATTTTCTCTCCAGTGGAAGAAAGTGTGGGTCAGGTGAAACACAACTACAATTGGGGCAGCTTGTACCACACCTTCACCATATTGGAGAGGATCCTGGGCAAGCAAACCACTTAAAATCTATAGCACTTTAAGTGCTATAAAACAGGTACTTTATTCTACAGCCAATTTACAGTGATCTACCATTGGGTGCTCACTATTTTGTCTGGTATTACTTAGAGGGCTAGCACTGCATATGCTCACCTGTTTTCTTCCACCCCCTCCTTTTTGCATATGCACACATCTCATGCAGCAATGCAGAACTTTAAACCTCCCACCCACACCCACTGTGATCTAAGGATCAGTGGGGTATGGCAACAAGAAAGCTCCTCCTATCACCCAAAAGTCATCATTTAGTTTGTGAAACTAGACTATTAGTAGAAATGTCATCTCTCCTATTCCCCAGCTCTCACCACTGAGATCACTTGTCACCAACAGTCATCTCTGGAATTGCTGTGGGTTCAAAGAAGACTTTGCTTCTTCCATCCCTCTCTGATCACCTGCAAAACTGCTATTAGCAGTGCTAGAACAGCATCTTTTCTTTGAAGTTCAGGTGGGCAGCAGAGACTAGTGGGGAGAATGTGCCTGCTTCTGAGGATCTACTGTGATTTTGTAAGTCTTGCTATTCTCACTTTATAGATCAGTGAGTCCTCTTCCGTGATGATCAGCAGATCTCTTGAATGGCTAGATTTGGATGGAGACTTCCCCTCCCTTTCCTATAGTTTTTATCCAGCTGAAACAGAAAGGTAAGTTTTAAAGAATTTGACTAAATTTTTAAAAATGCAGTTTCTATTAATTCTACTTTGAGGGAAAATGTTGCAAACACTAAAACTCCAGCTGCTTCTACTTGCTTCTTACCACGTTAGGGACACACAAATTCTTACAGTAGCATGACCATGACTCACACTGCACTGCTGAGGACAGAAGTATCCTTCACTATACTGAAGTATTCCTGCTTGTCTTAATATATGATGCAAGACCTCTTTGGGATTGAATTACTGGGACTGAATTACTGTAGTTAAAACCTAAAGTGGATACACCTCCTACTGCATCGTATCTACCAGTCTCTACCGCAGTCCTACATATAACAAATTGCAGTGGTGTAACCTGCATGCTGCTAGTGCATGATGAAAGTTGGAGAACAACTTTCTCCAAAAAGCAGGTGCAGGTGGCTCACCTGATGAAAGGTTTTACTTCTACGGATGCCATCTACACATCTAGCAGAGAAGCTGCAAAAGCTGCAAATGTTCTCTAAATGGGAGCACAGTCCTATCAAGAGCAATCATAACCAACAACAAGTTTGTCTTGTCAGTGTGGATTCATTTGATTTAGACCTCATCCTGCCTATTACCATCTCCAGACTTCTGTTGAGGGCATCTACAGCTATATTTACATATGATTTTAAACAGAGAAAACTGAGAGTTACTTGCATGTAGGCAACCAGTTTGAAAGCAGTGGACATAAATAATGAAGTCTTATACCAGTGTTCAAAAACAGAACAAATTGTTTTGCAGTTATCAAGATGAACTGCTCTGCTGCAAGTGTTACATTGCCTTCTCACTCTTTTCAATTGAACATGATCTGTCAGAAGATTTGCATGCTCCTGTTTCTGAGTCTATGCTTGTATAATACAGGCTTTATTCATGTGGGAATAGAGCAGGAGGCACTAACCGCAAATAGTATTTATGTGTAGCAGAATTCTTAACCTTACATATAACTGTTTTGTTCCTTTAGTGAATTCTGGGTCTGTGTCCCAGCTGCAATGTCACATAAATGTCACAGGAAGAAGAGCTTTAAGAGTTCCTAGTTGGATCTCTATTAGGCAGCTGTAGAGTTACTGGGTTAAATGGCATGTCTGGTCCTGCGCAGCTCCTGTAGGCATGTGCTTCTGTATGTAATGCTGAGGTTATGGTGTGGTACTGAAAACAGCCTCTTGATTGGATAAATCTGCCTGGGAGGAGATGTGCTGGAGAAAAATGCAAATCAGTGGATAGGTTTGTTATGCTATAACTCGGACTCCTAAGTGTTAAGTACTAGCCTTTAGTAATTCACAGGAATATTTACAGCTTTGTAAAATATTTTTTTCAGCCCTATTCAGTTTTTAAATATGAGAACCATTTTAATAAAATATACCTAATATTTAGGGAGCCTACAAGGAGAAAGAAATCTGATTTATCTGAGGTATTTTCCTCTTTAAAATTGAGATAATTATGGTTTTAAGGAATTGTATCTTTTCTGTTGCTCAAGCTTTTTTTTTTTTCTGACTCTCAGTATATGGCTGCAGCAAAGCACTCAGCTTCATTACTAGGCTGTTGCTGCCATAGATACTGAAAACTGCATTATGCTGTAGAAGCTGCCAGATTCTGCATCACCCTAAGAGGAGAGGAGTTATACAATAGCATTCCAGGAAGCTGATGGCAAAACAGCTGGGAAAAAGGCTGATTTTACTATGCTTATTGCAAAATTAATGCCTAGCAAATAAACCAGCTGTTTTTCTAATCTTGGAAATGTTCTAACTTATTTGTTCTTGCATTTGGTTTAAGGTCAGTGATATTTTTTAATTTGCCTTGTTACATGCTATTTAATATGAATACTAGTAATGCTATTCATAGTTATTAAATCTAGTGAGAAATGTGTCTTGTATTCCATAAAGGTACCATGCCTTCTACGTTCCTTGGTTTTATATATCTTAATCCAAGGGAAGAATCAGGAGTAGATTTTTTTGCTGATTTTTCTTCATATTTTCCAGAGTAAAGTCAGCAAGGTTGCATTATTTGCTAGCAAGGCTGTATTACCTGTGCTTGAATTTGAAATAAGGGGAACCTGAACAGTAGAGGATATTTCTTAAAATTACTTAAGATACAGGAGAATGCTTGAAGCAAGCTAAAGTTGTACCAGTATCTGGATGAGGATGTTTCTGTGAACCAGTAAAACAGCCACCTGTGTGAATTTTGAAAGGTAGAGAACTGCTTTCATCATGTGAGATTATTTTTATTATATTGATTTAGAAATTTCTCTTTGTATGGAATGTTTGGAAAAAGAGATGTAGTAGAACATCTGGTATGCACTGCTGCCAGTCCCCTTAAGGTTGCTTTGTCATTAGTTATGCACAAGACCAGCAAGTATACATTGTTGGCATGTCATTGTTGTTTTTAATTGATTGTGTATGGAAAGATTCAAGTTCCACATCCTGTCAGCTTCAGGTTCTCTAATGTTATTGCAGCAGATAAGTCTACTGTACTTTCATGATGCTTATGCCACCCTGGGTGAATTTTCATTACCTATCTACTTACTGGAAAAAGTTCTTCTTGTCCTTGACTTCAGTATTTGAACTTGCTGATATTAAAAAGAATCATACAGATAAGGAGAAGCATTGAAACCAGTGAGTTTTAAAAATAATTTAAAGCATAAAAACTTCTAGGTGTATATCTCCTTAAGTAGCACAGCATTAATCACGGAGGTAGCAAAAATTACGGACCTGTGAGTTACTGTAATCAGAACAGAGTATGCATTATTACATTGTGGAAACACTGCTTTCCAGTGAATGGTTTATAAAGACCACGGTCTGGTCTCTTGAAATGGTTATTAGCAAACTACTGACCATTATTCAGTAGTTCAGCTTTGTTCAGCCACAGATTCTGCGTGTAAAAGATTGAGATATACTTTAGGGTTAATAGCCCCTACCTTATGGTCTCCTGTTCTTAGTAGAACAGCTTTTAAAAGACCTGCTATCCTTGAATATTCTAATTTTTGATTCTGTATTTCCTGTTTCAACTGGACATTTAGTTTAAATGGCTTTCTGGCCAATTTAGAGTGTTTGAAAGTTAGAAATGAAAGTGAAGGATAACCTTTTTATTGTAAGTATAAGAGATCTCTGAATGAAGAAAATACTTAAGTAAAAAAAGCTTTAGGTTTATGACTTTCTGGGCATAGAGCCATTTATTTGCTCACTAAAATTTCAGTAACATTAAAATAATCCAGGAACTTGCAATATTGCACCGTAAGCTATTTCTTATTTATTGGAATTAGTTATAAACCTCTTTTCTATACAAATGCTAAACAAGCTGTTTACAAATAAAAATAATAAAATCGCAACACACATTACAATGACTGGGAACAATTTCTCATCAGCCTCATCAGTGCTATTCAGAAACTTCAACTAATGTAGAAAACAAATTAAGCAGCATTTTGACAATACCTTGCCCACATGTGCAACCTTTACAACTTGGTACCAGACAAAATACTAGCCTGTAAACCTGTTTTCATTGCAGATGTGGGATGAGGGATGATTTCCTCAATTGATGGAACCCTTCTTTATGAGGGTCCCTGCAAAAGAATCATCAGTAGGCTGTCACCACAGGCCATTCTTTCTGCATATGTCCTAGTCTGTCCAGCTCAGGAGCTCTGCTCTAGGGCACAAAAGGGAAGTGGCTTTGGATTTTCTTGTCTTAAAGACTGGAAAACACAGGACTTAACAAAGCCTTGTGAAAATCCTAAGAACATAAAGGGGTATATTAACAGTGCTGGAGTCAAGCATATGGAAGAATTTCTCTATAAGAAAGACCAATGCAGCAAAATATCCAGATATAAAGAATTTATTTGGGAATGGAGTAAAACAAGAACAAGGCACCTACAATCACACAAACAAATTTCGAATAAAAAGTAGCTAATTGCATGTGAATTATCTGAGTTTTGGAGCAGACGTAAAGTTCATTAGAGACACCATCTTGTCCTTTTATTCACTGTTGGCAGAAAAATTCAGACCTAGAGTAATGTCACATTTTTATGGGAATCTGAGCTCACTAAAAGCATTTTACCAAAGCTAACTGTTGTTTTGTCCATTAGTGTGACATTCTTATGACAGTGGTCTAGCCAGAAAAACTTGTAATGGCTGAATCCACTTTCTTAATGACTTGCAATTTGCATCTGAAATAAGCAGTCCAGTTCCTACCTGGTGGGCTACAATAAAAAAGGCTTAGCATGCAAATATTTATTGGAGAACAAATATATAATTTGGCTTATTGTCCTGCTGTGGCTGGATCAAGCTCAGCTTCGGATTAAACTGATGGAAAATCCAAAAACAAGTCAATAGACTGGTTAAAGGCAGAGTTTTACCAAGCCAGAGGGAGAGAGGCCAAAGAACAGCCAAGGTCAAAATCTGTATAAACAGATACAGTACAGAGTCCATTCAGAGGCGAAGGTCAGTAGCAGAAAAGTTCAATCACAGAAAAAGGTTAGAAGTGCAAGGCACTGCAGCTAGTAGGAAACAATGTTTCCAGCAACAATAGAACGATATCCAAGTCTCAGCAGTAGTTTGCTACAGACCTTTCTTCTGAGGAGTTCCTTTCTCTCCAGTTCTTCTTATTTAAGAATTGCTCATTAAAGGGGCCCACTGGCTTGCCTCTGGGGCAACAACACTTTGCCCAGCCTCAACTTCAAAGGCTATGTACCCATCCCTTTATGAGAGTGGCACTCTCTCCTGTGGGCCCAGACTCCCTCAGGTCTCCTTCCATGAATGATTCCTTGGTTTTTACTTTCTCAAAGAACTCTAGCTCCTTCTCAAAGGAAGATTCCTTCAATGAGGGCAGAAGGCTTTTTCAGACTTTCTAGGAAGGTGCAAACCTATCAGATGCTCTAGAGGGCAATGCTGAGCTACATCTAAATATAGTAATTTATCATGTATTGTATAGCTTAGACTCTAATAAGCCTGGAAGACCATATCTTCACTTATATCTTGTCATGATCTCAGAAATGGATAGATCCTTTCAACTTAATATCTGTATGACAAATTCAAGCATCAAAGGCAAATACGAGTTCCTGACAATCAGCACCCCACAAATGTAATTTATATTATTGTAATTATATAAATGTAATTTATATTATTATCATTATTATTTATTACTACTACTACTACTAAGACATTTTTAGTAGTTATGTTAACCAAGTTGGTGGGAAAAGAAAGCCAGTTATAAATTATTTTATAGATAGATTTATTTTGTCCATTTGTTTATTTTCCATCCTAATCTGTGAGGTAAGGTAAATGTTAATTGAATGAAGAAAAATGTTAGGATATTTTTATATTTAAAAATACAACAAAATAATATTCTCTTAGAATTTGCTTTGGCTGTGCACATATTATAGTAACCTGGCAAGTGAAGCACAGTTCTTTTAGCAGCCAGATGCCACAGATTTTATTGTTTGCTTTTCATTTAGACTGTGGAGAGCAGTGAGCACTAAGGCAGTGAGCAAAGCAGCCCTTCTCTTACTAGGCTTCGGTTTCTGCTTTGTGTTTACAACATTTGTTGATCCTGATTCCCTGAGGTTGCTGGATAGAGGTTGTTAGGTTTTGGGGAACAAATGCAGTTTAATACATTATTGAGGAAAGTCAAGAGCCAGTGGGGTGTAGTGGTTAAGAGCACAGGATTGGGACTCAGAAGAGCAGGATTCTAGTCCCCACTCAGCCATGGAGCTCACTGAGTGACTTTGGGCCAGTCACAGACTCCCAGCCTAGCCTACCTTGCAAGATTATCATTGTGAATAAAACTGAAAGGAGGAGGAGGAATATGTAAGCCGCCTTGAGTTCACTGTAAGAAAAAATGACAGGGTATAAAAATAATAAACTTAAATGAATAAATGAATCAGTGCTTTTATTTTGCATCTAAGTGATCACTGTGCTGTTACGCAAAAAAGAAAAACTTGCCTTGAGTTATTCAGGTAACCTCTTCTGCCAACAGAATGGATCCTGTTAGAAGAATGGGGAAAGATGATTCCTTATCCATCTGCACCCTCAAAATCTATTCAAAGGTTGCGAGGGGTGGGGACAAGGAAAGCTATAGGGCTGAAGTGAGAAAAGTCTCATTGCATTTTTATATTGATTTTTATTGTGAACTTCAAAATCAAAAACAAACCTAAAAAAGGAGAAAAGAAATTTTAAAAAAAGTACTGTTTCCTTACGTGAGATTTGGGTGACTCTATCAAAGCAAATGCACATATTGAATACTCTTAATGTTTTATATATGAAAATATACTATTATTAAGGATAATTATGACTAGATGTCAATATGGGTAACTCAGACATCCATGTATTTGTTCATTCATAAATTATGCCTAAAAACTACCTGTTCAAAAATGATGAACATTTCATCAAGTCCCGTTGTGCTATTGCAGATGGCCCTTTGTCCTTTCAATGCTGTAATATTAGTCTTTTTGCCATCAAAAAGGCATGGAAAATGCATTTACATTGACCTTAGGATAAGTTCTAAGAGATGGGTAGATAATTAAAAAAAAACATGTGTATCAAAGCATGTGTAAAGAAGTTTCCATTACAAAATCTGAATTCTTACCTCCACCCAAAAAGAAGCAACCATTGGGCATTGCCAAAGCATTTGAGGAAAATTAACCTAAGATCTGTTAACCTTTCTGAAATAGATGCCAACCAAGCACTCAGTTGATAGGGCAAAACAGGGTGCTCCATTTCATTATTCCATTCTTTTCACATTTGTTTACTGATAATAGATCAGCATAGCTGTTTAAGCTTAATCAATATTTGTAATAATAAAGGAGGGTTTTGAAACTGTAAAAGCAGCAGGGCTAAACCTAGATTCTAACAGAGGTTTCAACAGCACATATTAGCATTCACCTATGGCAGCGCAAATCATATTTTGCATGCAAAAACAGAAAATGACAAGAAGTTATTATCCAAAGTATAAACCAGCCTGTCCATTCAAGTCATTTCACTGGATTTTTTTCTGCCAATCTTTAGGTTTGGGTTTCCTCATAAGTTATTCTTGCCTAGGAAAGTAATAAGTCAGGTTGCACTTGGTAGTAAACTATGAACCATAGGCTTAACCCTATCCCATAAGCTTAACTTTAAAGATGGCATTCTGTCAGTTCCCCATAGTATCTCATTAATCAGCTTACTCAATTTTAGCTTGATCATTTCAGATACATTTCTGAGAACAAATATTCCCAGGTAAGTGATGAACTCTGGGCAAAATCTTGTCAGTTAACTAGTGCACTATGAGATATAGTGTCCAGAAGGGAAGCCTTTTTATTTTCACATTGAGTTAATTAGTTTCCCTCTCCTACCCACAGAATGGAAAGAGGTTATTCCCCAGCCCCATGCAGCCCAAATGCATCTCAAAATCTGCTCAGAAATTGGAAAGGGAGTCAAGGAAGATTGTAGGAGGGAGTTGAAGAGAGAGAGTCCTGTTGCAGGACAGTCCACTCATACAACATTGGATTCTGCCCTTAGCATTTACTACCTACAGCTGTGATTATTGGAATTGTACCCTGTAATTAGTACAACACATTAAACAGATTTCTTTATATGAGTTGGAGAGACACATAATTACCAAAGGTTGTATCATCTATTAAATCTGTCTGTATGTATGGAGTATCATGCGCCACACATAGCTTTTCAGATGACAATATAAAAATTCATTAGGCTCTTAATATAAGTAACTTTAAATACTTTCATTTGTAAGTCATAGGTCAGAGCTACCAGTGGATATGAGTGTGTTTGCATAATACCATGCTATCATGTTTGTAAATTCATAAGTAGTAATGCTCTCTGGAGGACCTTACTGTTACTGAGATCATAATCCTATCACAATACAATGCCCATAAATTCCCAAATTTTAGAGGCTTACAAGCATTATATGCAGAGCAGAAAGAGCAACAGAGGGAATCTTTGCCTCCTCCTTCTACCACCCTGCACATTCCCTTAAATGGGCTTTTTTACAAATCTAGCAAAAGCATCTTGGGGTGGGGGTAGGGGAAGGAGACTGGAGTAGCTGCAGGATGCCTCACATCCAGACCTATCCAGTCTCCTCACTATGCCTCAAACACTGCTTTTTAGCTCTCTCACAGTTTTTTCTGCACCAGCTGCAGGGAAGCTGGGTTGGAAATCTCATCCCCTGCTCTGAGGTCAGAGTGCTGTCTCTAACCTTGGAATCCATGACTCTTCAGACACTGTCTCGGGGCCATTGGATGGTTACCTTCATGTCTTAAATTGTTTTTCAGAAATAATAGTGCCTACATGGCCTGAAATATGAATTAAGGTACACATACCCTTCTTATCAAGCTATTTTTGCTATAATAAAATGGTTGAGCTTTAGAGTTTTTGCTTAGGGTGAACCCTAACAGTTAATGGAGTTAATATGTAGTGGTGTGGTGTGGTGATAGTGGTGTGGTGTGGTGTGGTCTTTAACAGTGCAGAACTGGGACTCAGAGAATCTGGGTTGTAGTCCCTGCTCAACCATGGAGGCAAATGGGTGTCTTTATACTCTCAACCTAGCCTACCTCACAGGATTGTTGTTGTGGGGATAAGAGTGAAAGCAAGAGAAGGAGAATGATGTAAGCTGTTCAGAGTTCTTTAAAAAGAAAAAAGTTGGGATATAAATCTAATCAGTAATATAAATGTAATAAATCAATCTATACATAAATAAAGACATTTTCCTGATTTGGCATTGTTTCTATATTGTTATAATAGTTTTTAAAAGTGTATTTTAAATTTTGTTGTGGTTGAAATAGTTTTTAATAGTGCTTTAATAATACTGCATTTAAGGATGTCACCCAGTGTAGCAAATTCGGAGGATTATGGGCCCTAGTTAAGCACAGGAGAGGGAGGCAAGGATTGCTGTCGTGCTTCCCTGACCTGCAAGACATACACAGATGACTGAAATGTCTGTTCTCTTTGCTTGTGAGGAGAATGGGCTAAAGCACTGTTGGGATTCTGCCCTGGCAACTTCTGAAGAGCAACTAGTATGGGGAAGCTTGTACTGGTTCTCAGGAAGAGGTGGTTTCTCAGTTGGAGCCTCACCTCTGACCTCAGAACCCATATCTTAGTTCAGCACTGGTTTTCCAACCTATCCTGCAGATGCTTAGATGGCATCTGGTGGCCATAGGATTGTGTCTGTAATGTAGTTTTTAGTATTCGTATGTGAACTGTTTGAATATGTTAGGTAGTGAATGATATATAAGTATTATTCAGGAAAATAAATAAATGAATAAATTGAGGCAGAATAAACTGTGTTACTTGATGGAGGCTGCTATGAAGTTTCTTTTTTATTTAATGCTACAAATGAGAATTCTGACATTACTGTGACATAACACACATCTGCATGCTCACACACATACAACCTTTCCATTAACCTTCCTCTTGGCCATCCTGTAGTAGTTGAATTTTTCATTGTACAAACTTACTTTCATTTTGTTAGACTTAAAGGGGATATGTTCAACGCACAAATATGTTGCTTTTCTTGTTTAAAATATTTGTCAGATTTTTTAGCAATGAACAGAGAGATGCTCTGCATGAAGAATGCCAAACAAAGCTGAAAAACCAGGAAGTTCTCCAAAGCAGGGAAATTCAACAGCAGCAACTTTATGTTGAAGAATTACAACAACAGATCTTGGATGGGCAGATCAAAGCTGAGCAAGAACTAGAACATGACCAGGCAGTAATCAATGAGCAGATCAAAGAAAGTGAGTTATTTTCCTCTCTTCCCATATTCTCATTTTTACTACTTATACTACAGATTCAATTTTCTCATTTATTCTATTATTTCTTTTATTCCTCATTTTTCATTATTCCTATAATGAAACTAATGTTTCAGTAGTGGCGCACTTTTCATTAACAACCCCTTGTTAGCTTTATGGCTTTTTTCAGTGATATACTTCAGTGTATATTTTTGACTTTCTCAGAACTAATGGCTGGAACTACTTCCTGCTTTAAATTGGGACATGGCTGCAGAACTACTAATGAAGGATGTGTCAAAATGTCTGTTTCCTTGGCTGCTGCAATTGCAGTTCCATTTTCCCTGATTTGTGCTTCTGCCTTTTTCTTAGATTAGTCTCACTGGTCATCCTAGCCATGCAGGGATTATGTACAGTACTATGTAGGCAACTGAGGATTTAAGAAGGTGGGAGCAAGTCAAGCCAGTGCTTCTTGAATGAATTAGTATGAGCAGTCGTACTCAGAGAAGGATCATGAGGGGCTCAAGGCAGTGCTGTTAATTTCATTTGATGAATAAGCTTGTGCATGACACCGCTACTGAAATTGGTAGACCCAAGAGGTCACAAATGCACTGAGTACTCACAGCAAGGCAATTGTCCCATTTCTCTGTGGTGTACATGATGGTCACCTGTCTTCTTTCTAACCTGGGGTGTGGGGAGGGTACAGGTGGGGCTCATCTTCATGCTGTGCTTTGGAGGTGTGTTGCATGGAGCAACATTTTAAGGGGAACGCTTAATCTTATTCTGGTTACATTGCATATTGGAGACATTTGGGGTATCTTAGAAGTAGTGTGTTACTAGGGGAATGATCTCCTGCCCACCTCCTGATCTTTTAGCTCAGGAACAGGACTAAGGCTCAAACTGCTTTAAAAGTTCTGCACAACGTGAGTAAGCTCCAGCCCTTCTCCAGAGCATGGACTGGAGAAGAACTTATGGGAGTTGTCCCTGATTTCATGTCATACTAACCAGTGGATAGCCAGTGTGCTGTCTGGCTTTCAGGTAACCTACCAGTGTTGGAAAAGTATACTTTATTTTGCTGAATCATGCTGTTTTTAACCCTTTCGTGTTTTTATTGAGTTTTATGATACTTCATTGTATTTTAGCATTTGCTTTTATGGATTGTGTGAACTGCCCAGAGCACTGGACTATGGGGTGTATAGAAATTAAACAAACAAACAAAATCATTATTTAAAATAATCCCAGACCATCTGGACACAAGGTAGTATAAAGAATTTAGTTGTTGGAAGAAAATAATAATGTACAGGCACAATAATTTACTACAGATAATTTTCAATTTCTTGGTCTTTCTACTTGTTACATCCTGTTTTTGCCCATCCATAGTTCCTTTCCTCTTATAAAAAATATGACTAACTGTGAATGTAAATTTATGGATATGGAATTGAACATATTTCTCAACAGGCAAACCACCTACCTATTCTGTTTTGTTGGGATTAAATTTAAGTTTCTTTGATCTGGTCCAGTCCATTATTAATTCCAGAACTGCTGGTTCAGCAGTTCTACTCTCTCCCCTGAATCTGATGAAAAAGACAAAGCTGAGTATTGTCAGAATATTGATGACATCTAACTCGCATTGTCATTTTCCAGCAGCTTCCTGTAAATATTAAAATCATGAAGAACAATAAAAAAATCCTTGCAGAACCTCACTTCATAAATGGCATAGTATGGGGTTACTGTGCAGGTATGAATGGAGCAATTGTCTTACTGTACCTTCAGCTCCAAACCACCAAGAGTCTATCCTAAAAGATACCGTGGTTGATAGTATCCATAGTCAATTATGGATTCTGAAGATTTAGTAGCTGTACTTCCCAGTTTGTGTTCCATCAGGGTGACCCAGACACATCACATTAAAATATTCAGGTAATAATAAAAGAAACACAGGAAGCAGGAAATAATACTTTAATAATAATACATAATGGTATTCCAAGGGAAGGGAGGGGAAGGGGCCTGCCGTGGTGCTCCAGCCTCCTTCCTTGTCCATCCAAAGAACTTCCGCTGGATGGCTGAAATGAACTGTCCATCAGACTAGCAAGGTGAGAGGAGTACGGAAGCAAAGTTTACCTCTGCACTCCTTTCACCATGCATAGGATACATATCCTATCCTCTGCATAGGGTACCTGCTACAATCCTCCAAGTTCAGAGGTTTATAGTTATCTCTTTCAGATTGCAAGTTAAATTGATCATACACTTCCTGTCATGAAACTGAGTCCCATGAAGCAAAATATTTTGAAAGTGAATTTTAGGATCACAACTTCTGGTTTTAGAAAGGATCAAACTGTTAGCCTGAGCCTGCCTGTTGTTAATTAACAAATTTCTTAAAGCAAGTAAAATTAGATTCGATAGTATCCTTCAAATTGTTTCTGTGGCATTGACTGGGAATGTGCTAAAACTGATAAGACCTGCAGATTTTCATACTCTGTTTTTATTTATTTCTAGACCAGCAGTGGCTCATTGATGAAAAGAAACGTCTGGCTGTTCAGCAACAGCAGCAGGAATCTGCAGTGCAGACAGATGTCAAATCATATGCAGAAGCTGGAATTCAGAATGTATTAGAATTGGAAATTGGCCCCTCCCTAACAGAGCAGAACAAGAAGAAATTGGTACAGCTAGAGCTTTTACGCAAATTCTCTTTGAAGAAAGCAGAAAGACATTTAAGTCGAAAAAAGGTTAAACTGCATTTGGAGAGGATTGTGAAGAAGCAGAAATTGCTAGAAGCCAAGAAAAACCTGAAATGGCTAGAAGCTACTTGTTGGATCACTGAAGATACTGTGAAGCATTCCCAGTCTCAGAACAAAGATGCAGTAGTAACTTCTTGGGACTGTAAATATTCACAGTTAAAATCAGATTCACACCCCTTGCAATGCAGAAAAAACCTGTCCCATCAGAGGTGAATACCTATACTAGCTTGTTGAACAAATGATGTTGAAATTGACATATTAATAGATCTGCCAACTACCCTTTTAGTGATTCATCACTAAGACTTAGACTTAATTGGCAGGGCTGACTGTTAAGAATATACATTTATTTATTTTTATATTTCTTTGGTTCTGGTGTGAATTTAAATTTGTTTCTTTAGAATATTTAGTTCTGTTTTTCAGTAGATGCTCTTGCAGCTGCTTACAAAAACATTAATTAACATTAAAATCACAAAATTCATAAGTAAAATCATGAAGCATTCACAATAAAATAACAAAGGATACTAGAACAGCTAAAAGGCCTGCAAAATAAAAGTTATTTTACCTGCCATTGAAAACAAAATAAGGACAATACTTAGTGAACCTACCTGGGGAGGGAGGTCCAGAGACAATGTGCCATAACAAAAAGGATCTGTCTCCTGTCAGTACTTTATTTTGTTGTTGTTACGTGCTGTCAAGTCATTTGTATAAACAAAAGCCTTCCAAAATGCCCAGTCCTTGATAGTTCGGCTCTTGTAAAACATTTCTTTATGAGCAACATTTATATAATGGTTAATCTGCTTAGAAAGCCATCGAGACAATACACAACAATTTAATACAAAACTACTGATCCTACAAACTAAGTCCTTTAAGTCATTTAGGACCTTACATGTCAAAAACCAGCATTTTGAATTGTGGTAGGAAATATGTGAGCTCTTTAAGAACTAGTTGTTGTTGTTGTTGTTGTTAGTCGCGAAGTCGTGTCCCACCCATCGCGACCCCATGGACAACATTCCTCCAGGCCTTCCTGTCCTCCACCATCCCCCAGAGTCACTCAAGCTCACATCAACTGCTTCAGTGACTCCATCTAACCACCTCATTCTCTGCCATCCCCTTCTTCTTTTGCCATCTATTGTGCCCAGCATTAGGCTCTTCTCCAGGGAGTCCATCCTTCTCATTAGGTGGCCAAAGTATTTGAGTTTCATCTTCAGGATCTGGTCTTCTAAAGAACAGTCAGGGTTGATCTCCTCTAGGACTGACCGGTTTGATTGCCTTGCGGTCCAAGGGACTCGCAGGAGTCTCCTCCAGCAACACAATTCAAAGGCCTCAATCCTTTGGCGCTCAGCCTTCCTTATGGTCCAACTTTCACAGCCATACATTGCAACTGGGAAGAGCATAGCCTTGACTATACGTACTTTTGTTGGCAGGGTGATGTCTCTGCTTTTTAGTATGCTGTCTAGATTTGCCATAGCTTTCCTCCCCAGGAGCAAGCGCCTTTTAATTTCTTGGCTGCAGTCCCCATCTGCGGTGATCTTGGAGCCCAGGAAAATTAAATCTGTCACTACCTCCATTTCTTCCCCATCTATTTGCCAGGAAGTGAGAGGACTGGATGCCATGATCTTAGTTTTCTTAATGTTGAGTTTCAAGCCAACTTTTGCGCTTTCCTCCTTCACCCCCATCAAGAGGTTCTTTAGTTCCTCTTCACTTTCTGCCATGAGAGTGGCATCATCTGTATATCTGAGGTGGTTGATATTTCTCCCAGCAATCTTAATTCCAACTGGTGATTCATCTAGCCCCGCCTTTCTCACGATGTGCTCTGCATATACGTTAAATAGGCAGGGCGACAGTATACAGCCTTGCCAAACTCCTTTCTCAATTTTGAACCAATCAGTGGTTCCGTGTCCAGGTCTCACTGTTGCTTCTTGACCCACATACAGGTTTCTCAAGAGACAAGATGGTCTGGTACTCCCATCTCTTTAAGAGCTTGCCACAATTTGTTGTGATCCACACAATCAAAGGCTTTAGGATAGTCAATGAAGCAGAAGTAGATGTTTTTCTGGAACTCCCTAGCTTTCTCCATGATCCAGCATATGTTGACAATTTGATCTCTAATTCTTCTCCCTCTTTGAAATCCTGCCTGTATTTCTGGTAGTTCTCGGTCCACATACTGCTGGAGCCTAGCTTGTAGGATTTTGAGCATAACTTTGCTAGCATGTGAAATGAGTGCAATGGTGCGGTAGTTTGAACATTCTTTGGCATTGCCCTTCTTTGGAATCAGAATGTAAACTGACCTTTTCCAATCCTGTGGCCACTGTTGAGTTTTCTAAATTTGCTGGCATATTGAGTGTAGCACTCTTACTGCATCGTCTTTTAAGATTTTGAATAGCTCAGCTGGAATACTGTCACCTTCACTAGCTCTGTTGTTGCTCAGACTTCCTAAGGCCCATTTGACTTCACATTCCAGGATGTCTGGCTCGAGGTCAGTGACCACTCCATCGTGGTTATCAGGGATGTTAAGCTCTTTCTTGTATAGTTCTTCTGTGTAATCTTGCCACCTCTTCTTAATCCCTTCTGCCTCTGTTATGTCCCTGCCATTTTGGTCCTTTATCATGCCCATCTTTTCATGAAATGTTCCCTTCATATTTCCCATTTTCTTGAAGAGATCTCTGGTCCTCCCTATTCTATTGTTTTCTTCTATTTCTTTGCACTGTTCATTTAAGAAGGCATTCTAATCTCTTCTAGCTATTCTCTGGAATTCTGCATTCAATGGGTTTATCTTTCCTTTTCTCCCTTGCCTTTCGCTCCCCTTCTTTCCTCAGTTATTTGTAAAGCTTCCTCAGACAGCCATTTTGCGTTCTTGCATTTCTTTTTCTTTGGGATGGTTTTAGTTGCTGCCTCTTGTACAGTGTTGCAAACCTCTGTCCACAGTTCTTCAGGCACTCTGTCTATCAGAACTAATTCCTTAAATCTATTTGTCACCTCTACTGTATATTCATCAGGGATATGATTTAGGTCAACACTGAGTGGCCTAGTGCTTTTCCCTACTTTCTTCAATTTAAGCCTAAATTTTGCATCGAGAAGCTCATGATCTGAGCCACAGTCAGCTCCTGGTCTAGTTTTTACTGACTGTATACGGCTTCTCCATCTTTGGCTGCAGAGCACATAGTCAGTCTGATTTCTGTGTTGACCGTCTGGTGATGTCCATGTGTAGAGTCATCTCTTGGGTTGTTGGAAAAGAGTGTTTCCTTTGACCATCGTATTCTCTTGACAAAATTCTACCAGCCTGTGCCCTGCTTCACTTTGTACTCCAAGGCCAAACTTGCATGTTATTCCAGTTATCTTTTGGCTTCCTACTTTAGCATTCCAATCCCCCATAATGATAAGGACATCATTTTTGGTGTTAATTGTAGAGGGTGTTGTAGGCCTTCATAGAACCGGTCAACTTCAGCCTCTTCAGCACCAGTGGTTGAGTCATAGACTTGGACTATTGTGATGTTGAATGGTTTGCCTTGGATTCGAACTGAGATCATTCCGTCATTTTGGAGATTGTATGCCAGTACTGCTTTTCCTACTCTTTTATTGACTATGAAGGCTACTCCATTTCTTCTGAGGGATTCTTGCCTGCAGTAGTATACCTGATGGTCGTCTGAATTAAATTCACCCATTCCTGTCCATTTTAGTTCACTGATTCCTAAGATGTCGATGTTCAGTCTTGTCATCTCCTGTTTGACCACATCCAGCTTGCCTTGATTCATGAATCTTACATTCCAGATTCCTATGGAGTATAGATCTTCACAGCATCGGACTCTCCTTTCAACGTCAGATGCATCTGCAACTGAGTGTCCTTTCAGCTTTGACCCAGTCGCATCATTTTTTCTGGCTTTACTAGTACTAGCCCTCCGGTCTTCCCCAGTAGCATTTTGGACACCTTCCAACCTGAGGGGCTCATCTTCCGGCATCATATCTTTTTGCCTTTTGGTACCGTCCATGGGGTTTTCATGGCAAAGATACTGGAGTGGGTTGCCATTTCCTTCTCCAGTGGATCACGTTTTGTCAGAGCTCTCTGCTGTGACCTGTCCATCTTGTGTGACCCTGCACGGCATAGCTCATAGTTTCATTGAGCTATGCAAGCCCCTTTGCCACAACAAGGCAGTGATCCATGAAGGAATAAGAACTGGTAGGATACATCTAATCTCAGTAATCTCAGTCATGCTGCTGAATTGTGCAGTATATTCATTTTTGAACTTTCTTCAAAAATAACCACATATACAATATATTTTTAAATGTGGTATTATTAGTATAATAGGAATTAAAATGCTACTGTAATAAGGAATTAGAAAGAAAATATAGTCATGTTTGCTTTTAGCTATGAGATGTAGGTTTTGTGTTAGAACTTTTATCTCTTACTTCCTTTTGTTTCTCACAAAACAGCAATCTTGATTTTTGGTAATATAGAGATAATATAATAACATAATTAAAGGTATCTTATAAATTCACAAACATATCTTACTATGTATAGGACTTCATGGCACCAAATATATTTTGAAAATTACATAGAAAAGTTCTTCTAAGTTCAATTGAGTTTTTTGTAGATCTAGTTGAAATAGTATTAAATGTATTTGTTTTGTTGCCTCCTAGAGTGAAGAATTAGATAAGATTAGATAAGAGCACCAAGCACTTATTAGCAATTGCGGGGTGGGGGTATCTGCCACTTTACACCAGCAGGAACTGATGACTCATAGTAGTTCCAAACTAGGATGGGCCCAACCATGCATCAGGATATTAAATCCATTCTTTGATTAGTTTTCTGGATCACTGGGGTAATAAAAACAGCTGTACCATTCCGTTGATTTGGCATACTTGCAGTAACAGTGCCAGGTGTTAGCACTGACTCTGGTGTTTTGCCCTGTCAGTTTGTGCAGAGAACAGGCTCCTGACTCCTAAGTTAATGACAAGAGTTTCTGTTGTGGTATAGATGATTTGGAAAGCAGTGTTCTGACTGTCTTCAAAACTATTAGTTTCAAAACAATGTATGGGCGGGCTGATTCTTATTATGCATCTGTCTTTGTTTTTACAGCTTTTTCCTGGAGAAGGATCCCTGTCAATTATCTACCTCAGCACACAGCTATGGATGCTCTAAAGTCAATCCACCAAGACAATCACTGTCTATAGAATATCTTCCCAGAACAATTCATGAATTTGTGAGAAGAGATAACATTCATGATGAGAAAGATGTTTATTTCCCAACTCAGAGTCATTTAATAAAAAATCAGAAGTCGCTGTATTTGGGAAATAAAAGAATAGTGGGGAATAATAGTAGTGATACTGATGTCATTTCTCACACCTGTAAAGACAGTCAAAAAATGGAGAAATTGGATAACAAACCATGGCAAACTAGATCTAAAGCTCAGAGCTCTAAGAATTGTTCTCCTGACCATTTTAAGAAGAAGTGTGCACCTGAAACTGCAAAGCGGGTAGTTAAAGCAAAACCACTAGGAGATTCAAATCAGTCCACAGGGAAGCATTTAGAAAAAAATGATGCTCAGGCAGCTAATAGAAAGGTTAGAACAGATAAAAGAAAAAAGTGCCAAAGTTCAGTTCCAGGATATCCTTCCAAAGAACTGAAAAAATCAGGAGTCTCTGATAAACCAGCCGTACAACAGCTAAACAAATCAGCAAAGAATGGGAAAAGAGATTCGAAAGGGAAGCCATCAGTGGAGCAACATGAACTCCTGAGGATTACAACTTCAGCAAGAAGCCTTAACAATTTAAACACCCACACGTTGCTCTGCCATGGTGAAAAAAGATGGCACAGTGCTGAGACACTGAATTTTGGAATCTCAAAAGCAGCCCCTGATCCACTAGGGAGCTGGCAAGAAGCTGAAGACATTGAGTTTTCTGATACAGATAGTTCTTATTCTGTTGATTCTCTTTCCTGTGCTAATGCAAATGTCCTGACAGAGCAACTGAATCATGAGGAGTCAGCTGAAACAGACATGGTTGACCTGGAATGTTCTGAAAGTGATGACAGCCAGATGTCCCAAGATTCTCTCACAGAAAAAGAAAATAAAACTAAATGCAAAGAAATAAAGCTTTTTTCTGAGGTCCATCAAAAATCTGCTACATATTGCAAAGACCATAAGTATCAGCCTATCTCCTTGATAGCAAACTCATCAGGCAATAATCTGACTCTGAATGAAAGAAGCTTTTCTCTTGATAGTTTAGGTGATGTTGATGAAGTGTCAGGAGAAGATCTTGCAGGGGAATCCAAACTAGGGTCATTTGATGAAGTGCCTGTAGAGGTGTTTTGGAAGCTACAAAACCTAAAGTCAGAATCTATAAAGAACAACTGGCAGCATAATCCAGACATCTGTAATGAAGCTGTAAGACAATCTGATGACTTAAATCTGAACACTAGTTCTTTTTATTTGGATGCCAATATAGAGTCTAGTTCTAGTAACAGTCACAATCAAGCAGTAAAGGAGTTAGAACTAAGATTTTCAGGTCAAGAATGCTCTTTAGATCAAAGATCACACATTGCAGGTGAAAATCTTCCTATTTTGACAGATTCTTGGTTGTCCTATGATGTGAAAAATGGGAAGAGCAGCCCCATCATAGCAATGCCTTCTTCCCAAGACCACACAGAATTTCAGGTTGCCCAGTTACACCCTGTTAACAAGTCAAATTGCTGGTTGAAGAAAGATGACTTGAGGCAGTCAGCTGCTGAACTATCATTTGTTTCTTGTTACAGAACCCCTCACCGCATTTCTCATGAGCCAAACAACATTGAAATGCTACTTTCATCTGCAGCACCATCAGTACCTTTACCAGAAACAAGGAAGTATTGTGAAAGTGAAACTTCAGGAGCCACATCTTTGTATCCTCTTTCTACATTTCCTCCAAAACATAGTTACTGTGAGGTTGCCTCTCCACCTAATACTAACTGCCCACAAGCTGTTAACATATCTGAGGATGTGTCCAGTGATGAATGGAGGCAGACAACTACCCCTTTGAAAGAAGCTTCCCCATCTCAAGTGTCAGAGAAACAAGGCCTTTCTACTTCTTCAATTTATCCTGAGATTTCGAAGGATCAAACTTTTAAAAATAGTGCACTAAGTTCTGTACCAAGTACTCATACTTTACAGAAAACAGAAACTTATCTAAATACTAATTTTGAAGAAAGTCTCTTCAGAAATACTGAAAAAGAAAACACTGATTATGATTCTGATGGCAGCACAAGCAACCCAGAAGTAGATAAGTCCATCTGTACATTACCCAGTGAATCTCCTGACTCAGTTACAATACACTCAACAGAAGAAAAGTACCAAGGTCATGAACATTTATTTTCAAAAGAGGGAACAATTTCATTTCGCGATGAAAGTTCCTTTGGTTGTGGCATATTAAGCAAATGTACAAATTCATTTACTAATATCAGGGAAGAAGAATATTCTGCTGATGGCGTGTATTATGACAAAAGTAATTTTGATCTGGTGGAGAAGACAAGATACCAACAAGTTTCTGCTGAAGAAAATAAATTATCTCAAGATAAGACAATGACTGTTCACCACACTGATCAGCTTGCTCTATCAGAACAGACCCCTGAAATTGAGGGGGTCAGTATGCAAGAAAGCAGGGCTATTTTAATAGAATCTGCTTTAGAGGTTCCTTCAGAAGTGGAAGAAGGTGAAGGCCAATATGGAGAATGGAGTTCAGAAAATAATTTTAAATTTAAAACTGAAGCATTAATGAAAGGTTTTCATTCAGGTTTAAATCTGGACTATTCTGGAAATACTTTGAGCCGAAATACTTTAACTTGTGATGCTGACAGCATGGTGGGGAAGAACAGTGAAGGGGGAAACTATAACATAGTTTCTTTTTCCAGACATGAAACACCTTCAGCCTCTTGCATGGATTTCATAACTGACAAATCAATGTATTCTAATTTGGACTTAAATGAGAAAAAAACTGAACTTCCAGTTGATTGCTCTTGTAGCATTGGTGATCAGTTAACTCAACAATCCAATTCAACTGTGTGTGATCAAAACGCACCTAGAATGGAAAAATATTCTGGAAAATGTCAGAATTCTGTCGTAATTGAGGATGTTTGTAAGACCAAATCAAGTTGCATGGAAAATGATTTAAATAATTCTGGTTCTGTCCACACCACTGATCAGAAACATAACCTGCCTAAGGATCTCAATAATTCTGCTATATTTGATTCCACTGTTCATTCTGATAAAACCAAATCTCAGCACATGCCTGCATCAAGAGAGCAGAAAGAAGCTCCAAGTTTGCAAATGTTCTTTAATGGAAATGATTGCTCAGTAAAAGAGTTGCATTCTGATCAAGACAGAAGGGAATCCGGAAAAGAGTTGGGAAATTCTGGAATTGGATTAGCCACAACATCCCAAGAACCGAGTCTGTATGTGAAAAAAGCATCTGACTATCTAAAAGAGAGAGTGGTTACTGGACCCCTAACCTCTTCTGAGGACAATAAGAATGACTGTAATAATAAAACAATAAATTCTGAAGAACCCGTTAAATTAATAAATAGTGTTGATAAGTTGGAAAGTGACATTTTAGAAATCAAATATAGTCAAAAGGTAAATTTTCAGAATTACCTTAGAGTGGAAACTCAAAATGAAACTAGCGAAAGCAAGACAGACTCTGAAAACTATAGTTTGCTTCAAAAACCTAGCAATGATCATGAGAAATGTTACAAGAAACTGTCTACAGCAGTAATACAAAAACAAATAGATAAAGAGAAGACTCCATTGATTGATGTTAAGATAAAAGGACTATGTGCATCAAAACCAATAATGGGGGCTGATAGCAATAATCAGGCATTCACTGTCAATCACAATAAAACCCATGAAAATGTGAAAGAAAATGATTGTCCCACAGACATAGAAGCAAGATCTGAAAGTATTGGACAAGATGAGTATCCTAGCCCAACAACTTCAATGCAATTTACAGTTGATTCTGTTGATACATGTGAGGAACCTGGTCAAGTTGACAGAACTATAGAAAATGTCTTCAACTCTGTATCCACAGTGAATGCAGTAACTGCTGGATGTAGGCAAGAGGACCTTTTAGACTACAGTGGCAAAGATGATAAAAATTCTGCTAGTACTGAAATCTTAATGAATCCTAAGCTTGTTCAAGAAAATAAAGCTGTGGGGGACATACTTTGTTCTCCAAGGATGGGCAATGAACAAAGTGATGTAGCAGAAAATGAAGTATTATTGAATTGTCGGTTAACTGGGCTATGCAATGATGAAAATGTTATATTGCTACAAGAGAATGTAACTCATGGTTTAATGAATTGTGACAGCAACAGTAATAGCACAGACCTTGATGATGCTGAAATACCAGAAGTGTATTTCACAGCTTCTAAATTGGGATATCAAGAGGATGTGCCTCTGTTACCAGAAACTTGTTTTGATACCAGTCAAACGCATGAAGAAAAAAGTTTGACAACTCTTTGGAGTGACATGGATATCATAAATGAAACTCTAGAAGACAATAATAATGATGGTAATTTATGTGAAGGTAGAGCTGTAACCGGACAGTGTGGAATTAATAAATTCAAACAACTTGACAATGTTGAAAATATTAGCTCAACCAAATATCCTTCTCTAAATTACTCTCATAAAAGTAGTTCAGAACACTGTAATGCAAATTTTGTTGGAAGCAGACTTGATGTTTATAAATGTATGCCAGTTCATTGCATACTTAAGGAAAAGGAGACAGTATGTTTGAGCACCTCAGTCCAATTGGATAGAACAGATTTGATAGCCCAGCACATCAATACAGAAAGCATGAATCCTTTTAAAACAGAAAATGAAAAGGAAAATTTAGAAGAAAACAATAAAAGTCTAGAACTTGATGGTTTACAAAATGAAGCTGACATTCTACCAGAGAATGCACATAGTTATTGGTATTCAAACAGCGACACTTCATTAAATGAAGTATCAAAAGAAAAAGAATGGCTACCTCACATTTTCTCAAGGATCAGTGCAGCCATTGTTGATGATTCAATATCTGATAGACAAACTGAACCACCAGAAAGTACAAATCAAGACTGTGAATTAAACTCCATGGCTGTTAAAAGCTTTCCTCTTCAGAATATATCTAGTCCACTGTCAGCTGGAATAAATACAAATGGAGAAAATATGAAGGGTGATCCTGCTACAGCATGCAATTCTGTGGTGTCATTAAATCGTAGTACTGAAAATGAAGTATTTCTCCAGTACTATGAAACACAAATGGATAGTGACATGCAGGTTGGAATAGTGTGTACCATTAACAAAGGAGAAGTAAATGATTCTCTTTCTGGTGTTATGAAGAATAAATATATCATATTTCCACCTGATCAGCTGCAGAAAGATGGCGAGATGAAGAAAGACTTAATATGTAATAAAATGTCTAATTATACCACATCTAAGCAAAGCCTTAGTACAGAGAACATATGTTCAAACTCAGATTTTGCAGAATGCCACGAATCACTAGCTTTTTCTCTAGCTGATGACATGCAAAATAGAGGAATTCCTCTTAAAAGTTGTGATATAGGAAGTCCTCATGGAGAATATAGCACAAAAGAGAACAAAGAACAGTATTTAAATTCATTAAACATACCTCAAAAAGAATGTGCTGCATCAGCTTTATTAGCTTTAGGAACAAAAAATACACTTCCTTCCCCAACAGTCAAAGAAAATATGGACAAAATAACACCACTGTTACCAGCACTTTCTTCTCAAGAGTCTTTAAACAGCATTATCAGTCCTAAAGAGTTGAATTCATTAATGCAGCATGATCAGGCAAATAAATGCCTAGGTAGCAATTGCATCAAAGCAGAATACAAAACAAACAATGAAAAATTTACTGAAGAATTGGAATGCCAAATAGAAACCACTGACATTCTCCTATGCAGAGCATCTCATGATCCCTTTGTGGAGCACTCAGATGACATTGTGCCAACATGTGAGGATGGAGTTAATTTTTCAGAGCATTCTAATCAAGCCTTTTGGGAAAATATCCGTTATGATGAAGATAGGTCTGCCGGATACAGTAATTCTTGCATTTCTGAATACTCATCTAGTCACCTGAATCGTACAACCATGCTTCCAAATGTTTTGTTAGAATGCCCTAGAGGCAAGCACAAAGCTGGTGTTCTTTGTTTTGGGGAAAGCAAATATTTGGACTCAGAGGTTTGTGGTGTTCCTTTGTCTTTTGCTTGTGATTATGCTCAGCATCAACAAGATGACAAAATCAGTGATCATGCTGATAGCACAAAAAATACTCAAGAAGTGGTGGAAATTTATCAAAATGGAAGAGAAGTTCAAGATTATATCCCTGAATGTCAGTGTAACCAAGGAAATAATGCAAATAATGTGCCTTTGCATTCTGACAACTGTGTGGACCTGACAGAAATAAGAATGAAGCCAAGAAGTTCATTTACTCATCAAAGTTTAAAACAAATAAGCAGTGATGAAGTAATACCTGCTCCATTATGCTCTGTGGAAAATATTTCTACTTCTATTGTATTTAAAAATGCTGGCACTCTTGAACCCTCAAGATCACCAGAATCTTCTATATGTCGACCATATACTGACTCACTGCAAGATGCTTTTTTGTCTCCCTGTTTGTCAACTTCGTTTCAAGTACAAGAAAGTCCATCGTTTTGTCATCAAGCTTTCCCAGATAGATCTTTTGGAGATATTCCTTGCTCATCTTCAACCTCTGTTAGCTTCAACATGAGTGAAATGGAGAGACACACTGAATTATATGTTGCTGTATCAGGCTGTTCAACACTTGCCACCAGTCAGATACAGGAAAGTCAGTGTGACAAATATTCTGAGATATTTGACCAGCTGAATGCTTTGGAAATTACTTCTTTTTCGAAAGAAAATCGATGCCTCTCACTATCTGATACTAAAGCTAATTCTCAAAAAAGCACTAGCTTAGAATGTCATGGAATGCACAAATTTGAATCTGATGAGTTCTACAATAAAGCAGAAGTTTGCCAAGAACTTAGAGATAACACTACACTGCAGACAGGCTGTTTAGAAGATACTGGCAAAACTTTGCATCATACTTTAAATTCAAGTCTTGATTCGCAAGGAGATGCCATTGCACCACATTTAAATAAGGAGGTTAATACAGTGAGTATTACTAACAAAAATACGGATAATCCTATAATTTCATGTAAAGTGATGAAGAATGAGAAGGACTTGATATCAGAACAGCCAAATCTTTCAGTGATAAATGACAGTGTATCTTCCCAGTATTTTGCAAGAAACAATTGTTTGACTTTGCAAGAAGAACCTGCACCAGAAATACCTTTGAAAGAAAATAAAGTTCTTACCTCACGGAATGCAAACAAAGATAAAGAAGATGGACAACGACCAGCTTTACAAAATCATAGTTTATCAGCTCCAGCAATTGGTGCATTATCTAATTTTGCATGTGCTTCGGACACTTCTAGGACAGACTTTCCTGTGCATCTTGCCTCTAAATCATTACAGGAGTTAAATATGAGTGTTGAGCCTCCATCACCAACTGAAGATGACCTGCACAGAACTGAAAACTTGTCAAAGAGAGACAATGTTGTCCCAATTAAATATAAACCAAGATTTCAAAAGAAATCCAGTCCAGTACAGAAATTTAGTCACTGTGATAAAATAAACCGTAGAGAGCAAGCTCAGGGCAGTCACTCTTTAGATCCTTCTCCTGTTCGTTATCCAGTAGCTATTGGCCACGTTAATGACAATCCTGTGAATGCAGAAATAGGGACGTGCTCAGATTATGTTACATCAGTATGTAGATACAACACTGGTAAAACTGAAGAACTGGGATATCAAGTAGAGACAGCAGATGGATTAGTTCAAGACAACGAAGATGCAATGCACTTTTGTTCAAGTGACACCAACCCTTATATTCATCCATGGCAGCAAGTTGACCACTGCAAGATTGGTTGGAAACAGTATGTTTTTGGAAGTGCAAGTGATGTTTCAAGTAATCCACCTCCACTGAATTTGGATAATCAGACTGTTATGAGGTGTTCCAGTGTAGATAATGGTTTGAACTCAAATAACTCCCCATTCCATTCTCACCTAAGCTCTTACGCTAATGCAAGGATGTTGTCTAGCACCATAAGTAGTACAGAAGATCTTCAAGGTTGGGATGTTGCAAGAGCAGGCTTTGAATCTACACGTTCAGATGAAAGTGGCAAGCATCATACTAGTGTTTCTCAGGATGAACTTGAAACACCAGCAGAAAAATGTGTTTCTGGTTGTGAAGATATTCTTCCAAATGTGAGATGCTCTCAGCAGTCTGGAAATACTTCAATGCAAGTTGATGAAATTGTTCTACTCTACCCTTCTGAATCAGATTTGACCCCCAATACACCCCAGAGGGTATTTACTTGTGAACAAGAAACACAGACGGAGACTCCAGCAAGACATAAAAGACAGAAGAGACATCGTAGAAGCTATACAGATACGCCTGCAAGAAAACCTGAACCAGACAATTTAGTCCAGCAACCTTCCTCTTGGTCAAGTGTGCAGAATCTTTCTGTACACCTTTCACAGCTGCTTCAGAACACTTCTGAGCTTCTAGGTAATTTGTCCTTGTCAACTGTTAAAGATAATGAACAAAGTGACCACAAAGCAATTGAGGAACACATCAGAACCACCATGTCTGACAGCTGTACCCAAACAACAAAAGACATAGGCATTCAGACTGATATTTTAGGACACCCTCAGAGTGAGATCAAGGAAAGCAATTTCAGCACTAATATGGAAAGTGAATCAATGAAGTCTCAGGAGGTAAATGTTATTGTGAAGCTAGTGCACTCAGATACTGTAGCTCTGACTAAGGAGAGAGAGTCAGAAAGCAAGGAACAGATATGTCAGAGTGTGCTCAGCAGAAGTTATGATGCTCATGCTCAAGGAGATTCCTATGTGCCTCAGCCTGCCAATTCTTCATTGGAAGTGCCAGAAATACCATTAAATGTTCTACCTGGTCTTGCCTCTGGTACTCCCAAAGTTTCTGTTACAACATCTGCATTTGGGTCTGGACATAAGTCTTCAACCACTGTGGTTAATAGCCCTGCCTTATCCCAAGTTAAGGATCCTGTTGAAACAAGGGGACTATGCTGTAAAAATAGCTTGCTAGTTGACCGAGCCTCTTCTCCAATTTTGACACTTAGTGCCAGTCCAGCCAGCCAGAAATCTGCATCAGATAAGTCTACTTGTTCTTTCAAAGGATCTTCTGGGCAACAGAAAGATAATGCAAATTCAGCAACCAGCTTCATAAAGGGGGGATCAGGTTTACAGTATGAATTGGGCTCTTGGGACCCACGTGTAGAAACTTCTTCACAAACTGAGGTGGACAGTGAATCAACCACATCTAGAGAGAGCAAGGAGATGTGTACAATGTCTGGAAATGGCTTGGACAAGAACTCAACCAAAGAAACTTCAAGAATAGGTGCTCTAAAACAAAAGCACAAATTTACTATTGATACACATACTGCAGTTCACACCAAACGACTCTATCATTCAAGTAGCACTTTGGAACTTTCCAGCCATGGCGAATATTTAGTTGATGATCACAGAGAGCCTGCTCCAGTGGAACATTCATTTCATCAAATACGAGCTACAAGGAGGGCAAGAAACCTCTCAGGAGGAATTAAATATGAAAGCCCGATTAGAAATTCTGAAGGCTCGCCAGCCAAAAAATCTTCCCAAAAATCTTTAAATGAATATCATTCAACTGCGTTTTTAAGATCTGATGAGACTCCACAATGTGTGCTTGATTCTTTTTCTCCTCAATGCCATCAGACTTGGAGAAACCAAAAGTGCTATCCATTTCCAATGTCTGAAATGAGCGATATGCAAGATATTGATGATACTGAAACAGGATCTGATACTGAAAGTGAATGTAATACTGAAATCCTGCTAAATGAGAATGCCTCTTTAGTAAAGACCCACAGAGTTCGAAGTTACAGTCTTCGTGACTTGCCCTTGCACAATAAATTTAGCAACTGGTGTGGTGTGAAGGGAGGTCCTCACTCTTCTTTTACTAGCCTGACTCAAAGTGCTAGTGATATACACAATCAGGTGGAAAGGAAGATGGTTGGCACAAGAACAGCCGAAATAGAAGAGAGATCTCTGCTTAGCGAGAGAAGAGCCAGAGAGATTGAGAGCCTGCAGAAAGAGCGTGCCCAGGTTATGTCTGGCATACATTTAGATATGAATCAGCATCCTCTTACTATCGAAATGACTGAAGCTAAGCTAACTTACGGCATTGGGGAAACAGATGCACAGCTGAGAATTCTTCAGGGTGGAGTAAGTGAGGATTTGACACTGGTGCCCATAAAACAGCATCTTTATGAAAGGTGAATTGTTTTACTTTTTCTTATGTCAGATAGTTTGTTAAAAGTAGAATGACTTTTCAAGTGAACATAGATGTATGTTGTTGAAAGAACTAAAAAATATATCAGATGTGTCTAAGTTTCAGAACCAGACTAGATATTTCAAAAACACACACTGACAACACCACCTTGTGATAAGGCTTCCTCCTCTGTAGTGTGTGATGCAACTTATCCTGAGGTTTAAAACAATGATGCCTTGCATTTTCTGTCCAGCAGCCAATGATATGGTAATTGGGAAAACATAGCAAAATGACACCAGGACCTGGGTAAATTGCATTAGCAGTAGAGGAAATCCTAGCACATGGCTGCCATTTTCAAGAACAGCCCTGTGCCTTAAGTAGTGGCTTGTTCCACCCTCAAACAAGAGTTTTCTTCAGTAATAGTAAACTATATAATTAAGCCTCTCAGCTTTCGAAGGAGTAATTATTACTCAGCAGTGCAAACACTATTATACACTGGCCCTTATTGTTGCTCCTAATATTTGTTCTCCATGTTCCTCTTTTATTAGACATCATCATGGCTGAACAGTCTTTAGATATGGCTGTTCTAAGCAGTGTTATTATATTGCACTCAACCCATTCTTTCCTAGAACTTACTTTCTCATTTTTCTTATTATATTATATTCATATCCTGCCGTTTTTTCCTTCTGAGTAACCCAAGGCTCCATTTTATCCTTACAACAGCCCTGTCAGATTAGGCTGAGACTGAGTGACTAGCCTAAAGTCATTCAACTTGCTTCATGGTCAAGTAGGAACTAGAACCTGAATCTCCCAACTCCCCAGCCTAACATTCTATCCACCACACCAGTTCTCATTGTATCTTATATAATCAGCTGAAGCAGTCTATATTTTTCATTTCTCGGTATATGATCAAATATTCTAAATGTCTACATTTTATAATGTTTTGCTCTTTTATACAGTCTCTTTGATATTTCTAAATTTGTCACGCTTTAAATCAATGAGATTCATAACATCCTGTGAAGCAGAGTAAAGCAATGGCAGGAGACAGTAAATTAGTCTAGTTTTTCATAAAACCTCCATAATATACTAAAGGAACAATGAATATTTTATATTGATTAAAAACAAACAAAAACCAACTTTAGAGGATTATGTTCACCATAAGGCACAGTAACCTTGAAGTAAGTCTTATTTGATTCAGCGGGCCTTAATTTCCGAATAAAGATTTTAAAGCTCAGGCTGTATTACTGAAAACAGGATTTTATTTCTGTACGTAAGATTTCTTGCATCTCCCTTGAACTCCAGTCAATAAAAGCTTAAATTACACTAAGGTGTGTATGAAGTGTCAACCTCTTCCTTTCCTCCCCTGTTCTCATAATAGGCACAGAAAGTCAATTGAAATGCTGAGAAAGCAGAGGGAAGAGAGACTTCAGGGTTTCAGAAGGAGCCGTAGCCTCAGTCCACAGAAACATCTTAGCCTTTTCCAAACAATGGATACAAATCAGAAAGATTTGGATCTCCCCAGCCGACGCCGGGAATACTTGCAGCAGCTGAGACGAGATGTGGTGGAAAATACAAGGTAAGGATCACCAAAGCCTTTTGGGGGTGCTTTGACCTTACTCACCTGAACATTTTTTATATATATTGCTATGAGATAATTTTAGATATGGTAAGTGATATATAAATAGATTAAATACAATTATTTAGTAGAGCTGCTCAATATAAGTAGATGAGGGAGGAGTTTCATTAGCTCATTTATTTTGGTTTAGATGGTAGTGAAGACTGTGGCGTTCCATTAAGCTTTTAATGCTTTGTAATGTTGCATGTTGCTATTCAGTTGCATTCCTTTGTGTTCCTTGGTTTTCTGATATCATTTTCTGATTTTTATAGGTTGGTTTATTTCTGAGTAAAAGTGAATGTGGTCTGTTATTGGAGAGTCTCCTTGTTTTTGTCCTTCTGTCCAGTCTAATAACATGTTAATTTGGTTACATAGGGGAATGTATAAGTGTCTGCCATGCAACACTAGATTATTCTAATTCTAATAGTTTACTTAGAGCAGGGGTCTCAAACTCGTGGCCCACGGGCCAATTGCCGGGACAGGTGGGGCACGGGGGAGGGACCCTGTGGTCTTCAAAGCACCGGCGGCACCCGGGCCGGCCGTGGGATGAGCAGCCCACCACCACCACGGTGGTGGAATACTTGATGCAGCCCAGCCTCACCCAGACTCTACTTCCAGCGGCCCCCCAGGAGTTTGAGACCCCCTGACAGAGGAACAGAATCCATATACCATGCATTTATTCTGAATGATGGGGAACTGGCTACTCTTATCCCTGCCCGCCTCAGTTCTGCTTCAAGTCAGTTTTCATTCTGAACCAGAGAAGAAATGAAAGCCCTGTACTGCTTGATTCCCTTGGGGTCAGCATTGCAACCCACTGAAACTAAAGGCCAGCATCAGGCATTGGCATTTTGGAACAGTTGCCAAGGCTCACCCCCAATAGGGCACCTCACTCCTAGAATCCCTTGAAATTGTTGCCAATCCTTGTTCTTCCACTTCCTCTAACCAACAGAGTAACTGGAAACATAAAAGAGAAGGAAGAGCAGCCTCTGCTCACTTTGTGCTCTCTCTCTCTGGCCAGCTGTTGGGACAAAATCCAAAGAAAGAGGGCAAGCAAATGGTCAGTGGCACCAGGAGAAAGGAGTGAGCCCATGGCGTGCATGTTGCCCAAGAACCTTCAATTATCTGCAGCCTGCACTGGCAAAGTTCCTATGTGGGCTCGATCTTAGAAAGCGTTGCTAGTGTTTCTAAGATAAATAGGGGTCTCATACTGTTCCTTTTCTCAAGCCTCATAGCTCTGTCACCTTAGTCATTGTCAGAGCATTACCTCCCAAATGTTTTGCTATTGCTCTGATTTACCCTAGTTACCTTGTTTGTTTACTCTGCTGATATATTTCAAATTGACACATCTCATGTGTCACAGTTTATACTGCATTGTATTCATTGATTTATATATATTTAATTTCTGTATCACCCAGTAGCCAAAGCTTTCTGCATGCAATTTATGCAGAATTATTTGAGCTAATTGTGTTTTATTTTAGCTGCTTAAAAAAAGTATGTAATTCAAGGAAGCAATTTAACGTACTTTTCACTCTATAAGACGCGCCTGACCATAAGACGCACCTAGTTTTTAGAGGAGGAAAACAAGAAAAAAATACTCTGAATCAAATGGGCACATAATCACAGGCACATTCCCCATCACTTCCCCATCTGACAGACTTACTGAACACACATATTCACTCTATAAGACGCACAGACATTTCCCCTTACTTTTGAGGGGGGAAAAAGTGCACCTTATAGAGCAAAAAATACGGTAAATAGAAAATGACTAAAAAGAGCATTCAGCATAGCAAAACACAAAAGCCGTAATTAAGTTAAAAGTGATGATTGCTGGTGTGGATCCATCCCTCATCTAGCTGTAATAATCGATGTTTTAATTAATATTTAATTTTAAAAGATCATTAAATTTTATTGCACATTTGTTTAACTGTCCAAACATGGAAACAAAAAATATTCAAATCAATCATCACAGTTTCTTGAAAAAAAAGAAAAAGAAATGTTTTAGAGATTGTATATTTTAGTTCAAGTGCCAGAAAGCAGTTATCAATCCATTATCATTCTTAAAAGACAGAATGTTATATTGATGTATTTTCTTTAGAGTTCAAGACCCAAAAGTGAGGATTCATCCTCCTTCAGAGATTGAGCTGCTGCTTCGAGATTATCACAGGGCACGAGAGGAGACCAAAACTGAAATTGCACGAGCCAGGGACAAGCTTCGGGAAAGGGCTGAGCAAGAAAAGAGGCGTATTCGCGAGCAAATATTCTCTCAACTACAGAAGGCAAGTTTTAAAATATTGCAGATAGTTTATCAGATGTATTAATTTAGAACTTAATCTCATAATATGGACATGATCCAGCACATGATCCAATAACTGTGCTGAAGCTAAGCAAATGTGGGTCTGGTCCATGCTTGGGCATTTGGATGCATTCTACTTTGAGTTCCATGGAGCAAAAGTAACATTTTAAAAAATTACAATTAATCAATGCACTTTTTGTTCTTGGACTTGCTTCCCAGGATGTGTCAGGTGTGCTGAGCTTCATACATATTTTGTGGAGACTTTGGATGCTTATTATCAAAGTCTTTGGGGCTCATATATTATATGGATTTGCAGTGAGTCATTACATGATCTTCATTTAGAGGTGCATACATTCACTGCATCTTTATACTTGGAATCAAAGTATATGACTGAGAGGAAGGAAAATAGGATTACAATAGGTACACACGTGAGTTTGTGTACACCCTTACATTTCTTTTTTATTCTACGTTTCAATAAATTCATAAAAAGGCAATGAGATGGTTACTACTAATTATTTATACCCTGCCTTTCCTCCTTTTGTAAGGACTGCAGGGCAGCTGCCAACATTCTTCTTTTCTCCATTTTATCCTCCCAACAACCCTGTGAGGTAGGTTAGGCTGGAAGTTTGTGACTAGCTCAAAGTCACCCATTGCGCTCCATGGTTGAGTGAGGACTAAAGTCTGGAAATCCTGAGCCCCAGTCTAGCATTCTTAACCTTATTAAGACTTATTTTATATTGTTAACTTGTTTTATACTGTTAATGTATAGTATTTTAATTGATTTATTTGTGAGCCGCCCCGAAGCTTCGGCGAATGGGGTGGCATAGAAATTTTCTAAATAAATAAATAAATAAAATGCATGTATGTAATCTAGAGAACTAATCGATATAACATTTATGCATAAGCTTCAACAAAGGCTGACTGCATATTCAAATATGTATCTGTTTGAGAGTGGCTGTCCATCTATATGTCATCCATTTAAAATGTTGAAAACATCTTTAGGATTTCATTTCTTTGCATTATAGGAGGTGGACATTTAACCTTCCAGCATTATAACATTAGAATTTTAGCAGTCAAATGAGCAGAGAAAATCTATGTATATTACCTTGTGCTTATTTGTAAGAAGCAAGTAAATAATATCTAAGAATTTGTCTGTCACTAAATATCGAAGTATGTTCTAATACGAAATTTACCCCTATTATAACTTCTTCCACAAGAGTCAAAACATATGATTAAAGGAAGCATTAGTAGAATTACACTGCCAGTAGTTAACCAATTTAGGAAAACTCTTATTAAACAGAGATAATTGCATCAAAAAAGTTTTTTTTTAAAGTCTTTTATTTGAGAAATACAAAGTGACAATTATATATCAATCAGAACATTAACAAACAGAACTTGTTTTACATGATTCATCACAGATTTTATACATATTTTAGGGCTGTTGTTGCTGAATGTATCCTTGTAATGTACATTTTAAGTTCTGTTACAGTTTTCAAATCATCACTTTTCAATTATTCACCTCACTAGTTGCTACACTCTTTCAAATATAGGACTGCACACTCAATGAATGCTGGTCTATTGGTCCTGCATCAATGTACAGTATGCAAGTTCCTTTATTTGCATTAGACATATGCCTTAATATGTAATATGCATAAATATTGCAAAACATAAAATTTGCATACTAAGATTATAAAACTTATACATAGGAATCAGATATCTATACATTGTTGTTGTTAGTTGTGAGGTCACATCCGACCCCATGGACAACATTCCTCCAGGCCTTCCTGTCCTCCACATCCCCCGGAGTCCACTCAAGCTCACACCAACTGCCCCAGTGACTCCATCCAGCCACCTCATCCTCTGCCGTCCCCTTTTTCTTTTGCCCTCAATTGTTCCCAGCATTAGGGTCTTCTCCAGTGAGTCCTTCCTTTGCATTAGGTGGCCAAAGTCTTTGAGTTTCATCTTCAGTATCTGGCCTTATACCAATGCCAAAATTTAGGGTTATGATTGTCATAAAGGACAGCATATAAATGTTTTAAAAAATTAAGTAAGTTTATAAAAATGATAATTTTAAAATCATATTTGACCTGGTTTTAACTGCTGCTGCTAAAAATTTAGCTGACTGTGCCATCACCTGATTATCTCGGCTCACAAGAAGAAAAGATACATTGAAGTCAGATGAATGACTTGACTTCTTAACTAGCAAGGAACAAAAAACTCTTTGTGTATATCTTTATGGAAAAGAGCAAAACAGTAGAACATGGGCAAGTGTTTCAACACTATCATCACATGGGCATATATGACTTTGTAATGGAACTCCTTTGAAAGGACCCTCAAGTAACATTGAAGGCATGGCATTAAGTCGTGTACATGTAAGGGCCCTTCCGTATTTTGGGACTGTTGGCACTTGCAAATACTGTACCATTGTTTTTGGATGACTTGTTAAAAAGTGATCATATCAAGGATTTTTTTTCTCATTATTGTCTGTATCTCTTTTTATGTAATGGGTTGGTTTAAAAGCTTCCTGTGTCTCCCAAAAATGGGCTTCATGCTTGATCTATATAAAATGAATTGATTTGTTTAAATCAGGATTGATGAGTATAAATTTTCATAAAATTCTGAGGAAACTTTATTTCTTTCCTTTGTTTTGTGTGTTTTTCACTATTATCTTTGTTATCACAGGAATAATTAGGCTGTTCAGCTTTTTTTGTAAGGCTTTTACAATCTTTTTTTCCCCAAACACATAACAATCCCTGTTTGTAAATGGCATGTCTGTTTGAATTTTTCCTTCTTGGGCTACCTGTAACTTTGTTCCTTTATTAATTGGCAATCTATATATTTTTATGTTATATGTTTGTGTTTACTCTCTAATTTTGCTATATCAGCCAATAAAGTGACCATGGCTTTGGTGACATTTTAAGTTACTTGTCTGACATTCATACTGCCCTGATCACTACTTTTACAACATCTTATACTTGAATTTATTGAGAATAGTGCAGTTTGTAAAGTGGTTCACAGTTTGTCTGTCAGATCCACTCCAAGTTGTTTGAATTGTGAAATTATTTCCTTTTCCAAATTAGAGGACCCTACCAGTTTGGTCTCTTGGGAGCATATGACTGAGTCACCACAATGTTGGCACAGCCTTCATGCTCAGAGTGTTGTAGCGTGTACTCGCCATCCATGCTGCTGAAAACAGAATGCAAGCTTCATTCTTGACTTAGTGCTGTGGTCTGTTTCATCCCTTTCCCAGTGCTATTATTTTATTTTAAATTAATTGTATTTTATCTCTATATCTGCTGTTAATTGGCCTGCCAGATCAGAGAAGTATCCATTGTATCTGTTTTCTTTGCTTAGCAAACATGAATCTTCGTTGAATAAGATGTAAACTGAGATCTGTTGAAGCTTCAGGTGTGGATGCTGAAGTGACAATCCATTGGTTAGACAGAACAAGATAATCCAGTTTGCTATTCCAGCTCTGCTTATGGCCCATCCTTAAATCTCATAACCTTATCAGTTATTTAGGTTTTCATGCAGAATATACCTTGTAGGCAGGCCTTTTTAGAAGGGAACACCACATAGATGCTAAAAAGTGGAGACAATACATTTATTTATGTGTGTATTGGAATTGTTTGGAAGCCACTCATTATCAACACACTTTCTGGGCAGTCCATTATCCACTTCACATAAATTGCACGTAAAGTGCCAGTTGACAAGGCAAAGTAATATAAGTTATTTTTTTTAAAAAAAAGATTGAAAATAAATGTTCACTTCAAGTGGTTGCATGAATAAGGCCTAAACTGGTGTAATTTTCTGCCATTCATTGCAGGAAGAAACTAAGTTGAAGACTGTTGTAAGCACAAGCTCTTTATGCACAGAATCCACCCTCAGTCTCTCTTCAGGACCAACATCAGGATATAACAGCAGTAATACAGCTACTTATCCTACTAGTATACCTGGCAAACAGAAAGGCCAGGTAAAAACTTTCTGTTTGTATTAGAGAAATGTAATAAAGGGTGGCTTTTATACAAACAATATGCATTGTAATAACTGCCAACTTTCCAAGATTGAAATGTGCATTGCTGAAAAAATATGTTAAGTGAGGATTTCTAATTCTAATTCACATGCAAGGGCAGATTTACTTCAACAGAAACCATGTGTTCCAGAGACCATAAGATAGCTTGAAAAATTCCTCTGAGGTTGTAGGTAAGTGCTCAGATCTCAGAAGGGGGAATTTGCCCCTGGACCTCATCTTCTTGCACCTGGTGCAAAGAGAACCATGCCAATTGTCTCTCCGAGGTCTGAAAGCAACCTTGAAATAAAAAGGGACATTCTAGTGAGAAGGGAAAGGAGACTGGAGAGGCCAGAATACAATTGATCCTGAGCCTTCTTCAGCCTCCTTCCCTCTCCCTCCAAAGTGCCTTTGCTAAGCAGTTTCAGCCTGGCAGGACATGGGAATCTCAAAAGTCTCAAAATTGGAGGCTTGCAAGATTAGTAGCATGACCGATAATTTTTCATAACTTCAAATATGTTTCAAAGATTGGGGTCATAACAGGTATGAAATAACAATAAGTCTCATAACTTGTATGAAAATAGAAGCTATCATGTGCAAAGGAGATGTTCAATATGGGTTAATTCTGCCCACAGCCCTGGATAGGCAAGAAACATGTGACCCAGTTGTTTACCTTGTTCCTGGCCTCCCTGGTTCCTGCCAATCAGTTTCTTTCTTGCCTTTGCCTAAGATGTCGATTGTTCTTATCTCTCCTCAACAATTTCCTCTTCCTAGTCTTGTTTGTTTCTTTAATCTTTGTTCTATCTCACACTTCAATACATTATTCTCTTTCTAGTTAGTCTTCTTATTTTTTAAACATTAGAATGCTGTCCATCCTTTTTTCCACATCTTCTGCCTTTTTGCCAAAAGATGATTCCACACAGTGAGGAGTGCTCGAAGTCTTGAAGTGCTCCAAGCCTTGTGAAGAAAAGCAGGAGAACCACACCAGTGGTGGCCTCAGGCTCCAGGTGCAGAAAATTTGCCTCAAGGCCTGTAATGCTCAGGTATACCCAACACCTCCATGCCCTAGCATTGCTATAGCAACCATGGATTATCTCATCCTGTAGCTCAGCAAACACAAAAGGATCAAAGTGAAGAATTTGAGCGATGTGGGATATTGTGCGATGTGGGATATTGTGCTGTCACCATAGTTCTTGCCTTAAAGGAAGTTGACCTATCTAGATTATTTTTCATGGCATATGAAAAACACCAATTTTTTGGGCCCACACTTCTTTTGGAGAAGTCTGCAGAACACACTCAAGTTTTCCCTACCAACAATTGGCTTTGGATTTGTTTTTCCATGATTGCACAGCCTGCATTTTGCAAGCACAGCCTTTTCCAACTAATAACATGGAACCACAGCAGCCGCCAGGCACTTCCTCCTCCACAGAAACTTCAGCTGAAAAGGTCCCCCCCTCCCCCAAGTTCAGACTGGGTTCAAAACAGTACAAAAGGCTATTGGAATGGAATTAGCTGTGTACCTTCTATTCTGATGAACTACACCAGTGGTTGTTTGATAATTACTCTGCCCAAATGTTTGGCTAGCCAGAGCATGCTGGGAGGAGCCACAGAAGCCAGGACCAAGGTAGAAAGTCTGGTCACATGTTCCTTGCCTCTCCTGGATTCTTAGAAGAGTTAACCTATGATGGATTCTGTTGTGTACCAAATGAGAATGAACCTTCACGGTAAATATCCACTTTCCATTCATTTCTTCAGTTACCCTGTTACAAAAAGGTAACTGAAGAAAAAGAAAGGAGTCTGTCTGTCTGTCTGTCTGTTAAAGAAAAGCTATTAGTTTTGAATGCAGCAATTAGTTTTCCTGTACGAGATACATATGCCTTTTTCTATCTAGCAGGCTTCTTCTGAAGACATAGAACACTCAAGAGATGATACCAGAGGCCGCTCAGCTGTCAGGAATCACCAGCTTTATATCCTTGATCAACTGCAAAAAGGTTCTACTGGTGGTGAGGGTTAAATAAATCTTTGTTGAGCTACCCAACAAATATGTGCAGGATAGGTCATCTATTAAAGGAGAAAAACATGATATCCATGGAATAAAAAAATACATGTCATGCATTAGCAGTTTGATTTAAGAAAGCAGTGAGCAGCATTATGGCTACCATACTAAACAAAATAAGGACTGTTCCAACATGTTCCAGGAAATTCAGAGCCCCTTTTTACACAGGAGCATGTTCCGTAATATTTAAATGAGAAGCATGTATGTCCAGTATACTTACTTTCATCTCTCCTTCACGTATTTCAGAAAAGCTGGTAGTAATGTATTGTAATGGCAATACATAAAGGATAATACTAGTATCAGATCAAGACAATGAGATCCATTGAATTGCATTTCTGCATTGGAATAGAGAAATAAACAGCTGTTGACCTTTGTAATTATAGACTTCTCAGGCAATAACTGGCACTAGTGATGGATGGGTAACCCCCCCCCCCCGCACCCCCAGCTCAGTCCAGATGGGTTAACAAGGATGAGCATCATGAAGGAGTGCTCCTTCCCATTTTCAGTAATTCTTAACTGGCTTATTATTCTTTTCATATGCATTTCTTTCAAGAATGGGGATGCACTAACATGTTGCTTGAGAAAGTAGCATGCGTGCAGGGTAAGGCTGCATATTTCCTACACAACTATGGGTAAAGATTCAGCAGAAAATTCCCAAGCAAGGAGACTTCCTTCCTCGCCAGTGAACAAGGAAAGAAGCTACCAGCCAACCACGCGACAAATACACAAGACCCAGTGGAGTGAAAGTATTTTGGCATTGGCTCAGTTCTGACCTCTTGCAGAATTCTTCTTTAGCTCATATAGGCTTCAGTTAGCCACCTAACCAATCGTTTTCCCATCAGATGTGTGTGTGCACCTGATTTTTTTTCACTCTTTGAGATTCCTGTCCCCCCTTGATTATTCTTGAGCCATGGTGTCTCCCTATACAGTACATTCCAACTGTTAAAAGTTATCCAGAGGAGGGATTACACCGATTAATTTCTGACACAGTGAGACCAGTGAGTAATTGCGGGCGTTGAATGCCCATTATGGTGAAAACAGACTGTGCATGACCTCTTAATGCCTTCCGTTTAAATTATGAGCAGCAGAAGAATTTCAGGGCAGGGAACTCTCCTCAGAATATATTTTGACATTACAGCTGGGAACGTTTTGCTCCTGAGCCTCTTTTGAACTTTGGCAGCACCACAACCTGGCTAAGCCTATATTGGTGGCAGGATAATGTCTTAGATGAACTATTGTTATTCTTCGTGGTTTCTGTGCATCACACACATGGGCTCTGAGCTCATGTGTGGAGCAGTTTGGGGAAGATTCCAAGCTGATTATTATTCAGCGGGAGCCCGGCCCCTTAGGCATGCCCAGAGTGTGGGGAGGGGATTCCGCTGAGACCTCAGTTCTTTGACCACCATAGTCTGCTTATTTGTCTCTTCTGTTTCAGAGACTTTTTCTATGACCTGTTCATCTGTGGGGAGGAGCAGTATCCGGTCACCACTTTCGTGCAGTCACAGAAACTCTCCTAGCCAAATTGTTTTACCTAGCACCTTTCTAACTTCTCCTGTGAAGGGATATGAGGATCTCTCCAAACATGTGTTGGCTAATGCTACTGCAGAGGTGAGTGTGCTTGGTGCCTCTTCTGCTTTACATGTTGGCTGCAGATAACATCTCTGCATTTGCTACTTAACCTTCCATTTACCTACCTGTTACAGCAGATATCAAGCATTATCTTTCTCCTGCCTGGTGGCAACCTCTCTAGAAGCCCAAGAATCTTTCATCCTGACTGCATATATGAAAGTTCTTGCATATGTAGCCATATGAACAGATGTGGTGACAAATAGGCACTAGCATGATTTTCACATGGCCATGTACATCTGGTGGTTTTATTCCCGAAGGATAACTATCCACTGTGAAGAAAGGAAGCCAACTGAATTCAATGCTTGCTGTTTAAGATCTGCAGAAAAATTACAGGGTGCCGTACTGAATGTGAAGCACCATCTCAGGAGAGAAAAGAGTCACAGAATTCTCAAAGAGAACAACATGGGTATCTCTTGGTATAATTGTCCTTTGTTCCAGCCAAATAAAACAAGGTCTAAAATGCAGCAGTGCAGGTGGCCACAATATTTCATACTAGTGTCACTGGCCACTTTTGATCTGAAATGAGCAAGTTGTATTGACATATTTGTACAAAAACTACACTTTAACTTGTTCAAACTCTAACACTGTGTGTGTGTGTCATATACAGGACACAGTGTAGTATAGAATGAGTACTGGCACTACAGTTTTTCCTACAATATAGCTGGCATATTTCTGAAACTGTATTCAATAAAATTTTGACCTGCTGCCCACTTTTTATCCAAAGAGTGGTAGACAACATACTTCTTATGATGCTAAGGAAGCATCTACTCTGATCTCAGGAGGACATTCATGAGCCTTAGGTAACCTCCTGGTGGAAAATGTCATATTTAAACCTAAGTCAGTCAAAGATAGAAGAAATGAGGCCTAATCCCAGCTTAGCCAGCCTAAGAATGGCTGTGCTGCCCCAAACCGAAGACCTATTTAGTTCACCATTCTGCTTTCCCAGCAGCCAACAAATGTCATGAATACCACCGCAGCCTTCCCTTCACAGCCCTCAGCAATGGGCACAAAAAGGCATACTTCCATTAGATGGGATTTAGTCATCATGGCAGCTTTATCATTTACAGGTTTGTCTAATTCCCTTTTAAACCATGCAAATTACTTGCCACTATTACTACTTATGGTAGTAAATTTCAAGGTTTAACCTGCATGGCTTTCAGAAGAGAACATGAAATCCCCGATGTAGCTGAGAAATCACTGAATTTAAACAATAAACTGAATTAAATGCAAAGGGCTTTTACCTTCCTTAATACTGAATTTTAATTACTTTAAAGGTTATGGCAATGTCTTCTAATGACTTGAAGAACCTTTACAATGGCCAGGCAACAGCTGGTTGGAAGTAAGTTTTTGCCAAACATTTCTTCTGCTATATGTAGGGGCTGTTTCTTTATTCTTAATGAAAAATTCACTTTCCTTTTCTTCTCAATTAGGTACCAGTGTATGGAAAAGGATATACGTGTTTACTATAAAGCCTTTTCATCTTCTGCAACTAAGCATGGGTTTTTGGGAGCAGGAGTCATCAACAGGCCTCTTTCCACTGTATTGTGCCTGCTGAAGGATCCTACTAAAAGACATCTTTATGACAAAACCATTACTACAGCTCAAGTACATAAGAAAATAAGCAGCGAGATTGAATTGGGTTAGTATATTTTGATCTGTTTTTTCTACATAATAGAAATTTACTTGTACAATACTTTGGGAGCATTAGCAGGCAGAAATGGGATGTATAAAGACTTGAAACCAAGGAATGAATGAGTAAATGAATTAGCTTCACAGCTGCCAAAAAGCAGAACCCTTTCCTATTGCTGCTTCATCGATTTGTTGGGACACTCAAACTACAGCTTGAGTCCCATGTCAGTAAAAGCTACCCATCCCAAGTCAGCACACCACACAGCTTGAACTCTGCAGGGCTTGATGAATCTTTTTCCTTTTAATCATAATTAAAGTCTACTAGGCATAAATCTGGAAGCCGCCTTGGATTGTTACATGAGCCAGCAATCCACATTAAAATCCCTACAAAGGGTTAGCATGCAAAGGAGAGCAAGACGAAACAGAAAAGAGCCTCATCTTCCTTCCCAGACCTTGGAACTATGCAACTTAACCTTTTGGGTAGAGGTGGCCAAGTGTGTGCGTCCACGAGATTCCATGACTTGACCTCAAATGGTGCAGCACTTCCTGCTCAATACAATCTGCAGATGAGTGAAGAAAATCTGGACAACTTTCTGAGCCTTGTGACCCAGTTAAAAGTGGACCTAACCAGGACATTGAAATAGGGACATGTGAATAGGAATGCATTTTAGAAGAGACAAAGCTCACTCACCAAGAACAGGGGGGTTCTTATGCTTTATATAATTCATATCACCAACTTTAGTATGCAATTCCATTAAAAACAAAACCAAACCTCACTGCTTTATGCAACACCTCTGAGCTACATATGGAATGAGAATATTTGATGCAAAGAAGCACTCTGCTGGAGTATTTAATCTTTAGTGCTTTTTCTCTTAAAAACTCTTCCCAGAGTTTTCTTGGCATGTTTCCTGAATTATAGAAATCAGCAGCTGGAGGATAGGACTCTCAAGTGCAACGCAAAGGGTGTGCAAAGCATTAAGCACCCCATCCCACCTGCTTTGCCTTTGCTGCAACTCATCCCACAACTTCACTGCTGTATGTTCCCAGATCGAGGGCTCTTTTTGCTTGCTGTGTAGCTTTTGTGTAGTTTGACTGAAGTATGAATTAATATAAAAATGGCCATGCAACTTCTACCCTTTGGATTTAATTGCAGTATACGTGGTGAGCGATGTTTCACTGTGTTACCAAAAGCAACCAAGAGACTTCTGCTGCATCTCTGTAGAAGCCAAAGAGGTAAATATACTCAGCCAAGGCAGGATACAAAATTAAACTAATTTAGTGATTCAACTTGGACACTGCTTATACATTAGTATAGTTAAGAATCTGTTGGGTTCCATTTTACACTTCAGTGGCTGGACACAAATCTATTTCCAGTGTTTCAAATCACACAAATTAATCACAGTAAGCACTTCTCTTTTCCATGAATGGTAACAGCTGACCTCTGCATTATAGGACCTTATGCTGACCCCTGAAATAAGGCAGGGAAAGCAGTCAGGTGGAGGATGGGAAGAATGACACTTGCTGGAGTGGGACTCTCCTCCTGTAACTCTCTCTGATGTTTCTTGTACTCAGGAGAATATCTGCATTCTAGCTATTCAATCTGTCTATGAAGAATCAATGCCTCGTCCTTGTAAAGAAATGGTACGGGGGGAGATTTTGCCCAGTGCATGGGTATTAGAACCTGATACCAAGAATGGAAAAGACATCACTAAAGTCATCTACATGGTACAGGTAAGCACTCCCACTAACATCTAACAAAGCCTGCTTGCATACTTGGGAAGTCAGTGAAGTATTGCATTCCAGAAACTAACAAACTGACACAAAGCAATTGTGTGAAACTGCAAGGAAACATGAATGTGATAAAAGAATACCTTAGCCAAACAGAATGTTATGCAAGATCCTTGGTTTATGGATGCACACATTATATCAAGAAGGGGGAAAGGGGAAAATGAGTAGTGGAAAGGGGACAGAGATGATCTTCCTATGACATGCCTGCCCCCCTGCATTTTACATGCAAGCACTCTGAGAACTTTCCATTGCTTCCTGCTCTTTAATCAGTTACTGATTCATACAACTTGCATTCTTATCCTATGCTTGCTAAGCAACTTGCTAAGTTGCTCCTCTTACCAAGGAGACATTAGTGGGAATCTTCAACAAAAGCCTTTTGGGAGTCTATGTATACTGTATCTGTATATTACCCCTCTTCAAATGTATTTTGGCACTCTAAAACGACCTTTTATCATCTTAGTTGTCTATGTGTCTACTCAGAAGACCCAAATGATTTAATTACATTTATTCCCAGGTTACTATAGGACTGCAACCTTAAAGACTGCCTGTGTCACTCCTTTTTAGCACTCAATGAGTTGTAATTTTATTTTTCATGTTTTCCATCTGTATATCAGAATGTAAGCCAATACTAATTTCTAACAGGACAGACACACTATACATAGGTAGTCTCCAGGTACAGAAATGGGGGAGTTTACCTGTTCTAGTTCCAGAGATGCAAGTAATTGGACGGTGTACAAATTTTATAGTCAGGGCTGCATTCTCTCATTAAAGCAAGCATGTAGTTTGGACGTAATTCTAGGATTCATAATTGGAAGTCCAGGTGACTTCTGTGGCAAGCACCAACAGGACAGTCCTCAGTTAACTAAAAGTGGGGTGAGGGGGACAGGGGAGACACAGACCAAAGGCTTAGTATAAAGGAGGTTGGAGAACAAGGAAATTAAAGAGAAGCTGGAAACTACATTGTTTTTTCAATCATGAGGTTCTTGCTTCACTCCAGCAGTTTATGATTGTTCACATTTCAGATTCAAGGCTAAAGGTTGAATGGCATCTGCCTGAACAGATCCCTGTAAAGATGAGTGTTTTGTGGATTGAACTAGGTGGTGATCTAAGATACATGGATAGATTTATTCAGTGTTTTTGTTAAAAAAAAAAAAAAAGTGCCAGAACTCATGTTGCCGCCGGCAGTAAGCACTCAGCGCGCGACCACACACACCAATCCCAAGCCGAGCAGCGTCCCAAACCGGCTGGCGCGGACACAAAAGCAGCCCACAGGCACTGTGTTAATGATGTTTGCTGCTGACCTGCGAGCCGACAGGCGATTCAGAATCACTTCATAAAATCCATTGGAAAAAAAGGTGCCAGAACGCTGTTCCGGTGCGTTTGTTCTATGACAAAAAAAGCCCTGGATTTATTTGACTTGTATGCCACACCTCTTAGCCCTAAGGCCCTATAGGCAGCTCAAAATACATACCAATGAATTCAGTAGAGCTTATTTACAAATATTTATGCATAGGATTGGCGACAGGTACTTACTGATTTATCTACTGCTGCCTTTTGGGGTGCATTACACACATGCACGCACGCCGGGAATGGGGGGGGAGTCAGAGTAAGAATGAGCTCCTGCACTTCAGAATTTACTTTACACCAGTGCCTAAGCATGTCATTTCAGTACTTTCTGTCTGTGCAGGTCTAGGACATCAGGCATTGAGCCAGGGAAATCTGTACAGCACAGCTGTCCTGAGCCATATGAAGATCTTCACATTTATGTATGAATTGGACTTGTATTTGCTTCCACCTGCCTCACACTAAGACCAGAGAAACAGCATGATTTGGTGTACTCCTTCAGAAGCACTTGGAATTGACTAATGCAAGTAACATTGCTGACACAGCTTTCTTATTGTTTCAGGTTGACCTTGGTGCTCCAGCCATACCTGAAAGGCTCCTGAGTTCTATTGTCAAGCGACAACCTTTGGTGATTGCTAGGCTTGCTCAATTTCTAGCTGCTTAGGTATGTGGTGAACCCTACCTGGAACCTCATCTATTTTAGTAACAACATGTAAATACCAGCAATGGCTGAACTTGCATTCTGATCTGCTGAAGACCTAAAGTCTCTAAAAAAAAAACCCCTCACTGGACAGCATATACGAGGGTAGTCACTACAGGGCATCTGCTTTGGAAACTTTGCAATCAGAGACCAAATCTTAATGCAGTACCTGCCTCTTGACCAAATTTTCTTCTTCAGCTCTTTAGAAAGGGGCAGATTTTCCAGGCTGGGTCAAGTGAGAAGCGTTCATTTTGCAGACCACCAACACCGACTAGCAGAAATCTTCTGTCAAGAATCTGCAGTTTTAAGTTTTTATTTCCCCCTTCTGGCAGACTAACAGAAAACTCTTTGGTGCAGTAAAACAAAGGCATCTTAACCTTAGAAATAGGTTTAAGAACCACTGCACAATGGAAGCAAAACTGTAATGCTCTTTCCAGAGCATCTAACCAAAAGGGTGCTTATAAATGAATTCATTGTAATAATTGAACGAAGTCAGCTTACTGGTTGGAGAGTTTTTCAGCCCTGTCAAGATGTGTGCTGACATCTAAGCGTTTAAAATTAGCTTTGAAGTGATCACTCCTGTCAAGATGTGAGGTAGTCACTGCTTTGTTCCCTGCCAGAAACAACACTCAGGTAGAGACCTAATATCCTACAGAATCACTACACCACAAACCCAAGTGAAACGGGATAAGCCAAGTGGGGAGAGCACAGGCACTTCTTTGCTGCATAGAAAGAACTGCTCTGTAAGTTCATAAGTGGGGCTTCTGGACGAGCATCTAGTGCAGCTACTGGATTCCAAACTCTTCTACTGGAAGAGCAGCAGGATAAGTTAGCATGAAAATAAGCTTAGAGCAGGGTAACTCCATGAACGGCTTTACTCTATCAGGTTGAAATTAGTCTATGGGTGAGTAAGAGTGTTTCATGCATTGATCAGTGTTCCCTGTCTCTGCTCTTAATCCCCCACACACACATTTATTGGTATTCCACATGATCCATTTCTTCCACTTTGTAACTGCAGCTCTGCACCTCAGTATCTGGTTCACTGTAGCAATCAAATCCCATAGCAAATAAATTACTTTGATGTGTACCATTTGTATGAGTGAAGGCGCAGCATTAACATTCTCTTTTCCCACCCTTGCTATAAACTAGTGTGTAAAAGCATGTTTTATTCATGTAAAGAGGTAGGGTATTGATTCAAGTTGTTTCTAAAAATACTTTTACAAGCCAAGTAGTATAACATCCTATTACTGATAGCTACTGCATCATTTTCTGCCAGTCTGTGTTTATTAGAAACCTGCTTCTTGAACTTAGTATCCCACCTGCAGTGCTTTAGTGGAGCAAGTCACTTATTTGCAACATATGAAGTAATTCAAAAAAATAAAATTGTGAGCTCCTTTTATTACCTTTGCTGCACCACTCCTGTGATAATTCAGTGATGATTACTGAGAGCTATATTATAACTATTGTGTTCCCCATATAAATGAATTAATGACTAAACCTGTTTGAGAGAAGGATGAAAAGATGCAACTGTTTGTAGTCATTGTTGGTATGTGATATATTTAAATTTAAAGGTCCAAATGTTTGTACATGGAAACTATGGTGTTTCCATACTGGGAAAACTACTTTCCCAGAAGCATGTGGAAGTGTCTTCTAATTTTGGATGGGGCTGGAATCCCATTTTTTTGGTTTTGTTTTTAAATCGAGTTTATTCTACTTCACAATTGACCGATCTGATTTAGCTGGAGACTGTCTACAGCAATTGGCAGCACAACTGAGACTACAATCTAATAAACATTCACTTAGGAGTTGGTTCCTTTGAATACAGTAGGATTCACTTTTGAATAAACAGGGATAGGATTGGGTTAGGATTGGCTAACCCAACTGAATCTATCTAACACATCAAGAAATCAAAGCACAGAAGTTCCATCTGGTGGCTGACAAAACACAGTGTGGTAATGTGCCAAGTGAGACTACAAAATACAAAAATAACTTGCAGCGTCAGGAAAACCAGCACTGTGAATCTATGAATGTTATTTGGGGGATGGGAGGTGGGCAGGAGATTTTTTTAAATTACCCACAGTAACAGCAATCACATAATTTAAGGTAAGAACTAGCAATTGATTTTAGGAGATATTTCCAATGATCACTGGCTGAATACTTGCTGTATTAGTTTATTTTTCCCTTTATTTTGGGGACATGGCACTCTTAATAAAACCAAATGGTGTTAGCAGGAACATCATCTAAGGTGGACTTTTAACAACAGATGGTGCCTACTGAAGGTTAGTCTTACTGTAAAATGCATCAGATGTTTATTTTTATAATTGCATACAATTTTTTTTCTATGTTTACAAATTAAGTTATTTATATATACTTATTTTGAAGTGGTTTTATATGCTAAAGCTAATTATTATTTTTACACGTATTCAATTAATGTATGCTTTTTAGAAATAATTGATACTTCAAAGTACTATTTATATAATAAATGTTTTCTTTTGCGCCTATAACACTACGGTACCTGTGAATGCGTAGAATGGAAAGAATAGTCTTGAAATGGACGAAAACCTATTTTCTGTGAATCCTTTAACTGAGCACGCAAGAATACACTGTTCCTGTACCATGCCTTTAGCCCATATCTGCTTTTAATCAAGATTGCTATTTTCATATCCTCCCAATAAATAATTTTGATAAAGAAATAGGTTGAAAGCTGTATTCATTTTTCATCCATCCTGGATTATGTACCAAGCCATTTCACTACATGGGCCAGTCCCCAACTCACACTGTCAATATTACAAACTCTTCTGCATAGAACCACAGGCAGGAGCAAAAAGCCTGTACTTTGAAATGAAATACCATGGAACGTGCACCATTGCAACTAAGGAGAAGTTATAGTCACATGGAATTGTTGTAAGAGCAGGAGACATATAAGACTTGGCTAATAGCTTCATTACAGCTTATCCACTCATTTATTAGGGCACCTCAATTTAAGTTTTCCATAATTTTTTGACAGTAATTCCTTAGATCAGAATGACAATATTCAAACAAAGACTGATGATCTTACTCTGAGGTTTACCTCTCCTAGAGATCTTCCAATAAATCTGTTTCCAATCAGCTACAAGCAGGATGAAGGAAGAATGTTTGGGGCATGTACAAGTTCTTTCTAGTTAATCAAATAACCCTAGCAGGATTCCTGAACAAAAATGTTACTGTATTGTTGGGGGGGAGGGGGGAGGAAAAACTGATCTTGACACTCAGTGCCAAATACTGAGGTATGTTTGGGGTTCCTTGACCATGCTCTTTTAAAAGGCAGTCTAACCAAGTACTACATCACTCATGGGAAAAGGCTGTCCTCTTAAAACATGAGGATGTCATCCTGGAAAAAAATACTTTTCAAGTTCTGCTGTTCTCATATTTAAAGCCAATCTATTTTTCAACAGCAAGTACTTCACAGTTTAAAATGAAGCACTGCCACTGCTTAATACTGTCTTCCCCCATCAGTAGAAAACCAAAAATACAAAAAGGTACCTTTTGCAAAGGACAAGCAGGCTTTTCTTAAAAAAAAAAAAAAAAAAGTCCAACTGCTGCTTGAAATCTGTGATTATATTTTTAAGATGCAGTTTTACCTTTTAAAAATATGTTTAAAAATCAAAGATAAGCTCTTGATAAACATTAAATATCAGTCTCACACTGGGGTGCTCCTGTTGTTAAGGCTGCACATTTACTTTACTTGAACAAGAGTGAGAACCTCATGAATCTGCCCCTCCACCTATATTTTACACATGTGTACAAGATTACAGGTTTGTTTTCAGGTCAAACCCCTATGTTTTCATACAGATCTCATTTATGCTTTTTTAAAAAATGTATTTACCCTTGAAATGCCTACTAAGGTGCTTAAAATGGCTTTTCTTGAAATGGTGTGTGTTTCACCTTAAGATGTGGACAAAGTGAAGCTCCCGTACGAATGCTTGAGTGCAACCACAGTGGCAGCAGCCATGAGCAATTCCAGCAACATTTAAAAACCATGCATCTGCTAGCTTTGTGCTGCCAACGCCTCTCTGGATTGTTCCACCACTTCACAAGACAGAGTCTTTGGTTCTGCAACACATTTCTCAGAAATGAATATTCTTAACAAAGCATCTAGTGTCTTGGAGAAGTCCTGTAAACAAAATTAGAAAAAAATGAACTTTTTTTTGTATAGCAGTACAGCTAACTGGTTGGTTAACGCAGGTTTACAAGCCTAAAACAGAGCTCAGCAGCGCTTGTAAGTGTTGATTACTACCCATGCTGATATTTTATAGTAATTTTATTAGTTTACCATATAATATAAGCGTATACTGAAAAGTGATGTAAACATTTTCTAATAGGGAAATGAGACAAAGCACCAGTGGTTTGAAAGGTCTCCTGCTTTACTTCTGCACCTATGACCTTCTAAATCTTTATATTTCTTTGCCTTCAATTTCCAGTTTCTCTTGACACAGTATATTAAATAAAAACCCTTTTTCTCACAGTATATTAAATAAAATCCCCTCCAAAGTAGATTATAAAAATCAAAAGCACAAGACTGCAATGACTTAATTTAAAAAAAACCCCAGAAAGATCACTTTCCTATATATTTAAACTTTAAAGCCAGTCAAAACAGGTGGGGTGTTACGATCCTGTGAGTTGTCCTGGGAGCTCCATCACATAGGTGCCACATAGAAAGATCTGCAGATTGTGGCATGATCCAAAGCAGTGCTTCACAATATATCCTGGCTCCTGATTCATCCAAACTACCTTACTGATCAGCTGGTCATTATAAAACAACTAATCAATAAAGAGAAGGGGACGCCATAGTTCCTTTCACCTCACTTAGCTATTTTCTAGTGATAAGCTCAGCAATGCATAGGAGGAGATTGTAGGAAGGGGAGAGTTAAACCCCATCTTCCCTGTAGTTGGCACCTCACTACTACTTACTTGATATCGGAAGTCAGCCTAAGAATGGGAAACAGGATTCCATATCCTGCTTTTCCCTGAACTATTCAACTAAACAGGGCAGGGTGGAGGGATCCTGCATGAAAGGAATCCAATATTACTTCCACTCCTGATTCAGATAATGAATTGCCTCTAGCCCCTTTCAGTATTTCTTCCACAGGGAGACAAAAAGCATGAGGGAGAGTGCATGCTAGTTCCACCTCACCATCTGTCATTTATTTCTACTCATGCACAGCAACTGCATAAAAAGAAAGGTCTCTATCCACAGGGGCTTATCATGCAATCTGGAACACTGGAAAAAAATCACAATCGAGTGTGATGAAACAATGACAGGACCAGAGATGCAGTGTTCAGACACTGATGAAATGAAGTAATAATGAGCCGTAAGAATTTGCCCACTACCACTCCATGATGCATAATATATCATCATTGCATTTATATGCCACCAGTTTTCCCACATGCGAGGAACCCAGAGCAGCTCCTTAGTCCTCCTCTCCATTTTTGGCCTCTATCCCTGTGAGATAGGTTACTGAAAACCAGTGACTGGCCCAAAGTCTCAAAGAACTTCAGGACAATTGAGGACTACAGCCTAGATCAGCTGTGCCCCAGTTCAACACAGCATCTATGAATAGTCATGTCAACAACAGCTACACTGTAACAGCTGGAAATGGTAAAACAAAACCTACAGCACAAGATAATGGAGCATGATTCAATCTTTTCTACAGCATTATCATAGACATTTATGTAACCTCTTATTTACTAAGACTACCTCAAGGTAAAGTTACTATAATTTAGAATAATTTAAAATGCATGAAGGGAAATGATGCTCAGTTTGTGATAATTTGTCCTCAATGATAATTTAGATCATAAAACCAATGAAAGATCATTGGAAAAAAGTTAGCTGCAATGACAAGCCTTCCCATGTCCCCCTTATCACACACACTTTAATTTCCAACAGCACACTAAAGCATATACCTCTTGCCTGAATATGAAACTGAAGTTCTGTGAATAGGACGATAGAAGCAGGAAGGAAGGCTCCAATACTAACTTTTCTGTGCTAAATAGCAAATCAGAGAAACAATTACCGAAGGCCATGGGGATTCCTGAAGTCCATGCAGACAGTTCTGGATCTCCATATCAGTCATTAAGCCATGCTCAACAAGTCCATGAAGCGTGAACAAGAACAAGTCCCACTGCAACAAGAAAGGAGGAGTATCAGGTGCTCCAAGCAAGGAGCTTGCTTTCACTACCTTTAAATGGAAATCCTGCTCAAGTGGAGATGCCACCAACAGCAGAAAACTAAATGCTACATAGTGCAGACTATAATCACGCACAAACAGGCCAAAAGTCTACAAAAACGCAGTACTCTGAAGTGCTAATTTAAAGATTATCTCAATGCTGTCCCTAACAGATACATGAAGAAAATAATTATAAGAAGTTCAATCATATTCACAATTTGAGAAAAGGACAAAAACGTTCTCTCTCGCATTCTACATTGGGAGGGACCCTCCAATTATTCTTGGGTGGGTGGGGCAGGGAGACAGGCTGCCTGATCATGGCTCCTAAGTGGTGATCTGGAAGGGACTGGAAGAAGAGGAGAAAAACAGCCCCCGTTCTGAGACAATGCTCACAGCATCGTATACATTGTTAGCTTAAGTCCCATTCATTTCAGTGGATCTACTCAAGTTAGAACCAGCAGTAGCTCAAGGCCTCCTACACAGAAAACTTTATAATTGAAGCAGTCCAGTTGTAAGTTGTGAAATCAAACTGCAGATGCCTGTACTCATTAATGAACCGACAGTTTAACATGCAGCTACTTTAAATGTTTCATGGAAGGGGATGAGGGGGGACATCAGCATCTAGAATTCAAACAACTTACCATGGAGTGGGGGCAGCCTCTCCCTGCTTGTTCTCATGTGATGTCTGAAATCTCCCTTAGATATTCTTTACTTTTTACCTCCGTGTTATTCTGTACCAGCTCTACTCTAAACCATGTAAAATCATCACCCCTTGATATACATCCCATACCAGTGGTGGCAAACCAATGGCACGCGTGCCACAGTGGGCACGCAGAGCCCCCTCTGTTGGCATGCGACCCAATTCGCCGCAGCATCGCCCAGCAGCTGACCATTACAGAACAGTGCACATAGGGGCCGTGCGCATGCCCAGAAAGGAGTAATGATGCCAGGTGATGATGTCACAAGCCGCGACACGTTAGCCGCTACTAATCCAATCTTTTGCATGGCTGGTCAATGCACTGCTAAGGATATATATATATTTGCTTGGACTGGATGATTTCAGGTTTTATTGTAGTGTGGGCACTTAGAGATAAATAAGTGGGTTTTGGGTTGCAGTTTGGGCACTCAGTCTCTAAAAGGTTCTCCATCACTGGGTTAGGGTTAGAAAAATGAGGTATACTGCCATGATTGGCTGGAATGTGTTTCAAATGCGCAGAAAGGAGGAGCTGTGCAGAAAAATCTACTCGGGAACGCTTTTTCAAAATCGTCCTATTCAATGGAACTTTACCCCTATATTAGGGTTAGGGGTGTGCATCAGGGTAGGGTTAGGGTTAGAAAAATGAGGTGTCCTGGCATGCTTTTGAAGGTTGGAATGTGTTTAGAGTGGGCAGAAATGTTGAGCTGTGAAGAAAAATCTACTCAAAGAAGGCTTTTTCAAAATCATCCTATTTTCAATGGAACTTTAACGGTACCTTAGGGTTACGGTTCTGCACCAGGGTAGGGGTAGGGTTAGGGTTAAGAAAACCAAGGTGTGCTGGCATGGTTTCGATGGTTGGAATGTGTTTACAATGGGCAGAAAGGATGAGCTGTGCAGAAAAGGCTACTCAGGAATGTTTTTTCAAAATCATCCTATTTTCAGCATAACTTTGCCCCTATATTAGGGTTATGGGTGTGCACCAGGGTAGGTTAGGGTTAGAAAAACAAGGTGTCCTGGCATGTTTTTAATGGTTGGAATATGTTTAGAATGGGCAGAAACAATGAGCTGTGCAGAAAAAGCTACTCAAGGAAGTCTTTTTCAAAATCTCCCCTTTCAATGGTACTGCACCCCTGTTAAGGTTAGGGAATGACCTAGGGAAGGGTTAGGCCAGTGGTGGCAAACCTATGGCACACGTGCCACAGCGGGCATGCAGATCCCTCTGTTTCAGTACACAAGCCAATGTGCCCCAGCAGCCTAACACTAGGGCCATGCGCATGCTCAGAATGGTGTAGCGGCGCCAGGCAATGATGTGACGTGCTGCGACTCATTATCTGCGACTTGTCCAAGCTTTCACATGGCCAGTCAGTGTGTTGCCATGGATATATATACACACACACACACACACCTGGACTGGCTGTGATTTGTTTTTTCTAAACTAAAACCTCAGTTTTCAGCTTTTATTGTAGTGTTGGCACTTTGCGATAAATAAGTGGGGTTTGGGTTGCAGTTTGTGCACTTGGTCTCTAAAAGGTTCGCCATCACTGCCCCATACTAACACCTTTGCAGAACCCTAAAGCGCTTCTCTCTTTCCTGCTTCACAGCTTATGCCCAGCATCTCCTAACTTGACTGGCTGATAAAAGATAATAAGCACAAACAGCAACTGCATTCAGCAAACACAAACAGCATTCAAAAGCTGGTGCTCACCTTGTGTTGTTTATTTTCTGCAAAGTAAGCAGTGTTTTTCCTACTGAAGATCAGGTGTAATGGTACAGGTGCCTGAAAGTCTTCCTTCCAGATGGAGAGCAAGGACTTCAGAAGGTGAGAAATTAGATTATTCTTTGCTAGCTGTTGCTCCTCCTTTTGAGCTTGAAACGACAACCCCTGGATAGGAACACGATCTGAAACTACAAGCAACTAAGTCAGGTAGAAGCATGGAAACTTACCAGTGAGGATTCTTTCTGATCTTATAAAAGATAACACCTTGAAGATATCAACAATTTCCCATCCCACTTTGAGGAAGCAAGATTTCTTAAACTGCTTAAAGAGATTTAGAGGCTCTTAAAGCTGAGGAACAAACTCAACTGAATTAAATTCTAGTAACTCGTAGGACATTATTTAAGACAAGAAATAGGAAGAGTACGTTTGGTGGGCATGATCCCCAACTTCCAACTAAGGGGAAAAAGGTCAATTCTCCTACACAGAAAGCATAAGCCAGAATGTCATCCCTATCATGACCAGCAATAACCATGATGGATTAAGTCCAACATTCCTCTCTGTCATGTGAAGATGATTCTGAGTCAAGAAGGGAATGCTCAGCAGCAGGGTTCCTAGTACACCACTGCAAACCAGTTGCTGCGGAACACAGGCAGAATGTGCTATAGTATTCATACCATGTAGTGAGCTTCCGGTAAGTATATGATTGGCTACTCTGTAGACAAAAGGCACAGATAAAGCCTTTCGTCTGATGCAGCACAACTCTTTTTATGTTCTTCTTTCTCTGAAGGGGAAAGCCAGACTATGCTCCAGCACCGCTTTTGTACAGAAGCATCAATCTGCTGACGCTGGATGAAAAGTAAACTGTCAATCAGTCATGCCTTGGAAATTAGTGCCTCTCATGAGGCTATTTCAGTGGGTGAGCTACCATCCCTTCCCAAGCACTGGTAGCATGAGATCAGAGAGCCGATTGTTAGTACATCTTCCTAAAAGTTGCTGACACCAAGAAACCCATCCATGAAGGAAGCCAATAGCAAATCCAGATGCAGCACGCACTATTCTCCATAAAGTAACTCTGAACACTCCATCTATGTTTAGCATGTGTCTTGAATTTAAGGGAAATATGACAAGAACAGAAAGTGCATTATTAGACAAAAAGAGCTGAAGAGCATTCTGAAAGCATGAAGCCAGTGAAGCTTGGAAGGAGCAAAGCCGGAGGGAGGGGCAGCAGTGCAGTGAAAGAGCACCAATTGCCAGTCAGCATCAACAATAATATAGGGCTCAATGGACCAACAGTGTGACTCAGTATAAAAGAACTGTTTAAGTTCCGATGAGACAGCCAGTGAAGATTCGGATTTTGAGCCAGTCACCACCTTTCAACCTATTTCACAGGGTTGTTGCGAAAATGAAGCCAGGGTGGGTGAAAGCACCATGTGAATTGCCATATGTTTCTTGTAGGAAAGACCGGACAGACATTTATGAGCAAGTTGCAGCAAATGCTATAGAACAGGGATGCTTTAAAAAACCTCCATTACTATAGGTTTGAGTGAAGTAATTCATACAAATATGCATAGACAATTTGCTTCTATAACAGAGGAGCAAATTCAAATTTATTTTAAGCTTCCTATTTTTTTTCCTGCACATGAAGATTAGACTCTGAGTCAGTAAAAAAACTCCTGCAAATTGGTATGAAATTATTGCTGGTTATTATCTGCTTGCACTATGTGAACCTGCCTTGAAAGGTGAACCATCCAAGAGGTCTCATTTTTAAGGATTATCTAATTAAACAAGGGCGGAGAAAAGAGAAATGCCAGTAAGAAGAAAAGAAGGGCAATCCTTACCTAGGAGGGAAACCAGCTCTACAGTGCACTTAGCCAGCTGTTGCTCTGATGCTGGGCACATAAACTGGAAATCATGAAACAGAAAATCAACACTCAACAAGACTTTGATCATCAAGACAACCATACTGGTGCATCTTGTTTGGAAGTTTTGTATTTGGAATATTCAAGTATTGCCATACTTCGGAGTGAGCAGCTGTAAAGAATGGCCTTGCTCTTTAAGGGGACTGACCCTTTCCAGGTGGTGGCTCACAGGTATTTGTAAAGGAAAAAAATAACACATATCTGCAGCTTTCAAAACCAATGATCTACGCAAGTGTTTTGCACTTATGATTATAAACCTATTTCCTAAGAAGTGGCCTGAATGCTGGGTTTGAAATACAGAAATGACATAGAAAAAGAGACACACACACAACTCCATCCCCAGCACAGTCCAGCTGAGGCAGAATGAAACTGGCACGGCCTCTCCCATCAAGGGATACTGCTACCAGTGGGATTGTAGGAGGGACCAAGAACAGAGGGGAAGACAGGCAGGCCAGTGCCACCAGGGCCTGCTCCAGCTGGGTCCTGAGGACAGGATCCTTATCATCTGTTTTTTAAATTATTGAGTGGAAAGATTTGTATCGCCCTGAGAGGCAAGATATAAATTACTGAAATAAATGCATAAAATTATTCTCCCATATAATTATGCTGGTGTTACCAGATGCATTCTAGTGCCTATGTAAGTCAGCCTCAGAAGTAATTCTACGTGTACTTCATGTCTTTCTACCTTTCTGCATTGAAGTGTTTGGCTCAGCCTTCCCAACAGACTTTCCAGGTCAACATACTGGATTTCTTCATCGCTGTCCCTTGGACCCACAGCTATGCAGAGCAGATCCTAAGCAGAACAGCATTTGTGATTCAGGATGCACATTTATTTTCTCTAGGACCCAGAGAACTCTGCTAACCATACAGAAGAGACAAAATGTCACAACAGAGCCACTGACAGGACAAACAAGGTGCCAGGATTGCCAGCACCATCCCTCCCACTGCCCTCAAAGCTGCTGCTTTGGGAGCAGAAAAGTTCAGTGGGAGTGAGGGAAGGAGGGCAGTGACCCGAGCAAAGGAATTACTGATCGGAAGAAAGATTAATGAGCAGGAAGACTGACAGACTTGTTACCTTGATTTCACTGATGATCTGGGAGGGGAATGCAGCCTGATGTTGGCAGTCTGCGGGGCAGCTCTTCCTCCTCTGTATGTCTTCAGTGGTACCAGGCAAGGTGTGCACTTGAGCTTTCAGCATGCGACTAAAGGTGGCTTTTACTTCTCTCCTTATCAAGGCTGTAAGGAACAGGCAGTGGCACTTACTCCTTTGCACACTAAGCAGCTGGAGAAAGGGGCAACCACTGCATACTCGTATATAAGCAGCTCTGCCTTTTCCCCAGCTGTGAGGCTGCTCCTTCTGTTTCAACAAGTGTGGCACCACCTCTGCTCAGAGGTGGTCTGGCTCCCATCCAGAGCACAAGCAGCACAGATCAGGAATGGGAAACTTCATCAATCACACCTACAGTCTAGGTTTTCTTCCAAGCCGCCCGAGGCATATATTTGGTCCTGCTCCTCTTCTCAATGTTATCCTCGCAACACCCCTGTGAGGTATGTTAAGTGAACAGTCAGTGACTGGTCCAAGCTCACCCAGGGAATGTCATGGCTGAATGGGAACATGCATCCAGGCGCTCCCTGGCCCACCACAGCCATCATAGCACATTTCAGTGGTGCTTGCCTTCCAGATTTTTTGACCCGCACAATTAGCTATAATGAAAACTGCAGGCCAAAATATCTGGATGGACATAAATTGTCAAGCCTGCTTTAGATGGGACAAGATGAGAAGGTGGGTAGGGATGTTGGGAAGAGAAAGGCCACAGTGAGAAATGTAGAGTGGCTGAAGTTCCCAAGAACCACACCTTATTTTAATAGATGATCTTTGCAGCCTGCCTTTCTCATACCAGGCGTAATGGATAATTTATTTTAAATTATGGCCAATCGAGCAGGATCTTTTTAAAGCTTTTTCTGGAAGGGAGCCAGAGTTCTAAGTCCTATGATGGAAATCTATGTACTATGGGAGGGCTGAGTAGCAAGCACAGTGTGAGTGTGTACTCATTGTCCATTTTGAGCTAGTCACTGGATACCAGAGAACGGGCATATGGGTGAGAAGCTAACTAGCAAGACTAATGTTGCTTGCTTTCATCTGGCTCTGTGTGGCACTCTGGGTAGGAACTTGGCCAGATGGAAGGTTTAATTTTTTGGTTATTTGTCCAGGAGCTATTAAAGGCATCTATGATTCCCGTTCTGTGAGTAGAGCCCTGAAAAGAATTCTGAGAGCTTGTGTTATTGATCAAGATGAAGAGGTCCAGTGAGAGAGGTCCTAACCGGTTCTGGATTGTTGGAACAAAGGCACTGAGGCTTGACCTTCCTGGAACTATTCCTTCTAACAAAGTCTGCAATATGATCTATTATTATTATTATTATTATTATTATTATTATTATTATTATTAACATTTCTATGCCGCCCCTTGCCGAAACCTCGGGGCGGCTTACAACACGTTCTCCCTTTATGTCTTGAGCTGAGATAGATGCCAGGTTCTCATTGAACTCCTCAGAAAATTGATCACCTTTTTCCTCAAAAATCTAATAAAAATTTAGAAGTGTGGTCTGAGAAAGTACAGTTGTTTGGTTGGAACACCTATATTCTAACATTTTAGCCACACGGTGGCTGCCAAAGAACAGGCATTGCATTATAGAGTGTCTTGTGTGGCACCTGCTATAAAGGCAAAGCATCTGATGAGTATGGTTGGTAATCTATGAAAGGTAGCGTCATTTAACACATTGAAATGATTCCCATGAGGTTTGTTTTAGGGTTGTCTTGTGTTGTCTGAACACAGCAGGGTGATTCCATTGTGGGCCACTGGAAGTGGTTGGCTGGACAGAGCAGCCAACTTTTTGCAATCCCAGCAGCAACTTCCCTCCCACCAATTCCAAGACAGCATTTCGGAAAGACCACACAGTTAGGCTCCTCGTTTTTCCATCAGTAAATTCAGTCAGGCAGCTGAGACCTACAAGCTGTTGCTCCACACCATTACAGGTTACAAATCATACTCTGGAAGGGAGATGACATCAAGCCACTTGGTTTTGGAAGGATTCCTGACAAAGCTAGCTTTGCTTGTCTCTTTTGCAGGTTTGCTGCCCGATTCTTTTTTCATTAGAGGAGACATGAGGAGTAAAACAGCAATGGAAGGAAAAGATGGAAGGTTTTAGGGTCTGGAGAGTAAAGAACTGACTTTGAGGATTTTAATTAAGGAGAACAGTCAATAGTTCAAATATTGGGACAGCAAAAGTAATGCCTGAATAAATTAGATGAGTCATAGTTCTATGCAAAAGCAGGGATAAACAGGCAGAGAGAGCCTGTGGCCAGTACAGCATTCCGTTTCCTGCACCCTGCTTTTTCCTGGCCATGTTAATACCCTGTTGAAAGTCTTCCTCAAACAAACTTCCAGAACAACCTGAATTCCTATTTTTGTCTTGTCTAGATTAAGTTCCCTTTTATTAAAATCCTCATTCACCCTACACATGAAAGACATCCTTACCTTTCTATCAAACTTGGGACTCTTTTTATTATTGGCTAGAGAAATGGGACTTTGTATAGATTTAAATATGTTTTTAAATTATCATAAATAGAAAAAAAAATGTGGGGGCTGACCCAGCAGGTCCGATGTTTCTGATGATTGATGTTGTTTTTAGCTTTCCTTTGTTTTAGGGTTATTTTGAATAAAACTTATTATAAAAAAAAAGAAAGACATCCTTACCAAGAGCAGACCAGCATACCTGTGATATTGGTGGAGAGCCAAGCACAGGCCTTTTCGGTAGCTAGCCCCACTGCGATATTTGCCGCACAGCTCAAAACCTTGGGAAGAAGAGCAGGAAAGAGTTGTGGTTATTTTCACTGGCATGATCAAGGCTGCTAACACAACTAGAACGAACAGTAATTTCCAGCAAATTAATGACAGCTTCAGCAAATGTACGAATCAACTAGAAAATCATTCTTGAAAGAAAACTGAAGAACTGTTTTAGGTATTCCTGCTGTTGGCAGCTGATGATACCCTGTGACAACAGCGATGCAAGTAAAGGCTAGTTTTAACTCCTCCAACTGCTGAAAAAAATATTTATTTGCAGGGGCATGAAGAAGGAAACAAAATGGTCCAGCTAGAAAATAAAACAGCCCAATTGTTCTACCAGACTATGCAAGCAGGCCTTGCATTGTCCAATATGCCAACCAGACCATTTTTTTTAGCTGGAAAAAGCAGACTAGCATTACCTGGTCTGAGGAAAACTAGTTACATCTGCTATAATGGGACTGACGGCATTGAATTTAAGATTTTATTTCAGCTGCTTAATTATTTTAGGGAGAAGGTTTGACAGCATCAGACAACCACAAGCCTTGTGCACCTTTCTGGCCTCTGGCAATTTTCAAGTCACCATCTTAAGAAAGGCACAGCTTTCTACTGTAAAGATTAAACAAGCAAAAGGAGAGGAAAGGACCAGGATCTAAAAGAATACTTACTGCTGCAGATGTCTCTTCAGGCAGTAGGATTTTTACAGCCTCGGGGCTCTTCTTCCTGCAAAATCTATAAATATGCATTGAAGGCATTTCTTAAAACAGAAGCTAAAATGTTACTACAGGGCAGATAATTGGGAGCTAGCAATTCTGGGATCCATTTCAAACTAGTCCATAGTGGTGGATGAAGCTGTGCACAGAACTGTGTTCCCATTCAGTGTCCTCGATATGAGGCCCCCCACACCAAAAACTGAAAGGGGAAACCAAAATCAAGTCACAAAGGAATGGCTAAGTAGTTAAACTGACTAATTCTAAAGTTAGAACAAAAGCAGCCCTGTACCAGACACTGCCCAAGGTTATATTCCAGGTCAGCAGCATGAGAACTAGAAAAGTAAAGAAAGGTTTAGATTGACTCGTCCTTCTTACTCTTTGCCTTGAATAAGAGCTTGTGTCCCTTCTTCATACAGCTGAGAGCACACCTCATCCAGCAGTTTGTCATGATTCACCTCTTCTATCTTCATGTTTTCTTGTAATATAACTTCGGCTTTTTTCACCAGCTCTGCTACCAGGGTTGCCCTGCAAAACCAAATGTTGAACAAGTTAAGGAATGAAAACTAAAACCTATCCTGAGAATTTAGCTGCACTTGGTGTCTATTTCACAGGTTTTTTTTCACATTTACAATTATGGTTTGTAGAGACTATTTAAGTCAATGGTTTCACGGCATCATGGGAAACTGTGGCTTAAGAAGGGACAACACTTAAACTTCTCACTCATTCCCACTCCAGCAAATCAAAGTTGTTGACCCAGTAAAGTTCCATGTGAACCAGACCTGCTATATGATTATTTTTCTAGAAATATTTAAAAGATGTATACTGTTGCCCTTCAACAAGTGGCTCACAAGAGGTCATAGTAACAATAAAATAAATTAAAACTATGAGAGTCAATAGTATAACAGCAATCAACAGGAATAACAACACACACCAAGCAGCAAATGATTAAAACCATCAAGGAAAATAAGGTTGCCTGGTCTGAAATAGCATCCAGGTCAGCACCCAGGGGCAGCCTTTCATAGTCCGTGTGTCATTTCCAAGCAGGTGGAGTCAAGTGGTGCATCGAAGAGGGCAGAGGTACCCAAGGAAGGTCAAGATGGTGTCATACATGTTCAATCCACATGCAATAAGCTCATTATCCCAGAGCTATACCGAACTGGCACTGATCGGATGGAATTCACCGCCCCACTTTTCTCATTTGTTGGTGGTGGTTCCAGAACAATGGGTACAACCAGGTATGAGACAAATTAGTTAAATCCACGGAAATATCAAGCATCAATTACAAGCTGTTGTCACATAGACTGACCCAACAAGGCACTGGTCTGATGTTCTATCAAAAAGAGACCTAGAGTTTCTCCCTTACAGACAAATCATGAAGCCCAAGAAGAATGCCCTTCCCTGCCCTTACTTGATGTGCTTGACACAATTTGATCCTATTCTCTCTGCCACAAATTCTACTGTTTTCCGTAGAGATGGGGACTGATTGTGGAAGAAGGCGTGCTCCAGCTCTGCCTATTAAAAGGAAGAACAAGAACTCCTAAAGGAATCAGAATACTCCATATGATCCAACTTACTGAAAGAAAAATTATTTCAATAGTACACCTAAGCACTCTGCATTTTAAATTAAAGTTGGAATTACAAAAATATCAAACAAGTACCTTTATCAACCCTAAATCCCCTTTAAAAAGAGAGGGAGAGAAAGGACATAAAATGCATATTTCAGATTTCCAACCTACTTAACCCTGCCCATAAAATAGCTGTTATTTCAACTGTTAAGAACAGATTTTACACGTTTTTCCTGCCCCATTTCTTAGGCTTGGCAAGAAGTGTAGGTTCTCTTAACTTTGTTTCCTTATGCTTCTCCATTCCATTTCTTTACCTCCCTAGAGATTAATTACTTCTTGGGAAACTCAGTCCAGAATTAGTGGCAAGGTCATATTGCTGATTCTAGCACAGATACATGAATGTACTACAGTCAAAGTTGATAAATGGGACTAGTAACAATGTGGGTTTCCTGGAAAATTTTAAATTGGAAAATTTTCCTATCCAAATTAAGGTAATTTGCTGAACAAAGCATTCAGTTTACATGTGAAAATGCTACAATGCCCTATGGAGTGACTGAGTTAAACATGTTAATGTCACTTGTATTTATTAAAGAAAAATGAAAAGCATCCCTTTTTTGTCTCAATACAGCACTAATATTTGGCCTGAAATATTTGAGGGAAAAATAAGCTACACTAAGGATACAACTCAATCACCTCCGTGGAAGATGCACAAAAGTTTCTTGACTCAGAGGCACAACAGTCGTTTCTGTTGCTGCCATCAACCCTCATACCTTACACTCTATGCCGATATATGTTAACCCTAACCCTAACCCTAGATAAAAGTGCCCAGGAGTAGAAGGGAAGGGAAGGAGGCTGGGAAACCAATAGAAGCAGAGAACTTCAGCTACTGGGAAGTATAGAAATGAATGAATGAATGTGGCCCCAAGCCTTTGGTCCCAGCCTCCTCCCCACCACCTGACATACCCCTTTTTGCTTAAGCCAAAATCCCGTGGTAACTCTGGATTGGAGAGCTCAGTGCCGTTCAGCCCAGTCTTTGGAGTGCCAGCTCTGAGATGACAGGATCTTGGTGCTAGGGCTCTAAAAATTAATTCCTATGGCCCTCCAGGACAATGTCAGGAAGCCATACGATTGTGCCCTTAATGTGATATTAATGTTGTATTCTGTAGACATCTTTATTGGCACATTTATAAAAATTGAAGGACAAAAGCATGCAGTTCCCTTACATCATTTACATTTAGGAGAAAAACTAAGCTACTGCGAAGTTGACAGATTAACCAATATTAAAACTCCAAGAACTGTATGACATGCTGGAAATCAGTCATTTATTTCAACACAGTTCTCCTGCTTGAAGCTGTTGGGGCACTTTCAGTTTCATTGTTACTACCTATGAACTCTGTTTGACACTGGAATGATTATGTGTTCCAATGAACCTCTCACATAGTTGCTAGGGAGAATCACTAGAGAAATGTAAGGCACAACACTGAAGCTGCACGCTTGCCTAATAGCCTAATAACAGCCTAATACTGTTATTTACAATTGGCAGCAAATCATCATTATTTGTCAACTTACGAAATGAGAAAAACAAAAATAAGGCACTGGAAATTTTTTCCTTTTGGAAAATTTCCCACCCACATTCCTGGGATCAGCCTTAATGAGCAAAGTAAATATATCTAGAAATTCATATTGTGTAAGAAGGGGAAGGGGAGAGCTAGCTAAATCCATTACTTGATTTGTCAGTATAGTGTAACTGTGACAAACTAAGAAGCAAACAAATACACAACTAAGCATGAATAAGTGAATGTGCTGGTATATGCTGCCTGACTGCTCCATCTACGAGTCGCTAAACAACCCAAATATGTGCAAACCAGGAACTCAGGCTTGTCATTTTCCCAACAAACCAGAAAAAGAACCCATGGTTTGTCACTGGGTTATTTCTCTGGCTTCTCGGAGAAGAAACAAGCCTTAGTTTAGGGTTCACACATCAGATGGAGAGCCCCTTCCAGTAGGAGTGATCAGACAGCATGTACCACCATGCGCACTCAGAACAATCCAAGGTTTAAAAAAAAAAACTGGGTTGCTGTGACATGCAAACTGAGCTATCAGAGCGGCTGCTGTCCAAAGCAGGACATCCTTGGAACTAGTGGGGTGGAAACACTATACTCACCTGTAGGGCAAGTCAAGATACAGACAGGCAAGGCAGTAAAGAAAGAAAATAGAAAATGCGACTCAGAAAGCAGAGTACTTTTTAAAATACACATATTCAACTCTATAGGGAACTCACAAACAGAACCTGACAATTATATGTAAGTCAGTGACCAGGAGGAGGAAAACTCAAGTGACCAACCATGGCCCCAACTCCCTTAGAATGCCAGAAATTACATTCTATCTCCTGACTCAGACCAGTCCTGGTACCATTTCAGAAAAGCAAGCTGGACCCCCACGTACTTTCCCATGGATTATTCAATTTGTTGCTGTCATGTGTTGTCAAGTTGTCTCCAACTTATGGCAACTCTATGAATGAAAGCCCTCCAAAATCTCCTATCCACGACATCCCTGCTTAGCTGTTCTATGGAGGCTTCATGAGTCAATACATCTCTTATTTGGCCTTCCTTTTCTTCTTCTGCCTTTGACTTTTCCTAGAAGGATTATTTTAAATATAGAGCAATCAGATTATTCAATTACTCTATATTTAAAAACCAAATAAAAACAGACTGTGTATTTACATGGCATGCTAAGATTGGCCAGAATACATGAAGCAGAATGTTGATAACAGTGTAACAGTACACCTTTGTACTCAGAATTCATCGATCCAGAGATGCTATAAGTCCCATATTCTGTACTAAAAGAAATCACTAACACAGATCAAAATCTCCATTTCACCTACACAAATGCAGTAAAAGCTAGAAAAAAGCAGGCACATTATGCTATCACCATACTAACTGCAAGTGCCTAACCTGCTTTAACTGACCAGTTTGTGTCATTCCCACATTTAATATTTCATTTCTGAAACGCCTTCCATCCCAGAAAGGTCCCTCAAGTCTACTTAGAACTCTTTTCAAGAAAATGTTTCTCATCATAAATCAGTTTTCCTTATTTTTATTTATCTTCTTATCAACAGAGGGTAGGGAAACTCCAAGCTGTGGATACCTCCCCAGGCCACCTTGTCTCCTGAGGGCACCCCACTTTAACTGTTGCACATCACTACCAGTTTTACAACCTCCAATGCTTAACTCACAGCTTGCCTTCCACTAGTCTTGCACATTCTATTCTGCAAAAGTATGAAGAATTGAAAGGCAGGCTGGCAGGCAAATATGGGAGCACGGAAAGCAGAGCAAGGAGTGCAATATTTGGAGCATTCTCTGGACATTCTAATCAACATGCATCCACTTGTTTTGCAAGGATGCACAGACAATCGGGTGTAAGCACCACCATAAAGACTGCAGTAGCCTGCTTACTCTCCACTGGCCTCTGGGAGGGAGAAAGGGGAAGAGAGAGAGAGGAAGGGAGGTAGATGCACACTGCAGTTAGAGGAAAAGCAGCGAGAGAGACAGGGACAGGGAGAGGGCACGTGTGAGCATGAGAACGGATGCATGTACATGCCCCACTCTTGCCACGCTGCCCACCCCGGCTGTGACTTTGTCTACTAATGGAATATGGTCCTAAGCAGATCCAAGGTAATGCATACCTCGCCTGCAAAGTTCTCCCATCCCTCCATTAGAGGATCCTCTGTGAAGAGCTGCATGATTTTGTCAGAATCCTTGCTACAAAAAAAGATCTTGATTCTTGCACTAGATTTCTTTACCTGGAGTTTCTGCTGAGTGATGGAAGGCTTTTGGGCCAAGGCTTCTGCAGCAGTTGGAGTTATTTTTCTTACATAACCACCATTCTTTATGCCACTTCCCAACACAAAAGATGACAGGAGTTTTCTCAACTCACCTAAAATAAAAATGTATTTGGTTATTAGCTAAAAAACACAAATAGAGTAGGAGATATGAAAATGCAGGGAAGCACTCCCTGACATACTCCGGTCCCAGGCATTTAGGGACCAGAAGCTCAAAGAAGAGAACTCTGAACTGAGTTGGGGAAACAAAATGTCAGTAGCGTAAATGAAAAACTGAGCAATAGACAAATATACCAACTGAAAGCAGGCAAGCAGGTGGAGTATGGGCTGTTTTCAAAAGGCAGCTTCACCCTTTTTATTGCATATTGCAATAATACAACCTAAATGCCATCACAGCACAAACCATTGTGGCCAGGTCTCTCCTTTCAAATAGTTGGTGTAGCCAGCACATCAACCAAAATTGAAGGTAGGCACTCTGAGCTACAGCCACGATCGGGCAATAAAACATTAGATCCAAGCAAACTCACCAACTATGAACCTGATTTCCACAGGAGACAGCTGCTCTCTCACAAAGCGCCATGTCTCCAGCCAGCTAATACACTGTCAACAAGTCCGTCTTATCTGGCTTGACTTTCAGTTTATTCATCCTTCACACTGAATCTGGAAGAATCCCACAGGGCAATTCCATGGGGAGGATTACCTTCTGGAACCTATCCTAAAGATGGAGTGGATTCAATGCAGTGTGAATGGTCTGGATCTAAATAGGTGGCCTGGGGAATTACCATGATTGATGGGACTAAGAGATACAGGAAGAAACATGGGGACATCAGGCCTTTGTTTCTTTTCTAAAATACCTATCAGTCAGTCATCTTTTCTTCAAAAATTGAGAGAAAGCAGCAGCTTTTAGAAGTTTATTTGACAGTCCTGCTAAGTCCTTGATCATAGGACTCAGAACAGATATAGCAACCATGGATACCTAGAGCTGACTGGAGTCAAGGAAGACCAGGGTAGCTGTCCCAAACCTAGTGCTCTTCAGATGTTTTGGAATACGACTCCCAGCATTCCTGACTACTATCCATGCTGTCCAAAACATCTGGAAGTCTGGACTAAAGGGATGTCCACTGACTTTCTTAGGAGAGGGATTTATCCTGCAGTTTATTCTTGCTATGAACTAGCTGGAAGTCCAACTGTGTATGCATTCAACTCTGTGTTTAACACACATAATCACCCTTTAAAAATTACTTTTAGAAAGAGCAACTCTTAACAGCATTTGTTATCATCTTGTAGTTCAAACACAGGAACATGCTTTAACACACAACAGAGTATGTTCCTACCATTTTAACTATCATTAGAAGTATTAAATGGCTCAGGGTGCCAAAGCTATAGCAAAGATCAAATCACCAAACATTAGTTATTTCCCCGCTATATTTTATGGATTAAGGACACAAATATATTCCATGAAACTATCCAATAACAGCAACTTCATCTCTGATCAGGCAGCTGAAGCTTTTTCCTAGAGCTTCTCTCCAATGCAAATAAAGGAGGAATTTTGACCTTAAGAAGTGCATTATTTCACTTAAAACATCCATTGATAAATAACTCACCAAGATATGGACAACATGTATAAAGCAACTGCTGATCCACCAAAGGCACAGAGTCCTAGGAAAGGGGACAAGAGCAAACAGCATATTCTGACTCACTTCAGAGGCACTGGATGTACTGAACCCCACAGGCTGTGTTTTGGTCCCAGGTCTCTCTAAGGCTAGACAAGCCTTAGAAAACTAGTAAGAGACACTCAGATGTCTGCACAAGCTCACATGCATCTATACAAGTTTACCAGAGATTGAGCGGTTGTTCCAGGGTGTGCTCTCAATTCTTCTGATCTCACTTTGCCAGCAAAGAATAAGTGTTCTGGAACGGTAGGCACCTGGAAGACAAGCCCTGAGTGATCATGTATGCATATTGTATTGCACATGAAAAAAATCACAAGTACCAATAGAAAGAACATAACTTCCTAAACTGGTGTTGAAAACACTAGTTTATACCTGAAAAAGCCACCCCAAAACTGCAAGGATCAGTAGCTTATTTAGGAAACACATCTCTTTATCTCCAGACAGTAATAGACATCTGTAAGAAATAGAAGGGGAGAATATTAAACTCAATTGTCTGTACTGAGTTTTACCTGTTCATATTTCTTCCTTTGAAATTTTTAAAAAGTTGATCCCATATCTTAAAATTTTAACATTCATGCAACAAGACCATCAATATTTGACACACATGACCAGGAAAAGACATTCACTGTCACCTTTCTTTGTTTCTAGAATCATGCATTAAGGGAAGGATTTGTTAATATTTAGATGCTGTAGAGCAATTTAACATTTGTGGCTGGAACAATAAAGATCAGTGAAGGTTTCATATATTGTAAGAATTATATATTTAATAGCACTACACACTTCTAGTCATTTTGTTAATGTAAAATTAACAAAAACTTTTCAAAGAAATCAGCATCTCACATCTTAATTTAATTCCTTGCTACCAATTTCAGACAAGATCCAATAATCCCTTTGCAACCTCTTACCTGTACAATTGCAAGAGTAGAGCAAATATCTTCTCATAATAGTCAAGAAATGGGGCAATATAATCCATTAGGGAAAGGAACTCTACAGCCCAAGGTACAGTCAACACTGTGCGCCGTTTCTGAATTGATTGCTTCAGCAGCTTCAATATATCCAGCACAGGATGGGTCTTAAGAGGAATAAACATTGGGAAATATTAAACAGATGCCATGTATTTATCTTACACTTTCCCATCTTGATTTGATGTTCTTACTTTTTAGATTTTGTATCTAATAGCAAACATCTCTATACTTGAACTATCATAAAATGGCAAGAAGCAATGCTTCCTTTTACTACCAGTTCTTCAGCATGTTACTTTTATGGGCAATTGCTGAACTACTATCATTTTGACAATGAACTGCCAATCAGCAAGAAAAGGAGGTGGGCATCTCAAATCCCCTTATTTCTTATTCCCACTTCCTTAGACTGGGTTCTCACAATCAAAACAATAAATCCTTTGTTAGCAAACATAGATCTGTTTGGAGTTGGGGGTATGGAAGAGTCACTTAACTGCTGCCAAGAAATCTACTGGCATCTGATTTTATATGTGTACCATTCCTGCATTGTACTGGTAAGCCTTTTAAAATCCAGTGCAGCAAATTCTGGCTAAGAAAAGGTATCATAGCTACTTCTTCAAAATAAACAATAAGCTTTTGGCATTAGCCAAAAATGTAGTATTTTTAAAGGCTCCAAATGTCTTGAGGCTTCTTAAAGATGAACTATAGTCTATGATAGTTTAAGCCACAAGGTGCCACAAGACACTTTGTTATTTTTGCTGTAATAGCTCAACAAAATTAGTGTGAAAACTGAACACCCTGGAAGTGTACTTAAGTACAGCAGTTTAAAGTCACTCATCTGATCACGCCTCATGCTTTTAGTTCCCAGTTTTCCCTGCAGTCAGCTATCAAGAGCCAGTGGCCAGGTTTGCATGACACAAATGAAGAACAGAGGCTTGTTAACCACCTGTGTGTGTTGGTTGCAGGCCAGCTCATTCCCCCAATTACCCTCACCAAAGGGCAGCTTCGCATGTCATCTGAAGCCAGGGAGGATGGTTTGCTGGAGTTGTTAATAAACCACCCAGAAAGCATGTGTATTATAGGATAATTTGTTAACCTCCTGAACAAACCACCTCACCAGCTTTAGGCAGCATGAGAAGCTGCAGGAGAGGCACAAAACAATAACCTGGTGATTGGGAGTGGTGGACTGCAGTAATCACGAGAACCAAGTCTGTGTATGACTGGGTAAGTCATGTTTAAATCCACACTCAGTCACGTGTATGATAAATCTAATATAACTGTGAAAACATGGAAGCAAAATACTGAACTTTTTACTGATGTAGGACTGTACTTCCATGTTAAGGATGTCTGAAAACATCCCTATAGCAAAGGGTTACATACATAAAACGAGCCTTTCTGTAACATGCAACACTTCTGACAAATAAATGGAGCATTTTGTCCTTGCTATCATTCTCTCTCCTTCCAAGCAAACCAGGACTATGGCTTTCTAACCACGGGGCTTTATTATGATAATGCTGACCAGTTTGGCTTTAAAGTACAAATGTAAAGTACTGCAGAAGGCAATAAAAGAAAAAAAACCAAGAAAATTGCTTAACAATAAGCTAATTCCAAATCGAGTACCTTTCCTCCCAAATTGTAAGGTGGATCCTCCTGCTTCAGGACCAATCACTTAAACTGTCTGACACATCTCTGCTAGGTCTTCACTCTCCCTGATGGTATACCAGGGATTAATGATGCTACATCTACCCCCTTCTCACTGAACTTTCCCACTGTATTTGAAATTGTCTGATTCTCAGTGACCACTGGCTGAGTTCTGGATCCTAATTCACTGGGCCATTTCAGCACCAGATTCTATTCTCTCCTCGTCTGAGTCGGAATCTTTTTCCACTTCCCTTGAACACCCTTATATAAGATGAAGCCAGTCATTACATAATGTCCCCTTACTTTTCACCAGTGTTGTACAATTGAGATAGATGTCCAATTTAAGTAGCTGAACTTTAGAATCTGCCCTCAGTCTATATCAGCAGCACAAAAAGTATTGTATGAATATCAGAGCCTCATTAACTCGGACATTTTTAACAGGCAAGTGCCTACTTCTTCCGAAACAATCCAGAGATTATTCTCATGAAATAGCTGCCTTGAAGAATGCAAAGAAGTTGCTCTCCAATAGTGGACACACAACACACAACACACGCACTTGGTTCCTTAACATTACTGCAGACTCCAGCAGGTCTCCAGTTGCTGGCTCTGACGTGCAGTAAGGCAGGAAGACAAGGAATCCAAAAAACTTTGCCAGGAGTCGGAGGCTCATAAGGGCTGCAGCAAAGCGCTTCTTTTCATCCTGAAATGGAAATAATAGCAAGCACCTGAAGTGGGACAGCAGATAATGATGCTGTTGGCAACTACATCTTTACTGTGCAAATTTCTCCTCCCAGCTGTCCTCCACTTGTGCTGGATGATGGTAAGGCTGGCAGGGAATGAAGGCACTGCATTCAAACACATCCAGAAAGCACCAGCAGGGGGAAAGCTGGTTTGGCATTTTCAAGCATTCATAGCACTTCACATGTATCATTCAGTTACAGTCCTTGCAACAGCCCTCTATGCAAGACATTATTACCCCCACGCTGCAGATGCAGGGCTGACCAAAGGAGGCCATGCCATCTAATGCCATCGAGCGAAGTCATGGGCAAGGTGAGACGGCATATCCAGATTCATGGCTCAGTCAGTTAGCCAATATGCCACAGCCTAAGACCATTCTCGCTTCTGACAAACTCGTCAGAGATCTTCATACAAAGAAAAAGTGAAAGTCTGATAAACATGTGTAGAAATTTAAAGTCAGTCTGATTCTGATTTGCCTCCACCCCACGCACAGGTTTTTTCTGGGAAAGCTTTCAATGCTGAGGGAACTGAGAACACATTCACCCATAGCAGCCAAATTCCACTCACACACACACACTAAATACACAGTCAAGTACCATTTAAGACAAGGCTGGGGATCCTCCAACTTGTAGTTCAAATCCAGCCAACAAGAGTCCACCACCATTCTGCAAAGATGTTCTTCCAGTGCTCAAGAAAGGCAGCCCCTCTCTATTTCTGAGAAAGGAAGCCCCACTCTTACCACTGGGGAGCAATGGAAATAGAACACGGGCTTTCTGCCCCAGTGCTAATAAGAGGCTACATTTCTCTAGTACAGTGGGGCTGTCCTTTATATGGTTACTCTGTCCCTTTCTCTGCATGGAGGGAGAGAAAGGTGTGTGGGCTTTTGAGTGAAGTCGTTCTCCAGACCCCAAGGGGTGACCAGGGAAAGAACATCATCCCCAAATTAGAACAGCTCCCTACTAACAGCTCCCTAATTTAAGCTCCCCTCTATAACCAAAAACTTGCTAGAGAATGTTTAATACAGCCCTACTGAAAAATAGAACCACCTGTAGAGTCCAAGCATCTGCAGCTTCAGCACTGATCCAGTAGGAAGCTGTCCACAAAACCCATGTGCATAATAAGGCAACATCTAGCAGTTTCATAATTCCAACCTCCCTTTTTCCAGCAAGAGTGCATTTTTAGACATCATGCTTAAGCAACAAACGTGAGACACACATGGCCCACCATTTCTGCTTAAAGATGGAAGAATTTATCTGAGCCCTTTCAATGATTGTGGGGCTGCTACACTCAACATGATTCCCAGTTCTCTTGAAACTGAAAGAGCATTTCACATCATATAGCCTGAATTAGATACAAGATGAAGGTAAGTTCTGGAAAATTTATTTCAACCTGGAAACTGGATTTTCTTGCCATCTAATTAGGGATTTTTTAAAATGAAGAGATATAAGCAACTTGTGTAGTTTCAGCATCCCAGACAAGTGCAGTAAGGCAACATTAAGGCTTGCTAGAAGGATTCTCAAAGGAATGGTAGAAAGCAACTGACCAATGTCTCAAGGAGATGAAGAATCAAATACTGTCACCACCCAAGTCTGTTCCTTCAACTTGTACAGTGTCATAATGGCAAATATAAACAGATTCCACAAAAAACATTTTTTTTAGAATTGGGTATGTCTGTGCTATGTGAACTACCTGCTCATCCATTGCATCTCCATCACTGGGTTCGTGTTCCACCAAAGAAAGGCCATCCAGCTCAAGTATTTGCAGACACAAACTGTCCATCAAATGCTGATTAAATTGGTAGCTTTGGAAGAAACAGCAATCAAGTATGAGTCCTTTATGAGAACAAGTTGAGCAAAGTCTTTATTTGCAACTGGAAACTATTAACACAGTGCAGAAATGTATTTAAGATGGAAGTAACAAGTATCAAGCCTCCACAGACCAGGTGAGACACTGTGGAAAGCTCTTTCCTAGCCGAAACACCAGAAACTTTAGATGATGTCCTTTCAGCACCAAAAAACAGCTTTTATTTTCTCAAACTCCTTTCCTCTAAGTTCTTACTCTGTTCTTTTTAGATTTTGAGTGGATTTCACATGGATTGAGTGGATTTATATGGCAACCCATCATGGCTAACTAGGCATCATGGGCTGCCATACTGCATGAACTTGGACCACATCCCACGTGGTGGTTTATAGGCAAAAAGTCCTGACATCTCATGGCTTGTTGTAGGGTTGTTCAATGCATGATGAGTTATCATGTCATCTAAATCCAGGAGACAGACCCCACTGTGGGTTGACAGTTGTACCAATGAAGTCATGTGGCAAAACAGTAAAATCCCTGTCATTCTTAGCAGCCTCTCCCATGCTGTGACCGCTGTTCACCAATGCCCAACTAGCGTTTTGGAGCAAACCTCACTGATTTGTTATCCTTTGTTTTTAAAAAGTGCAGCAGAAAAGTGTGCAACTGAGACTGCCATTAAGAAAATGGTGTGCACCATTAGGTGTGCATGTGTACACTTACAGCTGCTCAAAATATGAATGAGTCTTGCCTGGCCAACATCTTCATATATGTACCTACTGTCAAAGTGCAGTAGCTAACATGCATATATTAGATGCATTCACATCTTGTGACAACAGCAACTTCAGACTGTGGCAGTTGTGAGAGTGCAAGAATTTGTAACTCCAGGTGGAGCAATGTTGTGAGAATACAGACCTTGTCCCAAAGAGGGACACCTTTCAACAGTTGTTAAAAGCAGAGGTGTGAACTGCTTCCAAAAAGGGTGAGACATATGATTTAATCTCTTGCTTGTGGCAAGATCCTCCACTTTTTCTTTTCCCCTGACAGTGTGCAAGGTGGTGTACATTTTGGATTTTTCCTCAACAAAACTCGAGATGCTCAGAAAAGTGTAGAAGTGCATCTCTCTCCCTTTTACGTTGAGAAATTGAGTTTTGATAGCAAAACTGATCCCCCTTTATAAGCGGATTTGGACAAGGTAATGGGGGGGGGGGTGGTCTTGGTCGAGGATGTCCATGTCAGGAAAACAAAGAAACACACATTCTGGAACTATCAAAAGAATTTTTAAAAAATCTGGCAATCTGGAACTTTTTCTTTGAACAAGGAAATTCAAAGTGTGTGCAAAGTAACCTATATGCAGCCTTACCCAGTCAATATCATGGACTTTACCTACTGCATTTAGACAGCAGATTCTTAATACAACACTGGGCAGATAAGATTCCATACTTTGGACAACTTTGTATTGTTAAACCATCCCAAGACTTCAGTAACAGGACAGTCTATAAAAGTTTTAAACTAATAAATACATACATAAACTCTAAGTGAGCACATACACATCTCTGACTCCACCCAAAATGACAGTCTCAATTGTGTACATTTCTGCTGTTCATTTTTTTAAAGGATAATGAGATTATAATAGAGAAGCCTCATCTTCCCCTTAATCATGTGAACCTGCTGATGAGGTTTGACGTCCCCATGCCTCATCAAGGACTCTGCAAACTTCTGTCCACAGTTCTGACTAACCTTTCTTACACCAGTTTTGATATATTCTCCAGGAAATGAAAATGTATCAATTTGCTACTGCTTTATCAGCTAACTTGCCATTTGTCCAGGCTTTTGTAAGCCATATCTCAGTCACACAGCATGTGCTTTGCATGTATAAGGTCCCCAGTGCACTCCTCAGCATCTCCAAGTATAGCAGGAAAAGCTGCTGCCTGACAGATCTCTGCCAGCCTGTGTGACAACACTGATTGCTACAGACTTCCCAGTACATTCTGGAATACTACTTTTAAAGGAAAAATGCTGCAGATATGTTATTATCCCAATGCAGAGCAATATCACTTTTCCCCAGAAGAGTTACCATACAGTTTCTAACCTATGCTGCTATTTGCAATTGATAGTATCTGCACATTCCTAATTTTCAATAAACACTTCTAGCATCCATATCCATGAATGAAGTTATAAATTGTGCATTTGTAATATTGACAAACTTCTACTCATTTTACGATCCATCTGCATTTTGTGATTTTGCAGAGCAGGCTGCACAGTCATCTCACCCACATTCTTTCCAGGACCAAGCACAATTTCCTTTAATCTGGACAATGCCATTTTCACCTTGCTTTGTAGAATCTGGTGAGGCATTCCACAAACCAAGGCTGCAATTATATTAAGGAACCACTTGGCGCAGTGAAACAGGCTTTGTACAAGCCCTCTTTAAGGGTTTCATCCATGTGCTTTTCCAGCACATACATGGGAAATTCTCAGCAATAGCACCATGCTCCTAGACTAAACATTGGCAAGCTGGTAGCTTCTAGATGTTCTCCCAGAACCCTGGTCTGCTGCCATGCTGGCTGGTGCTTACAGGAACTGCAGTCCTACCCTGGCATAGGCAGCAACAGCAATAAGCAGCTAACCTTCTTGCACTGAGGATGAAGTCCCTGAAGAATTGCTGACATCCGGGGAAGGAAGGTGGCGGGCAAGGCCCTCTGATACTCTGAGGAACGAAGAATCTCTCTTGCAGTCTCTTCAATCGGCTCAGATTATCTGAACCCAGCATGTTGAGAACATCCTGGTCTGGGGTCTCTCCCCAACTTGTGCCACCACCTACTGGACCTTTACACATCTTTGGAACAAAGGGATTGTGATGGGAAGCGTGTAACTTTTCTACATACATCACCAGAAAATCCAACACCACACTTTACCCCAGTGCCTCTAATTTATGCTTGATGCTCAAAAGCAGGCACACCATTCAAGCACTTGCAGAGGAGGGATCAGCTCACTATTTTTGAGTGTTGCATCCTTGAAACCACCTGAACTGAGCAAACAGTGCACAGAAAAGTTTCATATTAACTGACACCAATTTAAAATACAGCCATGTTTGCAATGAAATGCACTCAAACACAGTTCACTGCTGCTGTTTTTGCTGTTTTTTCTTTTATTACTGTAATACTGAAACATTGCATTGCTAAAGAAAACACAGGAGATAAAAGTGTCAATTTGAGTTCAAGGAAGTGCATCTAAATGGATTCAAGTACTATTCAATTCTTCAATGCAGCTATAATGGTTTCAGGATTTCTCAAATGCGTTCCTTAGCATACAAGTCAGCTTTAGAAACCTCCAAATTCATTACAGTGAAGATTCCATTGTTCCAAGCCATTATGGACACCAGGTTAGATTGATAAAAACTACAACAGAAAGGAGTCCCTCAAAAAAAATACTGTTGGCTTTTTAAAATATGCCTGAAACTAGGGATGTGTGAGAAACTAGTTTTGGAGATGGGAATCTGTGGATTCCCTGGGCTCAGTTCCACAGACTCTGGCCCACTCTATTGTGGCTGTTAAGTCTGAGTTCCTGGTGAGTACACCCAGTTTTTGTAGCACTCCCCAAGCATCAAGCCCAGCATAACCACTGTTATGCTTCTTCCTCACATGTAGCAGCCTTTGTTTGCACTGCTGCATGTGACATGGAAAATACTTCACTCTGCAAAAATGCAAAGACTTCCTCTTGGCTCACTTTCTCAGATGAGGACAAACACAAGAGAAAGTCCACAAATGCTAGAGAAACAGATCCACGGATATTTATCACAACACTGGCTGAAACCAACTACAGTAGGTTTGCTTCACTGTTAAGAATAAGAGTACTCCTGCTCCCTCCAATATCTTTACATACCAATCCATAAATGGGTGTAATTTCTGCATATAAAAATCAATTTAATTTCCATTTCTTCGGTATGCTAAATGTTAACAGCAAAAAATAGATAATGAATTATGTCTATCATTTCCCAAGTCCCCATCCCCTGCATATTAGAGGGAAACACAAGAAATGTGTTGCTAATAATGAAGGCCTTGTTTTGCTAACATGAAGGTTGCTTAGCTTATATGAAATGCAAGCAATGTTTTACCTGAAGAAGCTGTTTCTGAAAGAGCCTTGCAAAGTGGCTGTAGTTGCAAGCTGCTGAAAGGTGAGCCATCATCACCCTGAGAAACAAGAAACAAATGATTAACGCTGCAGCTAAATTAAGAGCAAGAGAGAACTTATTATTCTAATAATCAGGTTGTTGGAAGTAATTATATATTTCAAAAATGTTCTGCTTTTCACTTACCATTTGTAAAATCCAATAGTATCCCCCCTCCCAACCTGTTGTACAGTCCCAAATGAAAAATTGCACGAGGTTACAACTTCAACTTAGAATTAGGTTTGCATCTGCCTAATGCTACAACTACAAGGTTAGGTAACTAGGACATGATCAATCTTTAGTCACTTTTGCAATATGTCCTGATACACCCACTAAGTATCATTTGAAGCCTCATATACCTGAGGCAATCCTCAATTGCTATAAACCATGACCCAAAATAATCTTCCTGAAAAAACATGACAAATTTAATAGACAGCACACAAGATACCATAATAAAGATGAGGCTACACTACAATTTCTTTGGCATTATACAAGTTCAAGAGCACTTTTTACATTCTTGTAAATTGTTTCAAATATTCTTACCTGATTCTTTCTCCCAGGCACTTCTCAAAATCCCAGCCTGTTTTTTCACAGTTATCTTCCCATTCACGCAGCAACTCGTAGAAAATATCTCTGTGGAACAAGGCAGACAGGTTAGCTTCAGACATCAATCCATAATAATCAAATGCACCACCAATTATATGAATGGTACATGGTTTATTTATTTGATTTATATCCCGCCTTTTTTCTTACAAGATCTCAAGGCAGTTTACATCATTCTCCTTCTCTGCTCTCAATCTTATCCCCACAAAAACAATCCTGTGAGGTAGGTTGGGCTGAGAGCCTATGACTGGCCCAGAGTCACCCAGCTGGCTCTATGGTCAAGCAAGGACTAGAACCCAGATTGCCCAAGTGCTCTTAATCACTCCTCCACACCTGCTCTCAAGGGGGTGGTGGACAACTTGCGCTGCCTCTCCAGCTCTTTTGGTCTACATCTCACAGCATGTCTTACCACTGGCTATGCCAGCTGAGGTTGGTGAGATTGTGAGCTTCCAGAACTTTTGGTTTACAGGCTGACTACCCCTCCGCTTACAAGTTTCACAACTGTAACAGACTTTACAATTCTGCAATAGTTTTAATTCTTCTGCTTTCACAGTTTTGCGAATTCAAGAATAAAGACCAAGGAAAACACCAAATGAATTTACAGTGCAGTACTTAGCATGACTACTCAGAAGTAAATCCCACCAAACTCAATGGGACTTTGCCCCTGGTAAATGGCAGAGAATCCCAAGACACTTATCTGGATGTAAGTGCCAATGAGATACATTCAAACTTTTAAGTGACCCCCCCTTACTTCAAATAGGAGATGGAAAGAAAAAAGCACATCAGTTGCAGCAGGAATATGGGGTGGCCCAGATCCTCCCACTGGAGTCTCACTGTTTCTTATCCCTGCTATTATGTTCAACTCAAAAACAGAAGTGGGCATGAGAGAGAAGAGAGATTGGAACTTGCCTGTGTATGGAGAACAGCACTTACTCTTTCCCCATGTTAGCATGTCCCACCTCCCCATGTTCCCTATTTCCAGCAGCTGGGGTTGTGTTACTGGCATGCTCCAGAAGGTGAATTCTTGCCATTCACTTAGATCAGATAGCAACAGGAATGGCCTCCAAGAAGCTTCCTCTAGCGGCCTTTCCCACCCTTGGATGAATTCCAAGAGGTAGCATGAACCTGCAGGCCATAGCTTCTGCACCCCAACTCAAAGCAAGGGAGGAGAATGTGTGGCATTCCAGATGTTATTGGGCTGCGATCCCTTAGCCAGCATGGCCAATGCGGCGGAAACAGATGGTAGCAGAACAACAGCTGAAGGGTGACATTTTCTCAATCTTTGACCTAAAGAATCATCTCCTCCTTTATATACCTTATACTACCTTTGGAGACTACTGTAAGGAATGGACTAGACAGTTATTCTTGGCATGTTTTCCAAGGTCAGGGTTGCACCAACTCTTCCGATGAGGACTGTGAAGACTGGGAGATGGGAGGGGATGGGAACTAAGGATGATGGTGAGGCTGTCTCAAGGCCACTGACCCCAGATTCTCAGACAGGCCATGGGAACAGGCAGGGCTTGGAAGGGAAGGGATGGGATGGGACGAAGGGAAGGAGGAAGATGGGCCCATGTCCTCCCTGGTCCCTGACCCCATGATGCATTGTTGGGTTAGAAGAGCTACCACTTAGAGGCTTGTGTTGATCTTGGAGGCTAGCCCTTCTCCAGAGGGCACACCCAGAGGGGTAGAGTCCAAGGTTACTGAAAAGGACAGTTTTCAGAAGTAGTTTCTAGTTTCAGTTCAACTAATCAAACTGTTCATGTACAGAGACTAGTCTTTCAGTTATAACTGAACAGGATTCCCTCTTATGACCGAAATGGGGAACTCTGGTTTACAGCTGCTTAACAAGGATGGCTTTTTAGTTAACTGACATTGATGTGGATATTACAGCAGAGAGGTAATGAAGGATGGGAAAAGAGGTAAGGGAAGAGTGCATGGCCCTAACTTGTTTACCAACTTCATAAGCCACAGGCCATGAAGTTTGGAAAACATGCCTGAACCAGGACTATGAGTCTGAACGACAAATGATAGCTGCACTTTCATTTTCTGTTTCATGTTTAAAGCAAACTAAAGCAAATGCTGATTCATACATCATAACACCCCACAATGAAAACAAAGACTACTCACCTTTGCTTCTTGAAAACATGAAATGCCTTATCACTAGAAAAGTTAGACCGATTGTCTGTTTCTGGCTGAAAGGACACTGATTGCACACATGATGGCAGCAAGAGGGAAACCTATTTAATTTATGAAATAAGATACACATAATATAATTCTGCTGATTTAACATATAGTCCATTAAAAGCCTACATACACATAAACAAACCCAAGGGCTGAAATTACAACTTTTTTGGACAATTATTTTTTGCTACAGTTTAGCATCCAATTAGCTTTAATGATGTAACATGGTCTGACTGACTCGTTTTCACTAGACCAAGCTTCCTACCTAACAAAATAGTAACATACCTCATTATTTCATACAGTCTTCTAAAACAAAGAGATACAATAATATTACTCCTCAAAAAAGTTGTCATTTCTGACTGCAGATGAACTTTCTTATACATACGTCAAAGAAATGTCTAAAAAAGCTAATCTCTACTTTTTCTTGTTGTTAGTCACGAAGTTGTGTCCGACCCATCGCGACCCCATGGACAACACTCCTCCAGGCTCTCCTGTCCTCCACCATCCCCCAGAGTCCACTCAAGCTCACACCAACTGCTTCAGTGACTCCATCTAGCCACCTCATCCTCTGCCGTCCCCTTCTTCTTTTGCCATCTATTGTTCCCAGCATTAGGCTCTTCTCCAGGGAGTCCTTCCTTCTCCTTAGGTGGCCAAAGTATTTGAGTTTCATCTTCAGGATCTGGTCTTCTAAAGAACAGTCAGGGTTGATCTCCTCTAGGACTGACCGGTTTGGTCGCCTTGCGGTCCAAGGAACTCGCAGGAGTCTCCTCCAGCACCACAATTCAAAGGCCTCAATCCTTTGGCGCTCAGCCTTCCTTATGGTCCAGCTTTCACAGCCATACATTGCAACTAGGAAGGCCATAGCCTTGACTATACGCACTTTTGTTGGCAGGGTGATGTCTCTGCTTTTTAGTATGCCGTCTAGCTTTGCCACAGCTTTCCTCCCCAGGAGCAAGCGTCTCTTAATTTCTTGGCTGCAGTCCCTGTCTGAGGTTATCTTGGAGCCCAGGAAAATAAAATTTGTCACTACCTCCATTTCTTCCCCATCTATTTGCCAGGAAGTGAGAGGACTGGATGCCACCTCCTTCACCTGCATTAAGAGGCTCTTTAGTTCCTCTTCATTTTCTGCCGTTAGAGTGGTATCATCTGCATATCTGAGGCTGTTGATATTTCTCCCAGCAATCTTAATTCCAACTAGTGATTCAACTAGCCCCGCCTTTCTCATGATGTGCTCTGCATATAAGTTAAATAGGCAGGGTGACAGTATACAGCCTTGCCAAACTTTCTCAATTTTGAACCAATCAGTGGTTCCGTGTCCAGTTCTCACTGTTGCTTCTTGACCCACATATAGGTTTGTCAAGAGACAAATAAGATGGTCTGGTACTCCCATCTCTTTAAGAACTTGCCACAGTTTGTTGTGATCCACACAATCAAAGCTTTAGCATAGTCAATAAAGCAGAAGTAGATGTTTTTTCTGGAACTCCCTAGCTTTCTCCATGACCCAGTGTATGTTGGCAATTTGATCTCTAGTTCCTCTCCCTCTTCAAAATCCTGCCTGTACTTCTGGTAGTTCTCGGTCCACATACTGCTGGAGCCTAGCTTGTAGAATTTTGAGCATAACTTTGCTAGCATGTGAATTGAGTGCAATGGTGCGGTAGTTTGAACATTCTTTGGCATTGCCCTTCTTTGAGATCAGAATGCAAACTGACCTTTTCCAATCCTGTGGCCACTGTTGAGTTTTCCCAATTTGCTGGCATATTGAGTGTAGCACTTTTACTGCATTGTTTTTTAGGATTTTGAATAGCTCAACTGGAATACTGTCGCCTCCACTAGCTTTGTTGTTGCTCAGACTTCCTAAGGCCCATTTGACTTCACATTCCAGGATGTCTGGCTCGAGGTCAGTGACCATCCCATCGTGGTTATCAGGGACGTTAAGCTCTTTCTTGTATAGTTCTTCTGTGTAATCTTGCCACCTCTTCTTAATCTCTTCTGCCTCTGTAAGGTCCCTGCCATTTTGGTCCTTTATCATGCCCATCTTTGCATGAAACATTCCCTTCATATCTCCAATTTTCTTGAAGAGATCTCTGGTCCTCCCTATTCTATTGTTTTCTTCTATTTCTTTGCACTGTTCATTTAAGAAGGCATTCTTATCTCTTCTAGCTGTTCTCTGGAAGTCTGCATTCAATTGGATGTATCTTTCTCTTTCTCCCTTGCCTTTCACTTCCCTTCTTTCCTCAGCTATTTGTAAAGCTTCCTCAGACAGCCATTTTGCTTTCTTGCATTTCTTTTTCTTTGGGATGGTTTTAGTTGCTGCCTCTTGTACAATGTTGCGAACCTCTGTCCATAGTTCTTCAGGCACTCTGTCTATCAGAACTAATTCCTTAAATCTATTTGTCACCTCTACTGTATATTCATCAGGGATATGATTTAGGTCAACCCTGAGTGGCCTAGTGCTTTTCCCTACTTTCAACTTAAGCCTAAATTTTGCAACGAGAAGCTCATGATCTGAGCCACAGTCAGCTCCTGGTCTAGTTTTTACTGACTGTATACAGCTTCTCCATCTTTGGCTACAGAGCACATAGTCAATCTGATTTCTGTGTTGACCGTCTGGTGATGTCCATGTGTAGAGTCGTCTCTTGGGTTGTTGGAAAAGAGTGTTTGCTATGACCATCGTATTCTCCTGACAAAATTCTACCAACCTGTGCCGTCCTTCATTTTGTACTCCAAGGCCAAACTTGCCTGTTATACCAGTTATCTTTTGGCTTCCTACTTTAGCATTCCAATCCCCCATGATGATAAGGACATCATTTTTTGGTGTTAATCCTAGAAGGTGTTGTAGGCCTTCATAGAACTGGTCAACTTCAGCCTCTTCAGCACTAGTGGTTGAGGGTAGACTTGGACTATTGTGATGTTGGTTTGCCTTGGATTTGAACTGAGATCATTCTGTCGTTTTGGAGATTGTATCCCAGTACTGCTTTTCCTACTCTTTTATTGACTATGAAGGCTACTCCATTTCTTCTGAGGGATTCTTGCCCGCAGTAGTATACCTGATTGTCATCTGAATTAAATTCCCCCATTCCTGTCCATTTCAGTTCACTGATTCCTAAGATGTTGATGTTCAGTCTTGTCACCTCTTGTTTGACCACATCCAGCTTGCCCTGATTCATGGATCTTACATTCCAGGTTCCTATGGAGTATAGATCTTTGCAGCATCGGACTCTTCCTTTCACCACCAGATACATCTGCAACTGAGTGTCCTCTCGGCTTTGACCCAGTCACTTCATTCTTTCTGGCGCTACTAGTACTAGCCCTCTGCTCTTCCTCAGTAGCATATCGGACACCTTCCGACCTGAGGGGCTCATCTTCCAGTGTCATATCTTTTTGCCTTTTGGTACTGACAATGGGATTTTCATAGCAAAGATACTGGAGTGGGTTGCCATTTCCTTCTCCAGTGGATCACATTTTGTCAGAGCTCTCTGCTATGACCTGTCCATCTTGGGTGGCCCTGCACGGCATAGCTCATAGCTTCATTGAGCTATGCAAGTCCCTTCGCCACGACAAGGCAGTGATCCATGAAGGAGAATCTCCACTTTTAGAAGAAGTTAAATACTGTAGCCCAGGGGAGAGACAGTGGATTTCTCGATAGTTTCAACACCCAAAGCACCTGCTAGCATGGCAACCCTAAGGAATGGAAGTCTAAAACATGAAAAATCTACCTTCTGTCCTCCCCTGCTGTAGACAATATAGAGCCTAAGTTTTTAAGAATAAATTATATCAATTCTTAAGAAACACCAAACAAGTCATGATTTTACCCCATCTTTCCAGCACCCTCCTTAGTTTTTACCTTTGCCGTGCTGTTTTCACAGGCTTTCATAAGCCGCTCGTGCAAGTCAGGGGAAAAGGAAGCAATTCTGTCATTCTCAGCCAAAAGTTTCAGTGTCCCTTTCTCTAAATGAGATACAATTCTGCCAAGACAACACCAAAAAAGAGTACAATGCTGAATTAAAGGGAAAAAAATCAATTCCAAATGCATTTGGGCATTTTATTGTCACTGTAACTGGTCCTCTTAAGGAACCACCTCAATATCTACCCAATCACTTTGCACTTTGTAAGTTGCATTAACTGTGCTACACACTTTTCACTTTGTGCCTACTAAAGACAAGACATTTAGTCCAGCTGCTCCAATCATATGGAACTTTCTAGCAAGTAATTTAACAAGCACTATTTTTTCTGGGTTTCCATAGCTGGCACAGCCTTTTCATGCAAGTTTGAGTATTTCCTTCTCTGCATTTTATCAGATTTGGAGGTGGGGGATTACTCAGATTAGAAAGTTGCATACTTTCTGTGAAGCAGGAGATATCCATCAATACTTAACAAAATGCCTCTCCCAAACATAATCTACCTGTACACCATGACCAACATCTGGGTCTTTCCTCAAAGTGCTACCATCAAGAGAGGTGAAGAGGGTAGCACAAGGGGAGGGCCCTCTCAGTGGTGGCCCCTCAACTGTGGAATGTTTTCCTCCCTGAGACCCACCTGGTGCCAACTTTCTTTCTCAATGGAGGGCAAGCTATTCAACCTATGAACATGTGTGGGCAACCCTGAGGGCTCCGGTACAAATTTTAGCAAAAAACAATAATTTTTGCTGCCAAACAGTGACCTAGAACAGATAAATTTTGTGTTACGATAAGGTGTATGCCTTATTTTATACCTAAATGTATAGATACATTGCAGGCCACCGTTGTGGTTTACTTCACTGCTGTTCTCTCTGCCACAGCAAATGCAGCAATGCATATACTTAAAAGGGGGTAGAAATGTGAGGATGGGGATGGTGTATCTCGGCTGGGTGCTGCCACTTCCTGACATGTAGGGTTGCACCCAATTTTAGCTGTTCTTAAATCTGTTCAAACATATGGGACTCAAGTTAGACTAACATTAGCTATAAGTCGTAAACTGACTGCAATAGACAATCAAAGGTGTAAATACACGTACATTTATGAGCATATCCCAAATCCATTTCACTTACTCAAACTGATAATCCAAGACCTGCACGGCAAAATAAACACAGTTGTGTACGCTGCAAAAGTGCTGCCGCTTTACTGCATCTGTAAACGAAATGCAATAGTTTTTTAAATACACTAGATTTAAAGTTGTTGGTAATATCTGAAGAGAAAGTGCAGATTCTTTGTAAAAACATCCCACATAATGCAGGCAGGCTAGCCACTGGTCAGTACATCCAGCAGCACTCATTTATGTCATATAAGGAAGGTTATACCAATTAAAGTTTTTTGTAATTGCAATATCATAAGGGCAGATGCTTAAAAAGACTTGATGTAAGCAAACAAAGAGCTGGTGCCAAATGACAATGCCCCTTATTTAAAGCTCAAGCCTGACTTGGGCTTTTAAAATCAAGTTTACCTGATGAGGCTTGTCACCCATGTGAATGGGCATATTCAGAAGCAGGATCAGGTACTGCTAAAACGTTCCATTTGTTTTCTTAGGGTTACCAGAGAAATCAGCACCACATTGCCACTAAGCTTTGAATGGCCCAATTCAAATGATCAAATTCTACCAACATGCACAGTCTCCTTTCCTCCTGCATTGGTCCTCCTTTCATGCTAGCACAGGAAATGCCCCACAAAGTCACAACCAACCATGACTTCCTGTTACATCCAAACTGGCAAACCATGGTTAAGGGCTTTCAAGGGCTTTCTGTTTGGTTTCAAACAAACAGAAAACCAAAGTTAAAAGCTGGCTTCCAAATCCTGGCTGGCTCTTAAGCTCTTAAACATAGTTTGCCATTTCAGCCATAAGGGGTGGCTAACTGCAGCTTCCTGGCTTGTTTCTTTACTTGTTTCAGGACATGAGCACAGCTGCACAAGTTTCTTACATACCCTAACTTACTAAACCAAGATTTTTGGGTCCAAATGCAGCCAATGTGCTATTGTTCACTGTCTTATTGTATCTGAAAATCAATTAGGGTGGTTAGTGAATTGGACTGAGGACACAGGGGATCCAAGTTCGAGTTCCCACTCAGCCATGAAGATAACAGGGTGGCTTTGGCCCAGACACTCACTCTCAGCTTAACCTATCCCACTGGGCCATGGCTGTGAGGATAAAATGGAGCTATGTAAGCCACCTGTTTCACAGGGTGAGGAAAAAAGTATGGCATAAATGCAATGTAATAACAATAATAATGATGGCAATAATAATAATGCAGACAACTTATCATAATCAAAATGCAATCCTTTAAAAGTTCTCTAACTTCTTTTTAGTACACATCAAATCCATGTCATGTTAAATAGCCAAAGATCTTTATCCAATAAAACTTCTGACCTCCATACTCTTCACTGAGATCAAGGTCACTGTCCTGATCTTCTGCAAAGGAAGTTCCTCTAGCTGTTAACAACTGCAACACAAAGAAAAACTCCAAAAAAATATTTGGCACCAGGTTTTCTGCAAAGAAAGTAAAGGTACAGAGCTAATCATTCAAAACAAGCTTTGATTTCCTGATTTAGCTATTTTATTTATTTATTTTCTTTTAAAAATATTTTTCTTCTTTTAAAAAAATATATTTATTTTCCATACCAACCAATAGCTGAATCTCTCCAAGCAGTGAACATCATCCTGAGTTTAACAGAGGTATACCATATAGTAAAACATATAAATTGCATTCAAAACATAAATCTATCTACAATTGAAATTAACCACAAAAAATGTTTTGTCTAATCTGGACATCAGTATGGAATTTGCTTAATACAAGGACATTTTAAAAAAGTAATACATTGTTCATTTTTTCCTTTTTATGCCTCCAACCCATTAAAGTTGTCATGTTTGATAATCCAGTTTTGAAGTGAGAATAATCAAAGTTATCAAGGAGTGGCGCTTCCAAGACAGCTTCTTGCCCTTTCTCTAATACAAATAGAATCATACAAAAATAAGTGCATATAAACATAGCTGTCTAACTTGCATAGATGATTCAGAATTTTAAGCAGCTTTCCCATTCTGCGTTCCAGATATTCTGGACTTCAATTATGATAATGCTTGAACAGAACCATGTCCTACAACTGCTAGCATTCACCAGCCAGCATGCTGCAAGTTGTAGGACTTTTTCTGTCTAAAAGTGTGTATGATTGTACCACTGGACTTTTGAATTAGCAGAGTCGTTATGCAATTGGCAGCCAGAATCTAATTTATCTAAAATATCACCATTACTTAAATTTCAGTTGAAGAACATATTTGTATACCCATTCTTGACATCCTCCCAAATCAATACAAATGCAACATTTTCCATCTCTTTACCTGCTATACAAAATGAATAAATCTGAGCCAGTTGTTCTAGCTGCTTCCTGTAGGAAGTCTTGGCTATGTCTGCAGAGGTTACCAACTGGTTTCCATTCCAACCAACATTAGATCTGATGGACATGCTAGAATCCAAAGATAATCCTGTTGGGGAAGATGGGCAATGCAACATCTTGGACCTATAATTCAAAAACAAGAACAGAATGAAGAACTAAAAGAGATCCCAACACCGCCATATTGTTCAATGATACTCTTTTCAACACTTATCACGTAACTGAAATGCAATGGAGAAATTTATTACCAATTCAAGCAGGTCCCTGTAATGCCATATTCACTGTATTGTTATGTTACAAATATATCAGGTCTCTTCAGTATTAAAAACAGAATTCTAAACTTAACACATTTACATGTAAGATTTAAAAAGACACCAAAAAACACCACAATGGCTTTTGAACTTGTGAATCCTAACAATGTGAATTAGACTGAAGAAAGCACCTTTTTGAAAATTCAAATTGCACCTCACAGAAACAATACCATTCTACTATTGAGACAGAGGTGGAAAACCTAAAGTCCAGGGAGCAAATGCAGACTTCCAGGTTTCCCTGTGGCCAAGCTCTCTTCCCTCAACCCCACCCACTTAACATTTGGTTTCCCAGCTTTTAGACATTTTGCCCTCTCTCCAAAAGGTTTACTTACTGGCAATAAGAGCTTTAAGCAACAATACGCTGACATTTTTTGCAAATTTGACTCCAAACATTTTGTCTTTGACCTTGCCCACAGGTGGAATGTATCCTCCAAGAGCTTTTCTGAAACCAGCACTTGGGCTGAAAGCGGTTCCCCACTCTAGGACAATGTCTCAAGTAACAATCCTGGCCCATAGTACATCTGTCCCTGCCTTAAGCACCCCGTGTCTAATTTTACAATGTACCGTTCTTTCCTCAGCATCTCCCTTTCCTCCTGAAGGCTTCCTGGAAGGGAGGTCTGGTTCACTTCTGGAGAAGCAGCAAGGCCCTCAGGACTTCTTCCAGACTGAAACTGAAAACTCTGAGACTGGCCAACAGGTGTGGACGTGAAGCACATCTTGGGCTTGGATAACAATCGTTCAGTACTCACTGGAGTGGGGTTGATTCTTCTTGATGGCTTGATTTTGCTGAAATGCAAAGTAAAGTCAGATCAGGAATAAAACCAAAACATTAGGCTATTCCTTTTCCCAAAACATACCCTCTCCTTGTGGATGCCATTCGGAGACATTTACTGTGTTCACAGATGCACTAATAAGATGGCAGATTACCAAACATCTAGTTTTACCAAGAAATAGTTCTGCTTGTCAGCCAACGAGACCATTAAAGGAGAGCTAACCACAAGTTATTAAAATGAACACATATGAAGCTTGTTCACTTGGCACAAAGCTTAAGGGCAGCAGTCCCTAACTTTTTTGGTTTGGTGACCATATGTGATAGTCTGAAAAAGTGTTATGGATGTTTTCAATAGAAAAGCTGTCCTCAGGGCTTGCCAGTTCATAAAATGGCTACTATGATCACATGGGCCAGTCACAAAGCACTCACTTCTCAGAAACATAACTTGCCCAAGAGCTTAAACAGGTCTCAGCACCAGGGGCAGGGCAGGAAGAGGAACATGTCCTGCTAATCAACCAGTTACTGGGTTGGCACCACCAACCCCAGCAACCCTACAAGACAGATACAGCAGATTCTTGGGATGCTTAGGAGCACTACTTTCCTCCTTTTTTATCCTTAAGGCCAAGCTGCAGCAGTACTATTGCTATCTCATCAAGAAAGCCTCACTCCAACACTTACGTTATCATTCCAGCAGTACTCATGGGTGGAAACTCCTCAAAGTCATTCAGGTTAAGCTGGTCAGGTGGAGAACTGGTAGGCACAGGACTCAATTTCCTCTGTCTTGATGAGCCCAATGAGGAACTGTCATGCTTCCCTTCTTCATTCAAGCTTCTTCCTAGGTCTTGTGCCACCAGCCGGCCAGAACCAGTGGCAGAACTGTTTCCTTTTCTTCTGCCTCGCCTCACTGGGGCAGCAACAAGAAAACTCCCCAGATTTGTTTTCTGAGTAGAGCGTCTCTCACCACGAGCAAAAGTAGGGCTTGAACCAAGACTTGGGCTGGAGCTGGAATTGCTGCAAGACCCAAGTACACTTGACCCATTGAAGGCTGATGAGCCATGTGATCCTGAAGCAGAAATACTGGTATTAAGGGTGCACAAGCTGGTAGGAGTTGCATCGCAAAAAAGCAGCCCTCGACTGCTACTGGACCTTGCTTTGTTGTGAGAGCTCCTTTCAGATCCTGATCTTTGGTTCCTATAAGCAGCAGAATTCCCAAGGAGCTGGGAGTTTGGAGTTTTAGCAGGGGTAGATGGTCCATTAGTCAATATCCGACTGGTTTGATCCCTTAGGTAATTCAGCAAAAATGGCACAAAGTCATTCTGAAGCAAATTAAGGGCAGCTAGTTTGGGGTGTACTTGGTTTTCCTACACAAGACAGAACATAGCACAAGCACAGACTGAAGCATTTTTGACTAGAGGTATTAAGAAGCTGACATTATTTAATTTTTATAAGACCAAGGCTAAGCAAGAAGTCCAATTATGTAAAGTAAAATCAGCCTATTTGAAAATACAAAACATATGCATGAATCAAAACTAGTAATCAAAGACCTAAATATAGCTCTATTTTCTCTCACTTGATTTGTTACAACACATAAATTACCTCAAAAGATACAAGATTGCTTCGATGAAAACCTTTGACATACAGAAATATTTATAGCATAATGCAACAAACTAAATTGTCTTACTTAATGGGAGAATCATTATTTTAACACAAGCGGGTGGTGCTTCTCCAATCCTAACAAGTTTAATCTCTTTCTCATGAAGAAGAAACACTAAGCAAGAGGTATGTTGCCATCTAGTGTTCCTTGAAAACATTACTTCAGCACTGAAACTGACAAAGAAAATGACATGCTGATCCTGTTAAGACATAACTAGTAATGTCACTGAATTATGAAATTAATTGATTCAGAAGTCAAATCTAGCACATTCATAATTCTTGAATCATTAGCAATTTAACCATTAGCAAGCTCCCGTAGCACAAACTTCACAGTTTTTCCAATTATATACAGTTAACTTGTATTTTTTGCAACCACCCTACACTGGTTGGGGCAGCAGGGGTTTCATGTTCCTGGAAATGGCACTCTCTGATAATCTAACACTTTCCAGAAGCTGTTAAGTAAGAAAAAATTGACTGCCCCCATGAAGCTGTCTTCCTGGCATCTTGGAGACACTTTTGCTAGTAAACACCTTGGACTGACTCAAACTACCTTCTGTTACTGTTAGTTTCATCTCCACTTTGAAATTTCACAACAGAAAAGTTGTCTCTGCAGTTAAAATGTGTACCTTGCAGAGCAAATCATGAATTATATAAAGGGTGAGTTTCTCCATCAATTAGATACAATGCTAAGCTTGGGCTCAGGTGCTCACCCCCACTTGTTTACAAGAAATCTAGAAGTGTTTGCTTCCATTTTAGTTTAACTAAAGCTTGTAACCTCATCAAAACTTGCTCATACTATGACCAATCTTAAACTATTTGCTGAAACAAGCTAACTTTTCAAAGCATAACTTACAACACTGGCTTGTCTCAACTAACTATGGTAAATTCTCTAGCAGCTATTGGCTGACAAATGAAGAGCATCTTCAGTTTATTATGAGGCCTGCATTATTTAACAGAGCCAAAAATGGAACACTTGCTAGCTCCTAATATTCAGCCAAAAGCCAGATACTGCTGATGTTTTCACAAGTGACTCTAAGCATGTGTTTGTCACAAATGCACCAGCTATGAATGTTGGGTATAGATAGCAAAATAAAACGATTTTCAAATGACATTCATGCTACAAAAATTGTCAGTTCTAATGAACAAGAAATACAATAAATATATTAAAATACAACTTATGAGAACTGCCCAGCTTATTTTCTGTCCACTTGAAACTGGTGAAATGACTGGGATAATGACTTAATATTGATCCAATTGGTTATCATTTGTTACTACTCCAGCAAATATGACAAACATATCCCTTTTGCAGCAATAGGTAGTGTTATTTTCAAACATTAATCTTAAATATTCTCACCACAGAAATGGATTCCTATGACCCGTTTACAAACATGTTTAATATTTTTAATATGTATGCATGCATGCACCCAAACTTTCAGCTATTGCAGGAGACAATCCCCTATCATTTAATTTAATTATAATTTAATTCCTATTAAATCAGGAAGCATACAGCTTTTTTAAGCAGTCCACATGAAAACTTCCCTGCTCCAAAACTAAGAAAAAAAATGGAATCCCACTGCAGAATTGTCTGTTTTAGACAGAGTCATGGTAAGACTGGATTTTGGGCTTGTCCTGTCATTGAAAAGACTGAAGGAACTACCTAAAATATCATAGAAGGGCAACAAATTTATCTGTTATTACTTCATGTTTGTTGCCATGGATGGAAAAGGACACATGTGGTTTTCTGCCTGGGGAATCAAAATATTGGCTGATTTTATAATCCCTGATTTAGATATGATGAGTGAAGAAGAATGGACCCCAAGCAGCAAAATTATCTTGGTCCAGTCTGCAAACTAAAAATTTAACAAGCAAAGGAAGCCTAAACATGCCTTCCAGCACAAATCAACCATGAATAGTTGGTGTTCGGTACTTTCAGATTTCTCCATAAATTATAAACATTTGCACGTGTGCAAAAGAAGCAGTGCTAAACAGGTATACTCCCTACGCACGTATACTATAAATAACCACTTAAATTTGTACGGCTTATTTCTGAGAATCGGTCAGTGCGGGGACAGAACTCATTCCTGCCGTCTCCATCCCGCCAGTCGATACTGAATTAGGGCCGGCACAGGAGAACAAGACACTAAAGCTCACAGAAGCGCCTAGGAAAGTTATTCAGACTTGACTCCTGAACGTGGCCTGACTTCGAGCGCTCAAATCCCCAGAGCGCAGGCCCCAAAGCTGCAACCTTTCGCAAGTTTCCATTGCCCAGAGGGGATTCTTTTCTCTCTCTCTCTCTCCCGCCTCCCTTTCAGTACCAAAAGATTTGGAAGGTGACGCGCAAGTTCGTTTGCCTCGAAAACTTCCCGCCTAATTTGAAGACGCGGCGTGTAACTGTTTGGAAAAACTGAGCTCCCCACATGAGGGCTGCGCCTGTTTACCTCCACGGGGCGACAGGGACTCTGGCTTGTCTTCAGCCACCGTACCACAGCGCCGACCGCCACCACGTCCTGCAGCAAAAGCTCCAAAACAGCCGCCATCCCCCACCTCCTGACTTGAGCCGCCGCCGCTCCGGCTAAGCCTCCGGGCGGGCGCACGCAAGAAGAACGCCGCCCTCTTTGAGGTCCCAGAGCCGCTCAAGTAGCTCCGAAAAGAAAAGCACAAAAAACTGGAGGAGGAGGAGGCGGGTTCTAATTCCCTTCTAACTCCGGGTTAGAGCGCAGCACGTGGGAGAGAACCGGGCAGCCACATAAAACGCCGGAGGTGGGGGGCTGCCTCGTAGAGCGCTCGCGTACTGCGCGTCTCCCTCAATCCACCCATCAGAAGGCGGGCTTTAGGTTTGTCGGGGCTAACGAGGCGCGCGCCTTGCTCTGGCTCAAAGACACCACGGGGCGTGGCTAGAACGTTCAGGCTCCGGAAAAGAGGCGGAGTTAGAACTTGCGGACGAGTGGCGGGGTAGGGGCCGCTTCCCGGCTAGGATTCTCATTGGAGGCGCGAGGGCTTCAGTGGGAGGGGATTGGAGCAAGGTGAGGCGGGGCGGGCTCCGAGGAGGAGCCGCAGTGGAAGCATTTCCTCCCCCCGCCCCGCCTCCCATGTCAATAAGCGGGGCGCCTGCGCCGGGGGTTTGCGCGTCTTTTCCTCTCATGCGCGGTATTTGCTTCCCGAGCAGGGCCCAAGGTTTGGCCTAGAGCCGGCGGGTGCAGCGGCAACGGCGGCACAATAAGCGGGCTCAGGCTCCCGCTTTCTTGGTTCCCGCGCCTGCCCGTTGGGCGCTCAGGATGGCAGACGACTCGCCCAAGCGGCGCAAAGCCAATTTCAACGAGGCGGAGACCGAGGTACTGATCGAGCAGGTGCTGAAGCACGAGCAGGTGCTGTTCGCGGCGGGGCCTGGCCGGGCCTCCCCAGGCCAGAAGCGCAAAGTCTGGGAGCTGATCCGGCACAAAGTGAATCCGGTGGCCGCCTGTCCCCGCGAGGTGGAAGACCTCAAGAAGCGCTGGCGGGATCTTAAGCGGCGCGACCGGAGCAAGCTGTGCCGCATCACCCAAGGCCCCGGAGGGCCCGTGCCTCACCCCGCCTCACTCGGCCTCCTAATGGCCAGCGAGGAGATCTCGCCGCCCGATCATCTCCGATCCTACGCCTCTGGGCTGCCCGCTCCCAACGAGGCAGTGCCTATTGTCGGGGGAATAGACACGCTGGATTTGCCAGGAGCCTCTTCCGTAGCGGAGATCGGTGAGTTAGAAGCGACCGACAGTCATCTAGCTTGCCTCTTTTTCTTGCATGAGGCTCAGGGTGTGGGGCGCTCGTTTGTGCGGCCATCCGAGCACAGATCCCGATTGTTGTAGGTTTCTTTACAAACAACGGCTGTTCGAAGTGATTTGCACTCTTCGCCCTGCAACCTCTACAGCAGAACGAGAGATCGCTCCTTTTCTTTCTCTTGGCATATTATTCTGTTGCATGCTGTCCCTGCCTGTGCGCCTTTTTCTTGTGCTTGCTGGAACAGCGCTAGGTATCGAAAAGATCCTCAAAAGTGATAGATAGATAGATAGATAGATAGATAGATAGATAAGAAATGTGCATATGGTTATTTAAGCGATGCAGGAGCAAGGAGAAGGAGGAAATCGATTTAAAAAAAAAACTCAGGAGGAAAGATTGGGGATTCAGTAGGAGGTAAAGCACATACGAGTAAGCAAGCTAATCTAGTGGGATAAAATGCAACGAATAAAAAGGGTCCCTGTAACTTTATTTCAGCATATGTCCATGGACAGCAGGGTGGTGGGACAGATGGCTTCCCGAAGATTTGTGTCTCGAGATGCCCCCTAACATCACCTCTGAACTTCTTACTGATTTGGGGAAATCTCAGGTGGCCCTGTAGTAACACAGGTTTGCCTTGGGGATGGGTTTTGGTTGGAGCATTGTCCAGTGGACCTTTCTGTTGAAGGACCACTTTCAGCAGTGATGGTGTATACATCTTTTATACTGAAACAAGTGAGATGGTGTAAAAACTGGAACAAGCTGGAATGAACACTTAATTTAATGCCCAAAACACTGTAAAATAATGCCAAAAACAATGGCATGAGTAGGATTTGCTGGAGAATGATATTTTAGAATTGACAGTCTTGCAATATTATCATTAACTCCATACTGCCCAGAACCCATCTGGAGCAGAAAGGATTGACCTGGAACACAATGTTCCAAGGGAACCAATTTCAATAGTCACACATGACTAGATGGGAATGATGTAAAAAGCTGTGAAACACAGAGAAACCACACTTCAGTACCCTTTCCAGACAATAGTCTATATTCTGGAAAATCACTAGATCCCCAACTTCCAATGGAACCATATCAAATTCACAATGAATAAATGGGAATATATGACATAAATGCTATCACTCATTTTTAACTGCTGAATCCAAATATTTTAAAATTACAATAATCAGCTTTTAATTCTTAGCCCTAGCAGTTAACAGTTGCCATCATCATCATCAAATGAAATTTGTTTATTGTCAATCTAGCCAGTCACTTTTGTTTAATTTATCACTGAAAGCAATTGCAACATATCATCCAATCTTTCCCTGTGTATGTAAGGGCTTTTCTATACAAGACATTTATTGTGTTTTCATGTTCTTCAGCTGTTGTGACTGTCCAGTTTTGCTTCTGTGCCTAACCAAAAACAATTTCAGTGGGATTTTCAGAGCAATTAAAATACAGCATTTAATTGTGAAAGACCATGCAATTTCCTTTGCATATTTGTGCTAGTGTACTATAGTATGGTGCCACCTAGTGGCATGAAAGGGAATGCTCCTTGTGTAGTGCCAAAATCTTAATTCTGCAAAGCTAAAAGTAGATGTAGCTGATTAGCAGCTTAATGTAGAAACATTCTACGTGGGATAGTGGTAAGTTTAACTGTCTGGGAGGCTTTAAAGTTGAGTATTTTAATTCCATTGGACTCCAACCTATTCATGATTGATTTGGTTGATTTGACTCACTCAGAATGTGATATTTTGGACCACTTGGGTAAGAATATGAGTTGTTACCCAAAATGGTAATATCTAGAATAGTTTATTACATCATTCTCATCTAGCCATGTGTGACTGATGAATTTGGTTGGTTTAGCTTACTTGGAACTTGGGTTCCTGGCCTTTCCATGCTGTTCTAGATGGATTCTAGGCATTAGGAAATTAATACATTGCAAGGGTTTCAATCCTAAACTATTAGCCAGTGTTTAAATCAAGATTCCAGCCTGTTCTGTTCAATTTTTTACACAGTTCCATAATAAGTTACTTGTGTAAATAACAACAATGAACCTTACACCAAGTCATAGCATAGGTCCTTTTAGCATAAACAGTGACCCGGTTCAGACTACACAATAATTTACCATGGATTAATTAACCCTTGGGATGTTGCAGCATGTGCTGTTCACCAGCTGAGAGTTGCTGTGGCTTATTGTGTCATCCAAACCTGGGTGGTAGGGGTCATTTAAGGAATAAACACAACCCTTAAATAACCCACACATACCCCACAGGCTGTTTAACACCTTCCTCCACCCAGTTTCCATGATAAGACAAACCATGGAGAACCCTGGCTAGGGTTTGCGTTGTAAACTTGGCATCAGGTTGAAAGTTCCTTCTACTTCCTGGCATTGAATGCATACGATTGGGATATTTCCGGGGGGGGGGGGGTTCACAAGATTAGTTTTCATTAAAAATCTTTTCGATGTTCAAATGTTTTAAATGTTTATATTGGAGTTTTATACTTTATTATATCCATTTTTATTATTGTATTTATGATAAATTGTGACTTGCTAGAAAGCTTCAGCTGTTGAATGATATATTAATGAAATTTATTATCATGGCAGTTGGCATGCACTTGCAGCTCCTCTTGGGTAAATTAACCCATGATAGGCTGTTGTGTTGTGTGAACTGACCCAGTGACTAGCTGCAACTGTCTTCCAAGTTACAGGCAAGACTCCTTCCCAGCTCTTCCAGGAGATACTAGGGATAGAATCCATGTGCTCTAAACTGCAGCCCTTCCTATAATTCCATGGTCATGGAATGTGGCAAAGGAGAAAGTGAGTCAGTTGTAATTCAGACTCCATTGTAAATAAATTTTATGTTATAGTTTCAAAGAGCATGACATTCAGACACTGCTTTGTACATTAGTTATGAAAACAGTCAAATGCTCAGAATTAGGCACATGGTCTACAGTAAGAATTTTAGAAACAGTCTTAAAATGTTTGCCTGTTTATTGGCTGTCTAAGCAACTTATAATATTTTTCTCTTTCTCTCCTTTCTCTTTCTGCAAATATTAATTGCTAGGTAATGGATAATTGATTTAGAACCTCTAAGGGCGTGTCTGTACAGATGCTCCCAAATGCTTGATGTGACACTTTAGTTCAAAATTTGAAAGACTGCTAGAAATTCCCAAGTGATTCATCATTGTTTTAATTATTAAAAAGTTTATTTTAATTTTGTAACATTAATTTCATTGTAAGAGCCCATTTTAGATACGAATCTAATCTAACTAATGTAATAAATCATAACACTAGGTATCTTTTTTCCTGTCTTCTTGTCAGACTTCGATGACCCTACAATACTCGATCAATGGGACGCTATGTGAGGGGTATTGACTAGGTGCTGTGTGTCTTTCTTCTATCATTTTTTTTCATGTTTGTATTCTACCCTTTTCCCAAACAGCTTACAATGGCACACATCAGGCTATCAAAACCAAACCAGTATTTCCACAAATATATATCCCTGTGCCACAGTAGCATGGATGCTGTGCTAAAAAAGTTCTCCTTTCCATTTAATATGGAATGTGCTCTCCAGACTTTATTTTCCTTTCGGCGCCAGGTGAAAACCTTTTCATTTATTCACTATTTTAAGGATTAAGGAATTTTAATTGGTTTTCATATTTACAGTTGCATTTAGTTTTTGTAGGGTATTATATATGTTATTTTTAATTATTATTTATTGCTTTGTCTAGTTATTGTTCTAATTCTTGTAAGCCATCTTGGGATGATTTTCATATAGGACGGGGTAGAAATATTTTAAATAAATGAATAAATAAAATCTTGCTAGATCGTTATAGCTGCAGTTCAGCAAGACTGCCTGTAACCCTTTTCAACTTGAAACCCTGTCCATGGCAGGAGGACCATAGAGGCAAAGGTTGTCTTTGTGCTTCTTTACCACGTAAAATAATAAGACAGTTGGTTTTAGTCATCTATATGTTCAATCTCTGAGCGTGGGTAGAGGAGTCTGAGGTGTTGCCAGGATATTGCATATGCTGGCAGAGGCTATCCTCTTTAAAAGCCCATCTCCAACAAGATCTAATCAGTTCTTTATGGGAACTTGGTCCTGCACTTGCATATATTCCTGTCAAAAATTCATGGGTAGCTCTTATATTTAAAAAGGAACCTGAGCTGTCAAACCTCTGTATTCCTGTAAAAGGTTCACCCTTTGCCATTTTCCCAAGCACCTAGTCTTAGGAAAGGGTAAGGAATCAGGTCCTCAAAAATTCCCTAGAGGATCTTGTGAAGGGGGTGATCTATTGGCAATCCCTTTTGTGAGCAAGGTTCACTCTTGCTTGGCTTTTGACAGCTGTCAGTAGAATGCAAAGTTAATAATAAAGCTTTTTGCAGTCTCTCTGGATCCATGGTGAGGGCCCGTTGCACTTTGACAGCAGAGACCTTCCAGGACATTGTCTAGCCAATGTTGCCTGTTTTGATCCTGCACAAGTACTCAACTGCACACTTAGGCAAATGCATCTGAAACATATTTGAAAGTTTTATAAAATTGGCACAAGTGTCTTAAATTTTTTTAAAGGGATGATATACCAGCAACAGCCCTTGCTTGGGCACTTTGGACCAGCTGTCACTGGTTGTCTAGTCAGACATCACTGTTCATGCTCTCTGTAAGAAAAAGGGAAAAGCAAGCATAATGAAGTTAGTGTTGAATTGGTGTTTGGGTTATCTGGATCTACTCTGCACTTGGCCACAAAGCTGACTCGGTAACACTCAGCCTAACCTACTTTACAGGGTAGTGAGGATAAATTTTAGAGGAAGTGAAGAAAGATTATATAAGCCACCTTGAGTTCCTTAAAAGGGAAACAGTGCGAAATAAATATAATAAAAGAAGTGCTATAGGTAGGTCAAAAGGGCCTGCAGTTGCAACAGGGAGCACTGAGCCACTGACATTCACCTTAGAGTAATGCTTGGGCACTTATGGAGCAGCGGTTATTGGTGGTGGCCTGGGTAAGCTTTGCAAGAGTGGTGCTGGGGGTTGCCATTCTTGGCAAGAAGTTTGATTCCCATCTCAGCATTTATTATGGAGTCATATGCCTAAGTTCAGACAACAAAACACCCCATCATGGTTACAACAACCCATACAACAATCCATGGATTGTCAGAATGGCTTGTGGTCTGTAAACAAACCACACAATGAGAAACCATTTGGGTTCACACGGCATGACAATCCATTGTAGCTTGTCGCACACAGTGGGTTGCAGTGTCATGCAAACCAGACCAATAAATACAGCAAGTTCTTAAGGCAGCTTTAGTAAAGCTTTAAGGTATTCTCCTAATTTCTGATCCTGTGTTATGTACCAATTGTCACATTTCCTGGATAAAGATGGAGAAAATAAGTTTGAAATAACATTCTACATTCTCCAGGCAACATTTACATGTCTGTGGTATTTCTGAGCTAGTAGCCAGAAGTTGAACCTAGATAGGTAGTAGAATCTAACTTCTTCTTCTTCCTCCATTTCCTTAGGTTTTACAGATGACCCAGGCCCATCCCACCAAACATGTGTGGAGAAAATAAATCTAAAAGAAGAGATAGTTGTGAAAGTAGTGGAACCGGAAGAAAGCTCAGAGGACATGGCTGTAGTTCCTCCTAGCCAGGAACAGCTACCTTTTTTGGGAATACAGAATGGAGGGCCCTGTGGAAAAGTAAAAGCCAAAACAAAAACTCAGCCCCAAACAGACCCCAGTGAAATTACGGAAGAGGATCTGTTGCAGATCCAGCAGAACCAGCTTCACGTTATCCAGTCTGGCTTTGATAGTATCAACCATAATCTTCGGCTTCTCCAGCAAGGCATGCAAGATCTCAACAACAGCCTCAGTATCATGGCACATACGTTAGTGGCTATCAAAAATGTTTATGTGAAAAACAACGCTGGCCCAACCACCTTTGCTACTGTCACTACTCAGACCACCGCAGGGTACCTGAGCCCTGGGTCCCCATTGGTTGAGGACAGAGTCAGAGTACCGGTGGCTGGAAGTAGTAGCAGAAGCAGCAGCTGCAGCTCCAGCTCTATGTCACAAGAGGCAGGCCCTTCGGAATTTCCCAGGCCCCCACACAGACCCATTAAGAAGGAACATCCAAATGGCTGTTATTATTTCTGTTTTGCAGATGTGTAAGACTTGAATACATGTCAGACAACTGTTGCATTTGAGAGGAGCTGTCCTGCACCCTGCTCTAATAATTGCATTATAATGGAGCAGATTCATCTGGCTGTCCTCCTGTGATGCTAAATATGTAAGATCACCACCACCCCCAGCTGCAGAAACGTTGCCTTGTAGGAGGCATAACACTACGAACCATTCTGGAACCAATTTTGGTGAAGGGAGGTAAAGAAATGTGTTAAATACAACTTTTAGAGCCCAGCCTCTTTTACTCAGAAGTCCTAATGCATCCAGCGGGATTCATTCCTAAGCTGTATATGTATAGGATTACAACATTAGTGGTTATCCAGTAGCTACTGGAGCTGGTTAATACCTCTTGCATTGTGTTCCCCCCCTTTTTTCCTTATGGAGGGGGAACAGAAAGAAAACTTGCTCCAGACCCTTCTGGTATCAATTTGACCTTTTAAAATAAAACAGTATGAAAAGATAGCAGCAACTTTAATTAGTATCTGATGCAGAAGCTATCAGACAAGCTGTTTTTATTTTTGTAGCAATCCAAAGTGCAGATTAGTGAGAAATTGGGTACTTGATTGTACTTAATTTAAAAAAGAAAAGCTGCCTACTTCTACTGTAAGAACATATGGAGTTTATCAGCTCTAAAACTAGGAATGAATTGGGGTATTGAGCCATGAGCAAAGTGCATCTAAGTTTTTCTTGATAGTTCCTCTTCATTATTGCTCATGTCCAGCTCTTCTAAATGTATCTTTCCTATGAAAAGAACACCACCACTGCTAAAAACATACAGTAGTAGGGAGGCTGCCTTTTGTTGCATAATTAAAGAGAATTTGCCCAAAAGAATGGTGTTTGTTGTACGTTCTTGAAAGTCATTTGAATGAATTACCTCCATGCAAGAGTATGCTTACCTATTAAAAACACATTCTAAAGCAGTGTTTCCCAACATGATGCCTTCCAAATGTTTGGGACTTCAGCTCCAGCCAACCTAGTAATGGTTGGGAATCCTGGGAATTATAATACAGCCAAAACATCTGGAGAGCACCAGGTTGAAGAAGCAGCAGCTTGCTCTAGAGATATGGGTTGAATGTAATGGACAGCTTGTGACCTTCCAAATACTTTGGCTTACAACTCTCATCAGCCCTAGCCACTGTAGCCCATAACAAGGGATTGTTGATGTTGTAGGTTAAAAATCGGCACGTAAGTCACCTTGTGTTGAATTTCGTTTTTAGTGCTGCCTTCACTTACAATTACCCATGCTGACTGGGGCTAAAATAAATTGTATGTGAAAGTATCTAGTGGTATTTACATCAGAGAAGGGTGTTTAGTGGTTCATGCATGAGACACAGGGACACTCCCCTCTGGTTACAGTCATAAGATGAAAAATACCCTCTTTCTGTTTTAAACTATGGCTGCTCTTTATTCATGAGCAGGGAGCTCCAGTTAACCTGAAATGGCCTTCCTCATCTTGGTGCCTTCCAGATGTTTTAGATTTCAAGTTCTATCAGCTGCAATTAGCATAGCCAAATGGTCAGGAATGTTGAGTGTTGTCATCCAAACATTGGGAGAATACCATGTTGAGGAAAATTGGGTTAAAGTTGTGTTGAAACAAGCAAGTACTATAGACCATGACTTTATCCTGGTAAAATGAGACATTTTAACTGGTGTTCTCATTTCATATACTTCCCATTCCCTTTTCATGAATGCACAGGAGGAGGAAAGGTATGGTATAGGTAGTAGTCTTACTAAACTGTCATATACTGTGGAGGAACTCAAATGTGTGAATTGCAAAGGGCCATGACAACAATTAAGTTACGTTATTACAACACTAATTATACCTTATTTTTCAAGCTTCTGCAACATACATGTCATTCTACTGTATTCTGGACCTTTGGGGAAACAATTTGGCGTGTTCATGGCTGGAAGAAAATGGAATGTTTTCTGTTACTAATAGTGCCATATAACGATTCTTGATTGTACAAGATCTTTCTTCTTTGGCATTATGAATATATGGAGTCTGCCTTGAAGGTGTGAAGCTGCAATACAGAATCTCAAATATTACTTAAGTAAATTAAGGATTTGTATTGAATGCTATTTGTAAGCAAACCATTTTTATATTTGTCAAATTTTCTAAATGCAAGTCCATCACAGGTGGAAGAGATCTAAGGAACAAATTCATAATACTGTCTTTAAAGTATGGTATAATATAGTTTTATTGAATGAATGGAACAGAGATCATACTACTTAAAGTGGGAACCATTCTGAATGTTAGGTGAACATGTATGAGTAAATATTGTTAGTATAGAGCAGGTGTGAGTCCATCTGGAAAAACATGTAATGTCAGTAGCTGTAGTCTGGCCCCAGCATATTTCAAGTGCGCAACAAAAAGTTACATGCAAATGTTTTTCTGGGTTGTCTCTCTCGCATTTTATCAGTGTCATATGTTACTGATGAAATTTGGCCTCTAATAGGTGTGGTTCTATACTTTTATCTTTAAAACAATGTTTCAGTCAAGGACATTTGCTTTTTTCCTTGAAAAATAAAGGGATCTGCACATGTACTGGCAGCAGCCATGAGCTTTGAACACAGTATCTCAATTTGAATTGCAAGTGGACTAAGAATTTCAGAGGAAGAGAGCTTGATATATCCTAATACTGAGTAAAGTGGGGTCTAGCCTTAAGCTAGATGGCTGTGGGATGCTGGGAGTTGGTACACTGCTTGTGCTAGATAACTCCAACTTGGGGAAGGCCTGGCAAAAGCCAGCTACTGCAGATTGGGGGAAAAATTAATTGGAGCCCCAATTAATTGGACTTCACCAACATTGCTAATTTGGAAAGAATTGGTGCTGCAATGAAAATGCTGACAATCCAAATGGAATCATTGCCTGTTTTCTCACAATGTAGCCCCTGGTGGAATAAGGGTGTACTGTTCAGCAGTGACAGCTACTTAAAGCCAGAAAGAATTCTTGTGCTGAAATTAACCAATGTCCAAATCTTTTCAGGCCCACACTCAGATACACAGAAAGTTAAATCTAATAGTTTTCTTAAAACTATTTTTAACATCTTCAAGTTAAAATTTTATTCTAGATTAAGTTGCCCTGTGATTTTATAAGTGCATTTCAACAAGATTCTATTTCAGTAAAAAGCTATCAAAGGGCCAACATTTTGTATGAGTTATGTACTATCCCATTCAGTTAAGAAAGCTAACTCGCTAGTCTAGGTACAGCTGCTGAGGATTGAGGGAGCAAGAGGGATGGCCTAAGGAGAGCTTCCAATTTAAAAAAAAAGATGGCTAATTACAGAAAACATTAGGAAATCTTTGTATGATATATGTTGCCTGGAAATGGTCCACTTGATCCTTAGTATATGGGTGCAAACCTGTTGCATGTGGATAGTGCTAGATTTCTTTTGCATCTAAATACACAGGTTTTCTTGTTTAATGCTCAGGTAACTGTTCTTTGTGAAGTTAATCCCTTTTACTTCCACATGTGGTGGGACCGTGATAAGTTACTTCTCCAGTTCCTTGTTTATATGTTGGTTCAGGCCTGTCCTTACAGCTTCTCTCTACTGAACATTGATCTTTTTAGTAGTAGCAAATAAAGATATAGGAAGCCATTGGTTTATATCTCCTTAAGAGATATCATCAGGCACACAATGACCAGAAATCATATATGTAGTTCAGACAAACAAAAAAGTCTAAATAGATTTGAAATTGAAAGACTTGTACACAAAATGCCAGTTCGAGTCCCAAATGAGAGTATACTTCAAGACCACTGACACTGAACCTTATCAGACATTTCCATGGCTAGCATCTATTATTGTGCAGCTGAAGCTTCATAAAATGTTTGTGTTCCTGGTACCATATCTGGATCACTGAAATAGTATCTTGTGAAATGTCTGTGTCAAAGATAAGGGAATATGTGCAACCAATGGTACTGTTTACAAAGTTCATTGTCTAGAATGGCATTCTTTTCACATGTGAAATGTGGAGACCCCTCCTGAAAAATTACAAGGAGCTTTTGTCATATTCTGCATAATGAAAGGTGCTAGACTGTGGTTCCGTCATACCAGAAGAGAACATGCTTGTTGAAAATCCTTGAGGAAAATGTCTATGCTAACGAATGAAGTCTACAAAGATGAAGTTCAGTTGTGTGGTAATAATGAGATGAAGCAAGCCATGTTTAACTAATGAGGCTTGGTTGATTTGTTTAACACAGGTACTGCTTTGTTAAATCTTTTGACTTGTGGCCTTTTTCTGATTGGTATTTGATCACCCAAAACCTTCAAAATCCAAATCCATGATTCTATACTCTATGAAAGTAAAGTAAACCACACTGTCATGTGCAAATCTTTGGTGCATTTCTACATTGGCATATACTCATTTATTAGGTTTTCTCCAATGTAGTTTTGATTCTTAACTAGAAATAGATTGATACTAGAGGCAGAACACTGCTGGGATCTGAATGGCAGAATTCAAAATAGAAAGAATTAATGGGGAGTGTCACAGTTTACAATGTTCCACTTTTAAGGGTGAACCTTACGCTATAGACTGCAGAACAAAAACAGCTAGCTAATGTAGAGCAGTTGATCAGAATATTAGCTGCTCTTTTTATTCCTATTATTCAATCTATGGTTTTGCATTTTATGACATTGAGTTTTACTGTGAACACACTTTGATATGCAAAAGCAGAATAGAAGTTATTAAAATAACAATAGCAAAACTCCCCACACACATAAACCTAATTAAGATACTGGACTCAGTTACTGCTTGATACTCAAAACTTACAGCAAAGTTATATTAGTATGAACACAGGAGCCACGTTTAATTTTTGAGCCCTCGGAAGTTATTCCATGAATCCCTAACTACTGAACCTATTTGCATAAACACGGGAAAAGTCCCTTACTTTGGAAACATTGGAGCTTAATATGCAGCTGTCCATAGTTCCAAGTCCTCAAGCTTCAAGTTCCTACCCTGCAACTCCTTTGGCAGTGGACCTTCAGATCTGATAAAGTTCCTCCTTTCCAGTGTTACCCATACACATTCATTTTTCACTTCAGTTGAAAGCTGTTCCTAAATGTAGAACAAACGCAGCTGTCCACACCCCTAACTTTATTCTTAAACAACTATCTCCTCCCTCCTAGAACTCTGGGAGGAGAATATTTTCTCAGTGTCATCAAGGAGCTTGTTAAGTCAACATTAAATGTTTCTGATCATCTCTCTACCTGAATTTAAAGCTGCTTGATAGTCACCTATATACTTTGCCTGATCAATAATTTTTTGTAGCTCCTAAATTTCACATATTCCTTTATAGAAACACACACATACAAAAGATTGCATCACCTGTGTTCTTTGGCAAGTCAGAATTCATTGATATTTAAACAACACCAAATAAGCACCATTGATGCAATTAGGACACAGCAGTGATTATTTGAACACAATGGTGGGAAATAAAGTAAGAAGAAAAATGTCCATCTTTATTTCACCACTGTAGAAAATGTTTATTAAATGCTGTATTAGTCATCAACAGTTCAAAACTCCTTTTTCACATATCAGCATTAGTGTTTTTCAGCTCCAAAATTCCATTTTTTATTAAACACATTTCATTACTTTTCACTGTTTGATCTGCATTACAGTATTTCTGGAATTATTTTTGGTATAAGTTCCATATAGAATAAATTGAAAAATCTAGCCAAAGTTATAATTTGCATGCGGAATGATTTTATTTAGAACCAGTTTATAAAAATAAAATACAAAATAATTTGAAAAACAGAACTTAAAACATTTACAAAGTTTTGATATGATACAAATGGGTAAAATAAATAACTACACTTTTATGTACATATGACTATTACAAAAACACTATGCCAATAACTTATGTTCTTGAATGACTAAGTAAAACTTATAAACATCTAATTTAAAGTTTGAAAAACTAGCATGGGGGAAAGGTTTGGAATATTTAACAATACTAATTACCTTTCCAAACAACTTTCTACCTAAGTTCATCATCATACTTGAGATGCTAAAATGGTTTCTGCGTAAACAATGGATTTCATTTTTTCTACTTTTGAAATATTTCACCCTTTTTAGCATTAAGAGATTCATATTAGTAACAGCAAACTACTTCAGTGGTCCTTGTTTCAAATCTTTTGTTTCCTTCATCTTTGTACCCTTGTTGTGATAGTGAAAAAATCCAAATATAAAACATGATTAAGCATTAATAGTTAAGTAAGAAAGCAGATGTTTAGAGGGAGACATTCAAAAACATGCTCTCTGGCCACTAAGAAACAGCAGGCAGTAGAGGCTGGAGGACCACCTAGATGCATAATACTGTTCTTCTGGAGGATGTGAATACCTATGCAAAATGCCATTTTACAAGGCACCTTGCTATCGAGCAAGGCACCATTGAATTTATTCTGCTACATATGAGTTAACCCCACTGAAACATCTCCTGATCCACAGATCTGAGAAGACTTCAGTGGTACTTTGCATCTTGGAAACAGAAACTGAAATGATATTTAAACACACATTCAATTCAACACACAATTCCCAATGAAATATTTGTGCGTTCGCCACTTACATTTCTGCTCTGGACTGGACAAAGGTGATTTACATTCTTGGCTGCAGAAAATAACTTCCTGAGCACAGCAATAATTATAATAAGCTGGGAGAAAACACTTTATGTGAACATCATAAAAGGCATCTTTGCATATTTTATGAGATAAATCCTGATAAACCTTCCTATCTTGAGGCTCATTCCTTAAGTCCTTTTATAGGCAATAATTTGGCTAGTGCCATGGGGAATTATGTCGAGAGAGTACAATAGGTAGACTCCAGCATTAACTTCCTGAGGACCAAAAAGTTCCTTTCAGCATAAGGTTTTAGCCTTTTCACTGGAAAAACAAAGCTGGAAGTGATTATTCCTTCCCACTGCCCACCCTGAAAATATGCTTTGCAGGGTTGAAGATGTCCTGGAAATGTGGGCACTGAGGTATGAAGATGGAACTGACAAAAATTGTTCCTTCTCCCCTTTCTGACAGCTTTCTGAGTGGCTCCCTACCTGTGGAATGAAACTGGATTCAACCCAATAACTGGGTTTCCATGACATGGCACCCCATCATGAGTAACTAGCCATGGTAGATTGTGTTGTCCAAACCCAAACCATTTATAATTTTAGGAAAAAGCCATGGCATGATAGGATGTTGTTTTGTCCAAACCCAACAAAGCAATTTCAGTGCAGTCTCTTGTGTCACCACCAGTGGCAACCCCCTCCACTGATGGCCAAATGGCAAGTTGGAACAACCATCATCATTTATTTGCCACCATTTAAAAATATTTTTTGGCCTCAGAAAATCACACAGAAGTGTCCAGCAGAAAATATAAATTCCAAATTTGGAACACACAACAATTCTGAAGTAACAATTTCACCGAAGATACAAGGAATGAAATTCTTAAATCTTGACATGTTTAAATGTCTGATGAATCTATTTTGTTTAATGAGCACTAAAGTTAAAGCATACTCCATGGTTGCACTGCTATCTTTAGTACTAATCAAAGATGACCTGCGATCTGTTACCCCAATTCCTGAACTCAGTGAAGTATGAAGGTTTTAATTAGAACAGAGTGGATCACAACTCAGATTCGCACTCTGTTTCATATCAATTAACTTTCTAAATAAAACATGTCCTTACGACCAGTTATTGCAAAAGGAAAGAAATCTATTTCTTTAAGTTATTTACAACCAAGCTGAGTAGAGCTCATAAAAAGCAAGCTGCTAGCCTAAAACTGCAGAAGCTAATTGAGAGACTTTCTAGCACTAGGGATTTGGCCTTTATTTTAATAGATACTTCGTTACTACAGATAGAACAGAGACCAAAATTGCTTAAATGAAGTAATGAAGCATTCACCAATTGAAAAAGCAAGACTAACATATAATACTTTATACATATATACATACATACACACACACACACAGCCTGCTGTGATTTATAATTATATAAATATGTTATAATCAACACAAACAAGCAAAAGATCTTGTAATCTGAGTTTTTAGTATTCAGTCTTGCTCAATTTGCTTGTTTTTTAGAAAACAATAGGGCAAATGGGGGAAAGTTCCTCTAACATGGAAGGCTAAAACTCAGAGAAAGCTCTGATACACACATATCTCTGTTTATACACATATTTATCAATTTATCATACTAAGTGTACCACATACATGGTTTAAGGCTTATGCCCACTCATCCAAATAACCTGTTTTACTGAAAGGACTACATGGTAAAATAAAAAAATTGCACAAGCAACAACAAAAGACATGGAAGCTTGCTTTCTGAATTTCCTTGCCTTTTCTTTGAGACAAAGGAAGAGATTAGGCACCATCCTAACATTTCAGAAAGTTATAGGCACCCCTCAAATAGTTAAGGGACCAGTCACTCAAGAATTACCGCCTGATCCTTAAAGAAAGCAAAAATGAAAGAGGAAAAGAGGATGAAATTTGCTCAATTACCCCCACCCCATGCATTGATGCAACTCCCAGAATCTTCAGATGAGAGTATGCCCTAAGCACCTCTGCACACACTTTTCTAAAGTCATTCTCCTTCCAAGTCTACATTTTTACACTAATACAGAAAGCAGGAAGCTGGGGATTGCACGGGATCCTCTGGCTACATTCCTATATTAATGAAAAGCTGCTAGGGTGGGCAGTCAGTACAATATGCCTAAGACTATGGCTAAAAGGAGGTTTCCAGATTATCCATTCTCTTTGCAAACATGGCACAATGTTTTACAGATAGCCTGAAACACTGAAGCTGCCTTTAATGTGAAACATGAAGGATCATGAATACAAAAGAAAGCGTAGCAGTATACTGATTTGAGGACAGTAGTATAATGGTGGTACATACCAGCAAAATGCTCACTAGCTTGATTCATCATGAGCATCAACAAGGGGTGGTGGTGCTCTGTTCCATGTTTTGCATGACTGAGCCTGTTAAAAACAAGTTGGTGGGGGGAGGTCCCCTTTAGCTATAGACTAGTTTTCCTATGACTATTAATTTTACTAGTTGTAGAAGGTTCACTTTATGAAATAAAAGAAAATGTGCAAAAATATGTTAGCTAATTTAAAAGAATGCATTTTAAAATGCAGGCACAGTTATTTTATACTCTCAAGATAAATAAAGTATTGGCCTATATTCAGTACCACAGTGATGGTATTAGAATTATGTCCTTTGCCTTCTGGAAACAGCTTTGCAACTGTTTTACGGAGGGATTACTACTGTGGACAAATCAGGAATTGCTTATATTTATTTCAGGGAGCAATTACGTTTGAAGCCATTAGAGAAATATACAATTTTCAAATTATAAGGAGTAATAGCTAGAATTAGAATGTTATACTTGCCAAAAAAGAGGTTCTGCAAAGACTGCCTCAAAAAGGTAACATCCAATCTTTTCCACATAACTTTATTGCACTGTCCAATTAAAGGTAACCTGAATTTAAGGCTATATTCAGAGTTCAACATTTTCTTGTTATAGTTAAGATTATTATTAAGGAACTGTTTAGCTTATGTTTACCCTGCAAAGATGCTACAAAGGGTATAGTTTCTAGCTGCCTCCCCTTTCCGTGTAGAAAAGTTACACTGTACCTGTAACATGAGGCAAGAGCCGGTTTTGTGACTAGCATTCCTCCAATACCCCTGCAGACCTCATTGCTTGCCTGCAATATCTCCCTAATTCTATGATTCCACATCAATATGGAATCACATTTTTAAAAGTGTGAACTTCACACTGTAAGATAGCAGTCCCAAAATTATACACTTTTTAAAACTGCAGAAATGCTGCAACTAATAGTTTAGCAAGGATCAATTTTGGATTTTTACTCAAATCTCCAGGATGATGTAGTTGGCCCCAAAGAGAAGTGGAATCAAGAGTTTTCAGAAGAATAGCAATGGTTTCAGTAACATATACACTGAGTATCTATTACCCTTGTCATTACTGTTAAGTAGCATTCTCTTCAGGAGCAAAAAGGAGGTCTGAAGAAGGGTGCAGGATGTTCCTGTCAAGTTTCATTGGCTTAGTGTTCATATTTATGTTTGCAGCCTGTACAAGAATTGTGCAAGTCTTCCTGCCTCAAGCTGTTTAAGAATTTAGTCATGTTTATTCTGATTCAACTCCAACTATGCATAATAATTCTGTCTGCCCAAATGTGGAATTCATTTTTCAACATCAATTGATGCATTCTTATCAATCCCATGAAATTACAATTTGCTTGAGCACTATGTAGCTCAAGTTATTTTAATCAAGATTAATTCACAATACCTTTTTGGTTCATTTTTGGATGTTAAAGGTTGTGGAAAAATCAATGTAACAGACTGAGAAACAAAACCACTGATTAAAGATAGAATACTATTTTAAAGCTTCATTAGTAACTCTTGACAGAGTGACAACCCCAGAAACCATTTTTCCAGTCACTGCATCACACACACACACACACACACAATCAACCAGTGCTTTTCACAATTGTCACCTAGTCTGGTGCATGTCTCTACCTTTGTACAATAGGGAAAGAAATACAAGTGCATTTCAACAGAAAGTAGTTTGAACATTAATTTCAGAATACATATACCAGATGTAAAAGGAATGGATGACAGTATTTTTACATTCTTGTTAAGTCAATGCATAGGATAGCTACATTCTGTCCCTGACAGCAAAGCATGAAAATAAATCTTTGGGATAGGCATCACTTTACATGAAATGGGGAACTGTTTTTATAACACTGATGCTCTGGACATGTTGTGAACTTCCTCTGGGGCTCTTCTGAATACAAAAACTGAAGATATTGCAAGTAGTTTGAAAAGGTTATAAGAAAAGAAGTAAAGTGTTTTCTGGACATTAGAAGCCAGATGAAATGATACCCTTAAATGCCTCAGAGAAATATGAATATGAAGAATTCATAGAGCTTTACAATTTCAAGGCAGTTACCCCTAAATAATATACCTCTATCATATGTTTGGTTCAGGTAAAATCACCCTGGAAACACATACTATTTCAAAAGGGAACTAGTTAGGGAGAATATTCCAAGCACTCTACTGGAATAACTTACTTACTTGCAGGTAAATTTGATAATATGAGAAAAGCAGAACGGTTGCATTGCAGCCTCGGGGAAAAAATCAGACGCCTAAGTAGTTTCTCAAAGCAGTCAGGAAAGGGAAAGAGAGAGACTAGACAAGGCAAAGATAAAAAGGAAATCTAGTCTTCTTTATATCATAGTGATCTATTTATTATTACTTAGTGCTCAGTATCATGGGGAACAATTAAATGTGAAATTATATCAAGATGGGATGAAATGATGTATGGACAAAATCAAGTACATACATCCTACTTGGCCATCAAATATATGATTTCTCCAATTCTTTTCATTTCATTCAGCAATTCTGAAGTGGCAAAGCTGATACTAAACACTAAGTTGCAGAGGCAATCAGCAACCCTTGTGTCCTGAATGGTGGCATGAAGAATATTCAGCTTTGTGCATGCCAGGAAATGGGAGCAGCAAGGCTAAAGGTATTTAATTCAGGCACACAACTGAAAGAGCACTGTATTGTCTGTGGTCTGTAATGTTACAAATGGAAATGAGAGAATTAGGCAAGCATATAGAAGCATATGTATATATATTTATAAATATTTATATTTTTACCATGAGAACATGCAATTATTGGTATAGCACCTATTATACAATATAATACAATGGAATAGGTATTTTAAATCATACAGTTTCTCAAGAAACAGCAGTATGCTCTCACTATTGCATTTCTCTGTAGTGCCTGAAACCTGAATGAGGCTATGGTTCCACACTGTGCTACATTACTTATGGGAAACAAAACACACATTTAAAAGTTTTAAAATTCCAACACGTTCTCACAGAACAAGAGAAATTCAGTGCAGCTTCAATGCAGCATTAGAAATGTGTTAGCTCAGAGAGAAAATATTCCCTTTTCCATCCAAAGATACTATTTTGGCAGCAAATTAAGTTAAATAAAACAAAGTTAAAAATAATTTATGCTGGTTACAGGCATATGACTACAGCAAGCAGATCAATAATTTCCAAAGTTCCCCCATATTAATTGTTCTCTAGAATAAGTGTCCATTGAGAAAACTGGCTGTATCCATTTTAAAACATTCTTGTTTTACTCTTCCAACCTAACATTGATTTCAAAATCTACTAAGGGAAGTTATTCCTCTAAGTGTCACACCATTAAAAAAGATTGAGAAAACTAGAAGCCATTCACCTTATTCAGAGACTAACACTTCAGGGAAATGAAAGACAAGCCTTAAGCATGGATTTTCTGTGTGCTGTTCTCCATGCTTTATGTCCCTAAGCACAATAATTCTTTTGCGTATGGAAATATTTACACTTGCATTATAGGGAAACTTATAAAGGACCTGGCTTCCACCTGCTAGATATACATGTAGGACTGCCTTATCAGATGTTCTGTAGCCATATATTGGGAAATGGGCACTTACACATATTCTTTCCATACAATATAAAATTAGGGACATTAAGATATGAGAAACAGCCTTGTGATTGCACCCTATTAGATTCACTGTCAAGTAGTATCTCCAAGATTCTAAACAAAATAAAGGAACCATTGGTTCTTTCTAAACTACACATACAGGTTCTGCAGTCATTTTTGAAGATTAAAGCTTCATCTTTCTTCTAGATTTAGGTTAAATTCTCAAGTAAGAGGTCTAAGTGTGCAAACATTTCTGCCCTTCTTCAGTATGATTACACTGGAGAGGGACATTGTGAATAAAGTTAAATGGACTAAGCACCTCACCCCAAATGGGTGAATTCTGGTCAGCTTTAACAGTGGCTCTCTTTTTGTACCCTGAGAAGCTATTGCACTCTAACAAATCTTTGTATATATAGGGATGTTCTAAAGTCCAAACTCTTCAGTTTTTCTTCCTCTCATGCCGTGATCATTATCTCCAGACCCTTCATGTACTATAAGATGGAAATCTTGAGGAAAAAACCTTGGCTCCAGAAAACAACATATAGGTAAGTGATCAAGCTGTCCAATGATTATGATCTGAACAGCAGCTAGCAGAATGTTCAGGATCTGTGAACACTGTACACAACAATCCTTTCCTGAAACTCTTTAAAATTCATGCCCGAAATCCCATGAGCAATTACATAAATATTTTTACATTTACAGTGGACTAATATGCAGTCTCCATAAAGATGCAGCTCGTATTAAGTATAAAGTATTATAAGAAGTGCAGCATGGAAGTTGATTTGTTGTTGTTGCTTTAAGGGGAGAAGTATAAGCCATGAAGGGACATGGGCAGTGAGCAACTTGAAAACAATGTGTGAAGCCCAACACTGAAAAAGAGACATTTAGGAATATTGCTGTTCCAAATAATGTGCTTTCTAAAAGCTCTACAAACACACAGCCGAGCAGTACCTCAGACATAATGGTGTCATAATGAAACTGAAGTTGTTTCAGGTTTTATAACTTTCCTCAAGAAATGGGCTAAAGTAGGCCGTGTTTTCTTAGAAAATAAAAAGCTAAAAACTTATGAAAAGCACTCACCTCCAAGACAATGTTTGTTCTGAATCTTTCACACACCTTGGACTTTCTGGATGCTCCATCCCTGCCCTCTAGCCTCCCTTATCTGCTTGCTGCCTGTTCTTAGGCAATGCCTGGCCACTCATATAAAGTGGGCCTTATCAATAATTTCTCTTAGAGTTGTTGTTTTTTTAAAGTCAGGATGAACACTGATTTTTTTGAAGATGTTTTCTTTGTTTAAATATACAGTACACAGACACGACATGCATCAGTTTAAGGAGGGGTTTGACACCTGATAAGATTCAGTTCCTATCTGCTAAGTTTACTGGCTGATTTGCTCTTCCCTGTGGGAGATTTAATGTTAGAGGAGTGATGGCAAGAGCCACTAGATCCTTTCAGACCATTCTTGCTAGACTTGTTGTAGCAGTGCTCTTGTTGGCAGGATCTCCTGGATGATGAAGAACCTGAAAGACTAGGAGGTGACTTACTCCTTCCAAGATGTGGAGACGAACTCCTCTGGTCATGGTGGGGTCGCCCACTCCGAGATGGTGAGGAGCTGGCAGTACGGGGCAAAGACGAGCTTCTAGGGGAGGCACTGGGACTGCGTCTAGGGATGACTGGGCTTTTGGGTGGTGTTTTGGGACTATGCGGAGATCCTGGACTCTTACACTGAGAAGAGCTCCGTGGCTTTTGAGATCCATTCTGAAGGATTTGAGCCAGACGAGAGATCAGGTCTGAATCAGAGCTGCTACTTCCTAACACTTTGTACCTGCGCAACCTTTAAAAGAAAAAGAAAATCAGTCACTTCTACATCCTAATCTCCAATTCTATGCTAGTCTACAAAATGTGTCATACTTTATTTATTTTCCAATTTATATCCTGCCTTTTTCCTACAAAGGGTTCAAGGCAGCTTACATCTCCTCCATCTTATCCCCACAACAACAACCCTGTGAGGTAGATTGGGCTGAGAGTCCGTGACTGGCCCAAAGTCACCCAGTTGGCTCCATGGCCAAGCGGGGACTAGAACCCAGATCGTCTGAGTCCCAGTCTCATGCTCTTAACCACTACACCACACTGGCTCTCCAGTGTGACTTTATTTATCTCCAAGGTCAGATATAAAGTACTGAAATTAACTTTTGAAGCTCTTCAAAGTATATTCTAAGAGCTGCCTTCTATATAAGTCTAACACTGAAATCATCCCCATAACTGCTCTCTGTCCTATCTTTATTAGTGATTTAATAGGCAGATACAAAGGACATGTACCCATTCTAGTGGTGGCACTGGAGATATGGAATGGCCTCCTTACTGAAAACCCACAGGCTCCCTCACTTCCTTGAATTAAGACATATACATATTGATAACAGACTTTTAATATTTAATGACTGCTCTTTTAAAAACTGCATTTATCCTGCCATTTAAACTGTAGTTTTTATCATTTTTTAATTTTTCTAATCGAGCATTGTTTTATCTTTATTTGTATGTGTTTTCAAGCTGCTTTCAGCAATGGCCTTCTAGAAAAAACAGAACACAAATACAATTATTAACTACATAAGGTTAAATGCAGTATTAAGCAAAAATCCACAAGCAGAAGAGCACTTTCCTCCTCTCTGCAGTATTTTATGCTGCCTGAAGATCTGCTCCATGAAGTTTCCTAGGCATCCAAAACAGATTGAAGGTGTGTGAGGAGGAGGGAGAAAGACACCCTCCCAGTTCTGCTGACAGAGCAGCTTCTATCAGTAGAACAACACTACCGAATTCCACACAAAGATATGCTATCAAACAGGAATAGGTACATGAAATACATTTACTGTGAGACATAGAATTTAGTCTGTGGCACTAAATCTAGCATCCTAGCAGCCAGTGCCAGCTCCAAACTACCTCCTCTGGTACACCCTTCCCTATCTTTCCTATACAACTTACAGTATATCCAGAGATGACTGTATGCCATTGGTTATTTCTGTTCCACCAGGTTTCTGTAATGCCCACTAAATCTAGCTTTTCATTTATTACCAGGAGAAATTCTCCCATTTAGAATTTCTCCTCCAGCCACATGCAACTATTGTTCTGAAACGTTGTCTTCTCCAGTTGGTTATCATGACTTACCATAACCACATTGCCTATTTCTTCCTCTCCTATTCTTGGACAATCTGAAACGTCTTCCCCTTCATCCACTAGAGATGATTTGATATGAACTGGATGCTTCCCATCTCCTGTTAGCTTTCTCCCAGGGTTTAAAAGCTGCCCTACTACCTTTTTAAAGTGAAATCCTCCCCTCTACACCACCATCTCATCTATGCATTGAGGCTCCTAGCAAGTATGCACATGGTACTGGTAGCATTTTGAAGAAACCCACCTTGGAGGTCCTGAATTTCAACCTTCTACCGAGCAACTTAAATTTGGCTTCCAGGATCTCACTGCTACATTTCCTCACTTGACTGGTACCAATATGGACCACAAGCACTGACACAACCCACATGTTATCTACAAGGCAGAAGGTGATATCCACAAACTTCACACTAGGAAGGCAAGTCACTATGTGCTCCACACACCAATCACAAACCCAGCTGTTGATGTTCTTAATGAACAAATCTTCCACTACCAGAAACCACCCTGCAGGGATATCCTCAGTGCAAGAAGATACAGGTACAGGGATGGGTTCCTTCTAAGGGATCATTTCCCTCTTCCTCAAAATGATGCCTTCCTTCCTAAGCTATTATACCAAGACTCCCCCCCCCACCGCCGATGACAGGAGCTGTCATTCAGGAGTTGGGACTTGGCTAATTGGGTCCTTGGAGTCTCATCATCCAGCCTGTCTACCTCTCTTTGCTTCTCCAAGTCAGCAAAATTGGCTTCAAGGCAAAGCATTTGTTCCCTGAGAGCCAAGAGTTCATTATACCAAGCACATACCCATGACTTCTGTCATGAGTTGGCAGATAGTCATATATGTGGCATTCAGTACAATACTCTGGATAGCCCTTGCACCCGTTGGCTTTCTACTTTCATTAATTGGTTTAATTGGTATAAATTGGATGTTTACCTGAACAGCTTGGGGAATTTGGGATTTTATTAAGTTTCTTTCTCCTACTAGAAGAGAGCAATGGATTTACTTTTCTGTCGTTCCTTGCACTTTATCCTCCTGACTAGAGAAGGGGAGGCAGACCCCTGTGCCCTGGCCACCTTGCCCTGTTGCTCAGCTCATTTGTGAGCTGACACTTTGCCACTGGGGTGAAACACTTTGTACTGGGGCTCTTCCCACTCAGAGAGCTAGCTCCACAGAGCTAGCTTCTTCTATAACTCCTGGTGGGCTAGCCCAACTGTAGCAGCAACCAATCTGATTTGAGAGCCTTGCCTGAACAGCAGGACAGGCTGTGGCTCCTCTGCCCTACTTTCCAGTCATTGGCAATGAATGAATGGACGAATGAATGAATGCTAGGGTCACAATCAACAAAGGTAGGTGATTACTAAAGGCTTGTTGTTTGGAATTCTGGCTTAGTATGTGATCTAAATCAGAATGATAGCTGGCCTCTCAAACCTGGGGTTCTTCTATTCCGGAGCTTTGGTTTATGGGCTTATACATAGCCCTAAAAACCTGAGCCTACAGAAGGCCCAAACTGAAGCAAGGCTTCCCTGATGTTTAGAAGCAGTCTCTCCCACTATCTAGGCTCTAGAGTATACAGTGGTATTACTTTCCTTCCCTTTTCTAAGGTTGAGTTTAATCTACTACAGATTTGGTTTAAATGTAGGCTGCAGGAGCTAGATGTTCCTACTAGCTTTTCCCTCTAGATTTAGCTCCCAACTGTAGGTTGGTGGGGTTTCCCCTCTTTCTAATCTAAGGTCAAGTTTAGTCTACTAGGCTGCAGGAGCTGGATGTTCCTGCTGGCTGAGTATCCATAGGATTGCAACCTCAAACTCCAGTGAGTGTAGAGACAAAGCTTATAAGAATGCACGGTATATCTAGAAACTTTAAAAGTTATGGAAAGGACACCCAGAGATCATTGCTATTGTTTCCCAGCTGATAATTTTTGAGAGCAGTGATAAAGCTATTATACCATACAGTACGAAAAACTACTAAAACCTATAGCAGAATAAGAAATTATGAATGTGTGTAGCATAGACAGCAAGAACTATATCATATCATCTACAAGTCTCTAAGAAGCTATTATCTACTACTCACTAATTGTCTGCATTATCTTGCATAAGCCATCCTGGATTTATTTTTAAAATACTTAAGTCTTTCTTCCAGCCTAGCGACCAGCCCCCCCACACTATCTCTTTTAAATTAAAAATGCAAACAATCTAGTCAGATTGTTGTTCTTTTTTGTAAATCACAGGGGTAGTATAAACTGAAAAGGCATTTCCCTAATGAGATTCCCACAAGGCAGATGACAGTAAATGGCTTACATTGGAGCTATTGATAGATTTTTCTGGCTACCAATGTCAGAAAAATGTATTTCTGCTCCCAATTGCCACTATAGGTCTCCTCACCCATTCTAGAATATGCAGTGTGTTTAACATGCTAATGAATAAATTACTGACTTTATGGTAAATGACTGCTCATACCCAGAATGTTAATCATCAGAGTCTTATCACAGTTACAATTTGTAAACTCTTAGCCAACTGCATGCAATCTTAGTTCACTTAGAACTAGAAGCAAAATGTTTTGGAAACCAAGGCAAGATCATACACAGATGATGCTAATGATGTTATTCAGGCAAAACATTCCTGATTTTTTCAAGAAACAGCTTTCAGATGTTTGTCTGAATAAATGCTCCTTCCCAGATGATGAAATAAAAAGTATTCCCAAAGTTGTTCAGATCTGCTTCAGAAGTGTGGTTTTTTTTTTTTTTTTTTTTACCTGGCTTCTACTCCAGGCCTTGTTGGAGGTCTTCCGGGTGGTGGTCGAGGAAAAAATTGAGCAGAGTTTGAACTGCTAACATGATCTGTGGTAGTCCAAGATACTGGTCTTGGAATTTTGCTCTTTCTGGACTGGGGACTGCTTGGTGACAAAAAGCTCTCCTCCACCTGGTTATGTAAATGAGTGTCCAATGTTAGCTTGGAAAAGGAAGACAACACATCTTCAGAAAGTGGTATGGGACCAGCAGCCTTTTCTTTCAGTGACTTGTCAGAGGCACTTGAGAGGTCACCAAGGAAAGATTTGAGCTGTCTCTTTTCTACCAGTAGCCTAACCAGGTCTGTTTGGTGGGCCTTTTTCAGAAGCAGCTTTTCCTTTGCTGAAACAGCAGAAGTCTCAGATAAGGAGTCTATCTCTTGCGCTAAAACTGGAATGCGACTCTGTCTAGCCACAAATGGTAACCTAGCTAACTCCTTTTTAGACTGATTAGAATTCTCATTCTCTGAAATGGAATGGAACAGTTCACCATTTCTTTGAATATTTTCCTCTTCTTTCACCTCTTGGTGCAAACAGGTGGCAACATTCACTTGTTGGCACTTCAGTTCTTCAGCATGATCAATATCTCCACCATCAACATGGAAACCATTTCCTTGCTCTGTTGCTACTTGATTTTCCTGTTTATGAGCAAATGGGTCAGTACTTCTTGACAAAGAAACATCTGATGTTTCAGCTGCTGACTGCTTCAGTAACTCCTGTTTTACATCCTGAATTGGCAGTGAGCAGGAAATCACTGGTCTCAGTTCTTCTGGTTCTGTAAGGGCTTGAGGGCCATCCAACAAAGATTCTGTGTTTCCTGGAGCTGTTAAACATGATCCTTTAGTCTCTATTTCAATTGCATCTTCACAAGGAATGGAATGTTGCTTGTCTTCTACTTCAAAGTGATTCACAAGTTCTCCCTCTTCTTGCTTTTTCATGTGTTGGTCAAGTAGTTTTGCCTGGTTATGATCTTGGATTCCAACATTTTCTTCAACATAGCTTTCTTTTGCATGAGTTTCCAGTTTATGGTCTAATTTGAGGACTAAATCTGTTCTACTGCCACTAAGAATTAGTGCATCATTTGCTACCACTGAGCCAGGTAGGTTTTCCTTAGGAGAGGAAAGTTCTACATGTTCTTTAAACCGGTCTTTCTTGTCTAGCTGCTGACCATAATGAAGACTCTCAGAAGCAGACTGTGTGGATGCCATTGATGGTCTGGGTATTGTAACCTATTCAGAGAAAGGAGAAAAATGATTTTTTCTTGGCTTTGAAATCATCATGTTTATATTGTCACATAATTTCATCACATTGAAAAAGATAATACTTTGCTTTTGCAGAACTTAAAAAAAACCCACTCCATCTTGGGATGTGTAACAAAGATGCCAGCAGTTCCAGTGTTTATTTAAAATACTTTAAGATCATAAATGTTAAATCTATGTTGTTAATTTGGGCTGAATTGGAAATAGCATGATGGGAAGTAATATTAACTGAAACTGCCTGGAGCAAAATGACTAATCTCATAACTGCCTGTAAAAGTTTCTACCTTGCCTTCATCCATCATAATTTCTTCATCACCTTTGACTTGGCGGATTCCACTGACTTCCTCCATGCAGATGGTACTGTTCCCCCTAGCTGGATCTCTAGTTCAGCATTTCCACAGGAAGATTCTGTTCAGCACTAGCTCCCATTCCTAAAGGATCTTCAGTATTGTGTTCTTGTACCCTTGCTGTTTTGTCCACACTTTTCTCTCACATGACCTCCTCAAAGTCTGTATCTCTTATTACCAAGTAGAAGATCATAATATTTACTTATAACTGTCTGCTTCTTAACTGCTTCATTGTCCTGCAATTTCAACTGTCTATCTAATATTTACCTAGATGTTTCTCCATCATTTCAAAATCAGTCTGTCCAAGACTGAACTACTCATCTTTGATCTATAATAACTGAAATAACCATTGATCCCATCAACCTGCTGCTTTAGTTTATGCAATTTTCCATCTGCTTTGCTTCTATATTCTGCCACTAAGCCATGCCACTTTTCTCTATACAAACTTCAGAACTACAATCCTTTCTCTCAGTGCCTTCAACTAAAGTATTGTTTATGAATTGCTCACCCCCTGCAACCTTCTCTTCTTTTTCCATCCCTTATCACTGCTGTGCCCTTTCACATATATATACACACACACACACACACACACACACAGAGTTCTGTTATCTCTTTTTGTTCAGTTCACTCAAAACACTGCTCAAATCACAATATTGCCTTACCATACCCTTCTGTACCTAATAGAGACTTTGGACTTATTCTTCACCTTCATGCCCCATTCTGTTTTTATCTCCGTACTAATCTTTCTCCATTGTTCAACTCTATCATTCTCAATCATCTAAAAGTCTTTTGCCCTTTTAAATAGTTCCACTTTATCCCTTGCTGAACATTTTGGTAGGAACTCCCTCTAGAATACCTATGTGATGCAAGTGCCACCTTCTCTTTCTTCAAATTCCATCACAGAATCCAGCTCTTTTTAGCTTAAATCCTTGGCCCTCATCTCTAACTTAAACACTGTAGTGGCAAAACAGAATTTAATGCACAATAGACCTTTTAAACACCACCACATATAGTTACCCCATCAACCCATTAGATAACCTTATTTTTAACTGTCTCAGTACAGAGGTCTACGTTAATTTGGTGTCGAAAGGATTACTAGGTTGGCACTAGACAGGTCTCAGTGGGGAGCTAATTCCACAGTTGAAGGGCTACTGCTGAGAGGGCCCTCCCCTTTTTGCTACTCTCTGAGCTTCCCCTGGAGTTGGCACTTAGAGGAAGTTCTCAGATGGATAGATAGATATAACTATGTTTTAAATGTGGTTTGTACTGTAAACTTCTTATAACATTTCAGTGTGTTTGAATATGATGTATTTTAATTGTTATTTTTAATGTGCTGTTGTGAACTGCCCAGAAAACTTCAGCTATTGGGTGGTATAGAAATTAATTAATTAATCATAGCATCCAGGTAGATTGTGGTTGAGAAAGATGTTCTTTCAGGGAATTTATACATCTACTCAGAGAACTGAAATACAGTGAAGTTTACTTTGGAGTAATGTACCTAGGACTGCAACCTATGCACACCAGCTTGCTCAACAGAAAGATCTGTTGGTAGTCCAGTGATGCTACTGCAATTACACCGTTGGATAATGCCCCAGGACTAATGCCTCTGTTTATGATTCTGGTCCTGACACACAAAAGTAGCTTCCTTTTATATATAGAGTATATTCGACCTAATTGAATATATTACTGCTGAATCCTTTCCTGCATCCAGTGCCCCATATTAAGCCCACAACAATATTTACTTGTTATATATTCTTCCTTTCACCTCTACCTCTTCCTCCTCTTTATGTATACTCTCCAAACCTTCCAAGACCAGCTGACCATTACCTATGTTCCCTAACTTCCAGTCACTGTAAAATATCCATTACCTTAAATCTCTCCACCTTGCACAGAGAGACCTTCCTATGTCCTCAGAAGCTAGACAAGCAAAGCATTCCATCCTAAGTAACCTGCTATTACTGTATTTGAAAAACATCTCGATCGTTGTCCAAGTGTTCAGCACACATGAGAAGGAACTCTATTCATTTTATCACATGTACTGAATGCACAAACAGTGGAAGCATAGCCACTACTACAGCAGTGGCAGGGGTAGCTCATATAGCAGAGTCACTCAAAAGTTGCTGAAGCTTTATCGCTAACTATGGTGGCTAGAAATTTGTATTTTTAACAGATGAAGGTAACAAAAGTGAAGGATAAGGGAAATGTAGCTGTTGTACAAATTGGATTGGGCTGAGAGGACAGGTAGAAACAAATAAGAAACATTTTGTCTTATTTGTATTTAACAGATTGGCAGAACATCAAAAAACAGAAAACAACATAGATATATAGAATTAAACAGAAGAGCACAGCAAAGGTTTGATTGCCATCATCATAAGTTATTACCAGAAACTATGGGAATGACTACACAGACTTAATTTGACTTTGCACTCTCTCCCACTTAGGTGATAGATTTGTCTAGAAAGTTGTACAATACTATATTCAGTGGTTCACATTGCTGAATAAATAAATGCATAGCAAACATTTTTTTCATTATCTCTCTGGAAGAAAAGGCAAATGTTGTTATTTAAAAGAGGATATAATAACTGTGGTATAAAATGATAAAATATTCTCATATCAAGTGAAGTTTGAAACAGTGATATTGATCAATATTTAGCAGGACTTTGTCAATAAGATCTAGACACAATCATCTTAAGGGACATTTTAGTCATACCTAGAAAGAGATATTGCACTCTTAGGAGGCAAACCTATGCATGATTAGACAGAAACAAGTCCTACAGTACCCAGCATTCCCCAGACAGCTATGCTGGCTCCAGTTCCATTCCGACCACTAAAGGGATTTTTAAAAGGGGGGAAGGGGTTGGGAAAATGCCAGAATGTTTGAAAGGTCACTTATGAACAAGAAAAAGCATGTCATGTACGTGACTGTTACTATCCAACGTGTTAACCCTTGGTTGGTTAGTACCGAATGAGCTAACTGCAAAAATAAATTTCATTTTCATTTTTGTTTTCTTATAGTACACTAGACTGTTGCACATCCAAACAGGTTCTACAGATATTTGATCCAATGAAAGCTAAATGGTCAAGGAACAGTCCTTGGAATGTTTCTTGCATCTGCCTGATCTCTGTTTCAAGACCTTCGCTTTGTCATCAAAAATTGCAAGAGGGTCAGTGTGGTCCATGGTTAGAGCCCTAACTAGGTATGTCATGCCACCAGATGAAGCCAGGGACCCTGATGCTGATGAGCAGTTCTTTGTACTTCGGTATTTCCATGGTATGGAGGCCCCTCTTCTACAGATCCACACACAGGCTATCTGCTCTATTCCATCAGGCCTACTTTGTAGATGCTTCACAATGTGGGAAGAAGCCAACAACATGGCCCTTGCAGACAGAGAAGGCAAAAAATTGCCTGTACATTAGTGGAAGATTACTCCCACTCCTCATACATTTATAGAAAAGGGATTTAAGGGCCATATGACAAAACAAGGTCCAATAACTTCCCAAATGGAGGGGAAACAACAACAATGGACAGGACAGGACAGGACAGGACAGGACAGGACAGGAAAAAGACTCAGCTCTGTTGGGTGGAGGGATCCCTGCATCTGATATATGAAAAGTAGTTCCACAAAGCTGCCACAAGTACCCGAGGGAAAAGGGTGGAAACTCACTGGGAGTATACATGTTGTGATGGCAAGGGAAGGGTTCTCACCAAAAGATACACAACTTTAGGAACTTCCTGAAGTGAGGGTCTGTGCAGGTGTATTGTTAATATGTGGGATACCCAGAAACCACAATTCCACAGTGGGTTGTAAGGGATGGCTAATGAGCCACTTGGTATGCACAGAAAAAACCCTTGCTGCTCTCCTTGATCTTGCCCTTGTTGCCACCAATGACAACCCCTCCACCACTGTCCAAGTGGCACTTGGGAGCAATTGCCATGAGTTCATCAACTATTTTCCCCTCTATATTTGCTTCTTCTTTATGAAACGTGCATGTGCTTCCCCTCTGTTTACTCCCCAAACAAAAAATTGTGTATATTTCCCAGTTTAAAAAAAACACACCAATTTCCCTTTACACAAAAATACGCAAAATACTCGCAGCGAAGGCAGAACAAGCCAAAGCAAATGGGATTCCAAGCTCCCCATGGAGTTACTTTCCCAGGAATACCATCTCACTCACCCAGGAGAGGGGGGTGGGGAAGCAGACACAGAGATTATCACCAAAGGGGTCATGGCTGAGGCAGAAAGTATGGTTCACACAGACCGGGCTGTGACCACTGTGGTCAGGAGTACAGAGCCAGGCAGGCCTTGAGCTTCAGCCATGTGTATGGCCTTGTCCAAGAGTTCAGCATGAAGGTGGTGAGCCCCTTGTTTGCATGCTTGTTTTGTGAATGCCTGATAATGTGGCAACTGACCCACCACGTGCTCCTTGCACAGGCAGAGGAGGCAAAGTGAGTGTTGGTTGGCAGCAGTCTTGCCTCACAACAGATGCACTTGCTAAACGGGGCTTCGATGCCATTTGGGATAAGCAAGGGAAGGCAAGGAAGAAGAGAAAAAAGGAGACTTCAAAGAGTTAAATCAAGAGGGGAAAATGGAGATAATTTCTTTTTAAAGGAAGGTAAAAGTG